GTGTCCTCTATGTGTGGTCACTCCAACAAAAACTAACGTAAAGATGCCCTATCCTATCGGTAGCACCAGTGTCATCTATGTCTGATCACTTCCAACAAAAAGTAAGGTAAAGATGTCCTATCCTACCGGTAGCACCAGTGTCCTCTATGTGTGGTCACTTCCAACAAACACTAAGGCCAAGATGCCCTATCCTACCGGAAGCACCAGTGTCCTCTATGTGTGGTCACTTCCAACAAAAACTAAGGTAAAGATGCCCTATCCTACCGGTAGCACCAGTGTCCTCTATGTGTGGTCACTTCCAACAAAAACTAAGGTAAAGATGCCCTATCCTACCGGTAGCACCAGTGTCCTCTATGTGTGGTCACTTCCAACAAAAACTAAGGTAAAGATGCCCTATCCTACCGGTAGCAGCAGTGTACACTATGTCTTGTCACTTCCAACAAAAACTAAGGTAAAGATGCCCTATCCTACCGGTATCACCAGTGTCCTTTATGTCTTGTCACTTCCAACAAAAACTAAAGTAAAGATGCCCTATCCTACTGGTAGCACCAGTGTCCTCTATGTGTGGTCACTTGCAACAAAAACTGAGGTACAGATGCCCTCTCCTACCGGTAGCACCAATGTCCTCTATGTGTGGTCACTTCCAACAAGAAAAACTAAGGTAAAGATGCCCTATCCTACCGGTAGCACCAGTGTCCTCTATGTGTGGTCACTCCAACAAAAACTAACGTAAAGATGCCCTATCCTACCGGTAGCACCAGTGTCCTCTATGTGTGGTCACTTCCAACAGCAAAAAGTAAGGTAAAGATGCCCTATCCTATCGGTAGCACCAGTGTCCTCTATGTCTGATCACTTCCAACAAAAACTAATGTAAAGATGCCCTATCCTACCGGTAGCACCAGTGTCCTCTATGTGTGGTCACTTCCAACAAAAACTAAGGTAAAGATGCCCTTTCCTACCGGTAGCAGCAGTGTCCTCTATGTGTGGTCACTTCCAACAAAAACTAAGGTAAAGATGCCCTATCCTACCGGTAGCACCAGTGTCCTCTATGTGTGGTCACTTCCAACAAAAACTAAAGTAAAGATGCCCTATCCTACCGGTAGTACCTGTGGCCTCTATGTGTGGTCACTTCCAACAAACACTAAGGTAAAGATGCCCTATCCTACTGGTAGCACCAGTGTCCTCTATGTGTGGTCACTTCCAACAAAAACTAAGGTAAAGATGCCCTATCCTACCGGTAGCAGCAGTGTCCTCTATGTCTGGTCACTTCCAACAAAAACTAAGGTAAAGATGCCCTATCCTACCGGTAGCACCAGTGTCCTCTATGTCTGGTCACTTCCAACAAAAACTAAAGTAAAGATGCCCTATCCTACCGGTAGTACCAGTGTCCTCTATGTGTGGTCACTTCCAACAAACACTAAGGTAAAGATGCCCATTCCTACTGGTAGCACCAGTGTCCTCTATGTGTGGTCACTTCCAACAAAAACTAAGGTAAAGATGCCCTATCCTACCGGTAGCACCAGTGTCCTCTATGTCTGGTCACATCCAACAAAAACTGAAGTAAAGATGTCCTATCCTACCGGTAGCACCAGTGTCCTCTATGTGTGGTCACTTCCAACAAACACTAAGGCCAAGATGCCCTATCCTACCGGAAGCAGCAGTGTCCTCTATGTGTGGTCACTTCCAACAAAAACTAATGTAAAGATGCCCTATCCTACCGGTAGCACCAGTGTCCTCTATGTGTGGTCACTTCCAACAAAAACTAAGGTAAAGATGCCCTATCCTACCGGTAACACCAGTGTCCTCTATGTCTTGTCACTTCCAATAACAAAAACTAAGGTAAAGATGCCCTATCCTACCGGTAGCACCAGTGTCCTCTATGTGTGGTCACTTCCATCAACAAAAACTAAGGTAAAGATGCCCTATCCTACCGGTAGCACCAGTGTCCTCTATGTGTGGTCACTTCCAACAAAAACTAAGGTAAAGATGCCCTATCCTACCGGTAGCACCAGTGTCCTCTATGTGTGGTCACTTCCAACAAAAACTAATGTAAAGATGCTCTATCCTACCGGTAGCAGCAGTGTACACTATGTCTTGTCACTTCCAACAAAAACTAAGGTAAAGATGCCCTATCCTACCGGTATCACCAGTGTCCTCTATGTCTTGTCACTTCCAACAAAAACTAAGGTAAAGATGCCCTATCCTACTGGTAGCACCAGTGTCCTCTATGTGTGGTCACTTGCAACAAAAACTGAGGTACAGATGCCCTCTCCTACCGGTAGCACCAATGTCCTCTATGTGTGGTCACTTCCAACAAGAAAAACTAAGGTAAAGATGCCCTATCCTACCGGTAGCACCAGTGTCCTCTATGTGTGGTCACTCCAACAAAAACTAACGTAAAGATGCCCTATCCTACCGGTAGCACCAGTGTCCTCTATGTGTGGTCACTTCCAACAGAAAAAAGTAAGGTAAAGATGCCCTATCCTATCGGTAGCACCAGTGTCCTCTATGTCTGATCACTTCCAACAAAAACTAATGTAAAGATGCCCTATCCTACCGGTATCACCAGTGTCCTCTATGTGTGGTCACTTCCAACAAAAACTAAGGTAAAGATGCCCTTTCCTACCGGTAGCAGCAGTGTCCTCTATGTGTGGTCACTTCCAACAAAAACTAAGGTAAAGATGCCCTATGCTACCGGTAGCAACAGTGTCCTCTATGTCTGGTCACTTCCAACAAAAACTAAGGTAAAGATGCCCTATCCTTCTGGTAGCACCAGTGTCCTCTATGTGTGGTCACTTCCAACAAAAACTAACGTAAAGATACCCTATCCTACCGGTAGTACCAGTGTCCTCTATGTGTGGTCACTTCCAACAAACACTAAGGTAAAGATGCCCTATCCTACTGGTAGCACCAGTGTCCTCTATGTGTGGTCACTTCCAACACAAACTAATGTAAAGATGCCCTATCCTACCGGTAGCACCAGTGTCCTCTATGTCTGGTAACATCCAACAAAAACTGAAGTAAAGATGTCCTATCCTACCGGTAGCACCAGTGTCCTCTATGTGTGGTCACTTCCAACAAACACTAAGGCCAAGATGCCCTATCCTACCGGAAGCAGCAGTGTCCTCTATGTCTGGTCACTTCCATCAACAAAAACTAAGGTACAGATGCCCTATCCTACCGGTAGCACCAGTGTCCTCTATGTCTGATCACTTCCAACAAACACTAAGGTAAAGAAGTCCTGTCCTACCGGTAGCACCAGTGTCCTCCATGTGTGGTCACTTCCAACAAAAACTAATGTAAAGATGCCCTATCCTACCGGTAGCACCAGTGTCCTCTATGTCTTGTCACTTCCAACAAAAACTAAGGTAAAGATGCCCTATCCTACCGGTAGCAGCAGTGTCCTCTATGTGTGGTCACTTCCAACAAACACTAAGGTAAAGATGCCCTATCCTACCGGTAGCACCAGTGTCCTCTATGTCTTGTCTCTTCCAACAAAAACTAATGTAAAGATGCCCTATCCTACCGGTAGCACCAGTGTCCTCTATGTCTTGTCACTTCCAACAAAAACTAAAGTAAAGATGCCCTATCCTACCGGTAGTACCAGTGTCCTCTATGTCTTGTTACTTCCAACAAAAACTAAGGTAAAGAAGCCCTATCCTACCGGTAGTACCAGTGTCCTCTATGTCTTGTCACTTCCAACAACAAAAACTAAGGTAACGATGCCCTATCCTACCGGTAGCACCAGTGTCCTCTATGTCTGGTCACTTCCAAAAAAAACTAAGGCCAAGATGCCCTATCCTACCGGTAGCAGCCATCGCATCCAAGCCCATGTTTTTGCCTGACGCTGCACAGCAGCACTCCCGTCAAGCGAAGGCGGCCTGTAAGCACTGGAGCATCCAGTGACACCATAGCGCGTTGAGAGAAGGTCCTCCTGTGCCGTAGAGGGCCTCCCTCGTCCTGGAACTGAACACACCAGTGTGTCTGTGTAACCGACCTGTCAGTGTGTACTCTAGTTCGTGCTCCTGCATCTTGTTTCCATGCTGGTGTTGTAAGTTAGAAGACCGAACACCGGATGTCCATGTTAGTGTTGTAGCCGGTGACCATGTTAGTACCGTAAGTTAGAAGTTAGAACACCGAGTGTCCATGTTAGTGCCGTAAGTTAGAAGTTAGAACACCGGGTGTCCATGTTAGTACCGTGAGTTAGAAGTTAGAACACCGGGTGTCCATGTTAGTGTCGTGAGTTAGAAGTTAGAACACCGAGTGACCATGTTAGTGTTGTAAACCGTGTCGATGTTAGTCTCTTAAGTTAGAAGATCGAAGACCGGGTGTCCATGTTAGTGTCGTAAGTGAGAAGATTCAACACCGGATGTCCATGTTAGTGTCGTAAGTTAGAAGATTCAACAGCGGGTGTTCATGTTAGTGTCAAAAGTAAGAAGATCGAAGACCGGGTGTCCATGTTAATGTCGTAAGTTAGAAGAGTCAACACCGGGTGTTCATGTTAGTGTGGTAAGGAAGAAGATCGAAGACCGGGTGTCCATGTTAGTGTTATAAGTTAGAAGATCAAAGACCGGGTGTCCATGTTAGTGTCGTAAGTAAGAAGATTCAACACCGGGTGTTCATGTTAGTGTCGTAAGTTAGAAGATCGAAGACCGGGTGTCCATGTTAGTGTCGTTAGTTAGAAGATTCAACACCGGGTGTTCATGTTAGTGTCGTTAGTTAGAAGACCGAACACCTGGTGTCCATGTTAGTGTTGTAAGTTAGAAGACAGAACACCGGGTGTCCATGTTAGTGTTGTAACCTGTGTCCATGTTAGTGTTGTAAGTTAAAAGACCGATCCCCGGGTGTTCATGTTAGTGTTGTAAGTTAAAAGACCGAAAACCGGGTGTTCATGTTAGTGTTGTAGGTTATAAGACCGAATAACGGGTCCCTGTGCTGACTGTGGGGCGATAAGTCAGCTGTGGCATACGTGTATCAATACCGCTACTTCTCCATTGCAGGTGCTGTACATGGGCATCGCTTCGTTCGCCCCGTCCACTGCTTTAGAAGCCGGTACGCACGTTTTAAGTGCTTACGTCAAGAAGCTAACACTATCCCTTTAATTTAACGTATACATTGAGTGCTCTTGCAATCTAATGTACAATTAATCGCGATCTAAAGTATAAGATGAATCAAATCAAGCTGCACGGAGAAACTTAACGCAAGATATCCCGTTACCTGTAGGCCACAGAGCTTCTCCCAGGTTAAGTATGAGGGTGTGAGAACGGAGGCAAGAGTATAGAGGACATTAGGACCAAGAGTTCTGTAACCTTTGTAGAGCGGACAGATTAAGTATAGATAGACTATAGAGCAAAAACATATATTGGCTGCATGCACACACACACACACACACACCCCCCCCCCCCCCCCCCCCCCCCCCCCCCCCCCCCTACCGGGGACAGGTTAATTTCGCCCGTGCAGGAAATATTTCTATTACAACATGCTTCAAAAACAACACAGAGCGGGCAGCTACTTCGTTAATGATTATCTGGAACACCCCTCGTGTTTATATGAACTCATTCGGTACGATAACACATTTCATGTAAAAATTAACGCCCTTTCATTTATGGTCTAAATTGAGTACCCTTGCAATCTAATGTAAAATTGATCGCAATCTAAATTATGAAATGAACCCAGTCAACCTCTATGGTGAATTTTGACGCAAGGTAGGACGGAGGTGTACTTTAAGCCCCCTGGGAATGCCCATTTTTAAGGTTGCGGAAATATTAGTATGGGAATTACAAGACATGTTCAAACACTTTTTGAAATCATGTCATCATCAAAAATATAAATATGGCCCAAATGAGTTCAAAAGACCCATCATTCGAACTTTAAACGAAACGCTGACTTGCTATCACGTGTTGGTAGTGTTGTTATCTCCATATCCCGACAATGCTGACATTGTCAAATTCTATAAAAACGTTTCATGGCAGCATCTTAAAAATCAGTCTTCTTGACACATGTACCCCATTTCCGCAATGTTGTCAGAAGTTCCGAACATGAAAGTGTTAAAATGGACATATGAACCTGTCAACAATGTGACTGTGTATAGTATATATGAACCTGTCAACAATGTGACTGTGTATAGTATATATGAACCTGTCAACAATCTGACTGTGTATAGTATATATGAACCTGTCAACAATGTGACTGTGTATAGTATAGTTTATATGAACCTGTCAACAATGTGACTGTGTATAGTATATATGAACCTGTCAACAATGTGACTGTATATAGTATATATGAACCTGTCAACAATATGACTGTGTATAGTATATATGAACCTGTCAACAATGTGACTGTGTATAGTATATATGAACCTGTCAACAATGTGACTGTGAATAGTATAGTATATATGAACGTGTCAACAATGTGACTGTGTATAGTATAGTTTAAATGAACCTGTCAACAATGTGAATGTGTATAGTATAGTTTATATGAACCTGTCAACAATGTGACTGTGTATAGTATAGTTTATATGAACCTGTCAACAATGTGACTGTGTATAGTATAGTTTATATGAACCTGTCAACAATGTGACTGTGTATAGTATAGTTTATATGAACCTGTTAACAATGTGACTGTGTATAGTATAGTTTATATGAACCTGTCAACAATGTGACTGTGTATAGTATAGTTTATATGAACCTGTCAACAATGTGACTGTGTATAGTATAGTTTATATGAACCTGTCAACAATGTGACTGTGTATAGTATAGTTTATATGAACCTGTCAACAATGTGACTGTGTATAGTATAGTTTATATGAACCTGTCAACAATGTGACTGTGTATAGTATAGTTTATATGAACCTGTCAACAATGTGACTGTGTATAGAATAGTATATATGAACGTGTCAACAATGTGACTGTGTATAGTATAGTTTATATGAACCTGTCAACAATGTGACTGTGTATAGTATAGTATATATGAACCTGTCAACAATGTGACTGTGTATAGTATAGTTTATATGAACGTGTCAACAATGTGACTGTGTATAGTATAGTTATATGAACCTGTCAACAATGTGACTGTGTATAGTATAGTTTATATGAACCTGTCAACAATGTGACTGTGTATAGTATAGTTTAAATGAACCTGTCAACAATGTGAATGTGTATAGTATAGTTTATATGAACCTGTCAACAATGTGAATGTATATAGTATAGTTTATATGAACCTGTCAACAATGTGACTGTGTATAGTATAGTTTATATGAACCTGTCAACAATGTGACTGTGTATAGTATAGTTTATATGAACCTGTCAACAATGTGACTGTGTATAGTATAGTTTATATGAACCTGTCAACAATGTGACTGTGTATAGTATAGTTTATATGAACCTGTCAACAATGTGACTGTGTATAGTATAGTATATATGAACCTGTCAACAATGTGACTGTGTATAGTATAGTTTATATGAACGTGTCAACAATGTGACTGTGTATAGTATAGTTATATGAACCTGTCAACAATGTGACTGTGTATAGTATAGTTTATATGAACCTGTCAACAATGTGACTGTGTATAGTATAGTTTAAATGAACCTGTCAACAATGTGAATGTGTATAGTATAGTTTATATGAACCTGTCAACAATGTGAATGTGTATAGTATAGTTTATATGAACCTGTCAACAATGTGACTGTGTATAGTATAGTTTATATGAACCTGTCAACAATGTGACTGTGTATAGTATAGTTTATATGAACCTGTTAACAATGTGACTGTGTATAGTATAGTTTATATGAACCTGTCAACAATGTGACTGTGTATAGTATAGTTTATATGAACGTGTCAACAATGTGACTGTGTATAGTATAGTTTATATGAACCTGTCAACAATGTGACTGTGTATAGTATAGTTTATATGAACCTGTCAACAATGTGACTGTGTATAGTATAGTTTATATGAACCTGTCAACAATGTGACTGTGTATAGTATAGTTTATATGAACGTGTCAACAATGTGACTGTGTATAGTATAGTTTATATGAACCTGTCAACAATGAGACTGTGTATAGTATAGTATATATGAACGTGTCAACAATGTGACTGTGTATAGTATAGTTTATATGAACCTGTCAACAATGTGACTGTGTATAGTATAGTATATATGAACCTGTCAACAATGTGACTGTGTATAGTATAGTTTATATGAACGTGTCAACAATGTGACTGTGTATAGTATAGTTATATGAACCTGTCAACAATGTGACTGTGTATAGTATAGTTTATATGAACCTGTCAACAATGTGACTGTGTATAGTATAGTTTAAATGAACCTGTCAACAATGTGAATGTGTATAGTATAGTTTATATGAACCTGTCAACAATGTGAATGTGTATAGTATAGTTTATATGAACCTGTCAACAATGTGACTGTGTATAGTATAGTTTATATGAACCTGTCAACAATGTGACTGTGTATAGTATAGTTTATATGAACCTGTTAACAATGTGACTGTGTATAGTATAGTTTATATGAACGTGTCAACAATGTGACTGTGTATAGTATAGTTTATATGAACCTGTCAACAATGTGACTGTGTATAGTATAGTATATATGAACCTGTCAACAATGTGACTGTGTATAGTATAGTTTATATGAACCTGTCAACAATGTGACTGTGTATAGTATAGTATATATGAACCTGTCAACAATGTGACTGTGTATAGTATAGTTTATATGAACGTGTCAACAATGTGACTGTGTATAGAATAGTTATATGAACCTGTCAACAATGTGACTGTGTATAGTATAGTTTATATGAACCTGTCAACAATGTGACTGTGTATAGTATAGTTTATATGAACCTGTCAACAATGTGACTGTGTATAGTATAGTTTATATGAACGTGTCAACAATGTGACTGTGTATAGTATAGTTTATATGAACCTGTCAACAATGTGACTGTGTATAGTATAGTTATATGAACCTGTCAACAATGTGACTGTGCATAGTATAGTTTATATGAACGTGTCAACAATGTGACTGTGTATAGTATAGTTTATATGAACCTGTCAACAATGTGACTGTGTATAGTATAGTATATATGAACCCGTCAACAATGTGACTGTGTATAGTATAGTTTATATGAACGTGTCAACAATGTGACTGTGTATAGTATAGTTATATGAACCTGTCAACAATGTGACTGTGTATAGTATAGTTTATATGAACGTGTCAACAATGTGACTGTGTATAGTATAGTTTATATGAACCTGTCAACAATGTGACTGTGTATAGTATAGTTTATATGAACCTGTCAACAATGTGACTGTGTATAGTATAGTTTATATGAACCTGTCAACAATGTGACTGTGTATAGTATAGTTTATATGAACGTGTCAACAATGTGACTGTGTATAGTATAGTTTATATGAACCTGTCAACAATGTGACTGTGTATAGTATAGTTTATATGAACCTGTCAACAATGTGACTGTGTATAGTATAGTTTATATGAACCTGTCAACAATGTGACTGTGTATAGTATAGTATATATGAACCTGTCAACAATGTGACTGTGTATAGTATAGTTTATATGAACGTGTCAACAATGTGACTGTGTATAGTATAGTTATATGAACCTGTCAACAATGTGACTGTGTATAGTATAGTTTATATGAACCTGTCAACAATGTGACTGTGTATAGTATAGTTTAAATGAACCTGTCAACAATGTGAATGTGTATAGTATAGTTTATATGAACCTGTCAACAATGTGAATGTGTATAGTATAGTTTATATGAACCTGTCAACAATGTGACTGTGTATAGTATAGTTTATATGAACCTGTCAACAATGTGACTGTGTATAGTATAGTTTATATGAACCTGTTAACAATGTGACTGTGTATAGTATAGTTTATATGAACCTGTCAACAATGTGACTGTGTATAGTATAGTTTATATGAACGTGTCAACAATGTGACTGTGTATAGTATAGTTTATATGAACCTGTCAACAATGTGACTGTGTATAGTATAGTTTATATGAACCTGTCAACAATGTGACTGTGTATAGTATAGTTTATATGAACCTGTCAACAATGTGACTGTGTATAGTATAGTTTATATGAACGTGTCAACAATGTGACTGTGTATAGTATAGTTTATATGAACCTGTCAACAATGAGACTGTGTATAGTATAGTATATATGAACGTGTCAACAATGTGACTGTGTATAGTATAGTTTATATGAACCTGTCAACAATGTGACTGTGTATAGTATAGTATATATGAACCTGTCAACAATGTGACTGTGTATAGTATAGTTTATATGAACGTGTCAACAATGTGACTGTGTATAGTATAGTTATATGAACCTGTCAACAATGTGACTGTGTATAGTATAGTTTATATGAACCTGTCAACAATGTGACTGTGTATAGTATAGTTTAAATGAACCTGTCAACAATGTGAATGTGTATAGTATAGTTTATATGAACCTGTCAACAATGTGAATGTGTATAGTATAGTTTATATGAACCTGTCAACAATGTGACTGTGTATAGTATAGTTTATATGAACCTGTCAACAATGTGACTGTGTATAGTATAGTTTATATGAACCTGTTAACAATGTGACTGTGTATAGTATAGTTTATATGAACGTGTCAACAATGTGACTGTGTATAGTATAGTTTATATGAACCTGTCAACAATGTGACTGTGTATAGTATAGTATATATGAACCTGTCAACAATGTGACTGTGTATAGTATAGTTTATATGAACCTGTCAACAATGTGACTGTGTATAGTATAGTATATATGAACCTGTCAACAATGTGACTGTGTATAGTATAGTTTATATGAACGTGTCAACAATGTGACTGTGTATAGAATAGTTATATGAACCTGTCAACAATGTGACTGTGTATAGTATAGTTTATATGAACCTGTCAACAATGTGACTGTGTATAGTATAGTTTATATGAACCTGTCAACAATGTGACTGTGTATAGTATAGTTTATATGAACGTGTCAACAATGTGACTGTGTATAGTATAGTTTATATGAACCTGTCAACAATGTGACTGTGTATAGTATAGTTATATGAACCTGTCAACAATGTGACTGTGCATAGTATAGTTTATATGAACGTGTCAACAATGTGACTGTGTATAGTATAGTTTATATGAACCTGTCAACAATGTGACTGTGTATAGTATAGTATATATGAACCCGTCAACAATGTGACTGTGTATAGTATAGTTTATATGAACGTGTCAACAATGTGACTGTGTATAGTATAGTTATATGAACCTGTCAACAATGTGACTGTGTATAGTATAGTTTATATGAACGTGTCAACAATGTGACTGTGTATAGTATAGTTTATATGAACCTGTCAACAATGTGACTGTGTATAGTATAGTTTATATGAACCTGTCAACAATGTGACTGTGTATAGTATAGTTTATATGAACCTGTCAACAATGTGACTGTGTATAGTATAGTTTATATGAACCTGTCAACAATGTGACTGTGTATAGTATAGTTTATATGAACCTGTCAACAATGTGACTGTGTATAGTATAGTTTATCGTGTTGTGCTCTCCTGGAGAATATCTGATCATTTTCTAACTTCAGTCACCGGGTTTCCCACATGGGCCAGTATCGTCACTGTCGGACTCGTGTCAACGTTCTATACCTCGCTGGTAAGTACGACAGATTATGTACGAAGGTATGTAAATGTAAGGAACAAAACACTGTCCACATCATAAGAAATCTCGGGCAGAAGGTGAGTCCATTGTTTTTATGAATCACTTTCAAATATACTATTCAAAAAAAGAAACGCATAACCCGTATTTGCTGAGAAAATGTTGTATATTCAAACCTGAATAACTTGGTAGGAAATGAACTTGAGTACATGAAATTTTACATCCGTTTAGGAGAGATCAATGTCTATACCATGATGTCCATAACTTGAGGTAAGGCATTCACAATATTCCTCAAACGTGAATGGAGTATCAATATCTGTTGTGCCCACCACGTGCACGAATAACAGTTCTCACACGCCTTGTCACAGACTGGGTGAGACGCTGGATACCGTCCTGGGGAATCCTCCGCCACTCCTCCTACATAAATGCAGCTAGTGCCAGGAGAGTTTGGGGTTGATGTTGACGCTGACAGAGACGGCGATCAAGTTCATCCCACAGGTGCTCCATTGGGTTAAGATCCGGGAACGGGACGGCCAGGGGAGCACGTTGACATTGTTAGCAGCGAGACAGGTCATTGTGACACGTGCCGTCTGGGGCCGGGTGTTGTCCTGCTGGAACAGCTCACGTTGGACGTCAATGCCTGGCAGGAGGTGTGGTAGCAGGATGGTGTCTCTGTAGCGTACAGCCGTCAGGTTTCCCTGGACGTGGACAAGATCGGTACGATCAGTTTAGGATATTGCCGCCCACATCATCACACTCCCTCCACCAAATCTGTCCACTTGACGTACGCAGTTAGGGGCATAACGTTCATGAACACGTCTGTAGACCCGGTTCCTACCATCACGTCTCTGCAACAGGAATCTGGACTCATCGCTAAACCAAATGCGTCGCAAGTTGCGAAGGTTCCAGGCAGTCACGTTGTTACACCAACGGAGACGATGAGCACGATGGTGACGACGTAGCACGTTCCCGACTTAGGGTCTCCTGGCTTCTCAGTCCATGTTCTCTCAGCCTGTTCCGTACAATCTGGCCTGATATCCTCCTAAGTCCAGGCACCCTAGCTGCAGTGCTCTCACCCGTAGCAGTACGGTCACGCAAATGGAGGACCCGGATGTAGCGACCCTGGGCTGGTGTGACTCTAGGTCTTCCTGTACGGGGACGGTCATTTGTTGTGCCTGTTTGGTTGTAGCGAGCTGCAAGCAGTGATATTGTGCTTTGGCTAACTTTCAGACGTCGGGCAACAGAAGATTGGGACTCTCCAGCCTGCAGTCTTCCAATGGCGATGTTCCTTGTGGCAGCATCAAGACGTGGCATGTTCATTTGGCTTGGAAACACCTTCTGATGAATGCCTATTTCCGAAAGGAAGCTTGCCTTTTATTGCCAAACACTGCATGCTTTTCCTGCCCAATTTCAACGTGCAAGATGCCACTTGTTGCGTTGTGGTGATGCATTTCTAACTCATTCTAAAAAAAATCACATCAAAGTCAACATTTTCAAGCAAAATCGATTTGTTTCAAACGGAAGTGTGTCCATTGATGCTCATACCAATATTGATACATATTTTGACGATAACATGAATGCAATAGATATTATTTTCGTTTTGACGTATCAGAGACACCTATGCGTTTCTTTTTTTCAGTGTAATACGTGTCCAGGGATCCATTGACTGTGTAATATGTGTCATGTGATCCATTGACTGTGTAATACGTGTCCAGTGATCCATTGACAGTGTAATATGTGTCCTGTGATCCATTGACTGTGTAATACGTGTCGTATCATCCATTGACAGTGTAATACGTGTCCAGTGAACCATTGACAGTGTAATACGTGTCCAGTGATCCATTGACAGTGTAATACGTGTCCAGTGAACCATTGACACCGTAATACGTGTCGTATCATCCATTGACAGTGTAATACGTGTCCAGGGATCCATTGACACCGTAATACGTGTCCAGTGAACCATTGACAGTGTAATACGTGTCCAGTGATCCATTGACAGTGTAATACGTGTCCAGTGAACCATTGACACCGTAATACGTGTCTTATCATCCATTGACAGTGTAATACGTTCCAGGGATCCATTGACTGTGTAATATGTGTCCAGTGATCCATTGACTGTGTAATATGTGTCCAGTGATCCATTGACTGTGTAATACGTGTCCAGTGAACCATTGACAGTGTAATATGTGTCCTGTGATCCATTGACAGTGTAATACGTGTCCAGGGATCCATTGACAGTGTAATATGTGTTCTGTGATCGATTGACTGTGTAATACGTGTCCAGTGAACCATTGACTGTGTAATATGTGTTCTGTGATCCATTGACAGTGTAATACGTGTCCAGGGATCCATTGACTGTGTAATATGTGTCCAGTGATCCATTGACTGTGTAATACGTGTCCAGTGAACCATTGACAGTGTAATATGTGTCCTGTGATCCATTGACAGTGTAATATGTGTTCTGTGATCGATTGACTGTGTAATACGTGTCCAGTGAACCATTGACTGTGTAATATGTGTCCTGTGATCCATTGACAGTGTAATACGTGTCCAGGGATCCATTGACTGTGTAATATGTGTTCTGTGATCGATTGACTGTGTAATACGTGTCCAGTGAACCATTGACAGTGTAATATGTGTCCTGTGATCCATTGACTGTGTAATACGTGTCCAGTGATCCATTGACTGTGTAATACGTGTCCAGTGAACCATTGACTGTGTAATATGTGTCCTGTGATCCATTGACAGTGTAATACGTGTCCAGGGATCCATTGACAGTGTAATATGTGTCCTGTGATCCATTGACTGTGTAATACGTGTCCAGGGATCCATTGACAGTGTAATATGTGTCATGTGATCCATTGACTGTGTAATATGTGTCCTGTGATCCATTGACAGTGTAATACGTGTCCAGTGATCCATTGACAGTGTAATACGTGTCCAGTGATCCATTGACAGTGTAATACGTGTCCAGTGATCCATTGACAGTGTAATACGTGTCCAGTGATCCATTGACTGTGTAATACGTGTCCAGTGATCCATTGACTGTGTAATATGTGTCCTGTGATCCATTGACAGTGTGATACGTGTCCAGTGATCCATTGACTGTGTAATACGTGTCCAGGGATCCATTGACAGTGTAATATGTGTCATGTGATCCATTGACAGTGTAATATGTGTCATGTGATCCATTGACTGTGTAATATGTGTCCTGTGATCCATTGACTGTGTAATACGTGTCCAGGGATCCATTGACAGTGTAATACGTGTCCAGGGATCCATTGACTGTGTAATATGTGTCATGTGATCCATTGACTGTGTAATATGTGTCCTGTGATCCATTGACTGTGTAATATGTGTCCTGTGATCCATTGACAGTGTAATATGTGTCATGTGATCCATTGACTGTGTAATACGTGTCCAGGGATCCATTGACAGTGTAATATGTGTCATGTGATCCATTGACTGTGTAATACGTGTCCTGTGATCCATTGACTGTGTAATATGTGTCCTGTGATCCATTGACAGTGTAATATGTGTCCAGGGATCCATTGACAGTGTAATATGTGTCATGTGATCCATTGACTGTGTAATACGTGTCCAGGGATCCATTGACAGTGTAATATGTGTCATGTGATCCATTGACTGTGTAACACGTGTCCAGGGATCCATTGACAGTGTAATACGTGTCCAGTGAACCATTGACAGTCTAATACGTGTCGTATCATCCATTGACAGTGTAATACGTGTCCAGGGATCCATTGACTGTGTAATATGTGTCATGTGATCCATTGACTGTGTAATACGTGTCCAGTGATCCATTGACAGTGTAATACGTGACAAGTGAACCATTGACAGTGTAATATGTGTCCTGTGATCCATTGACTGTGTAATACGTGTCCAGTGATCCATTGACAGTGTAATACGTGTCCAGTGAACCATTGACAGTGTAATACGTGTCCAGTGATCCATTGACAGTGTAATACGTGTCCAGTGATCCATTGACAGTGTAATACGTGTCTTATCATCCATTGACAGTGTAATACGTTCCAGGGATCCATTGACTGTGTAATATGTGTTCTGTGATCGATTGACTGTGTAATACGTGTCCAGGGATCCATTGACAGTGTAATACGTGTCCAGTGAACCATTGACAGTGTAATACGTGTCCAGTGATCCATTGACAGTGTAATACGTGTCCAGTGAACCATTGACAGTGTAATACGTGTCTTATCATCCATTGACAGTGTAATACATGTCCAGTGATCCATTGACAGTGTAATACGTGTCCAGTGAACCATTGACAGTGTAATACGTGTCTTATCATCCATTGACAGTGTAATACGTGTCCAGTGATCCATTGACTGTGTAATATGTGTCCTGTGATCCATTGACTGTGTAATACGTGTCCAGTGATCCATTGACTGTGTAATACGTGTCCAGTGAACCATTGACAGTGTAAAACGTGTCTTATCATCCATTGACAGTGTAATACGTGTCCAGGGATCCATTGACAGTGTAATAAGTGTCCAGTGATCCATTGACAGTGTAATATGTGTCCAGTGATCCATTGACAGTGTAATACGTGTCCAGGGATCCATTGACAGTGTAATAAGTGTCCAGGGATCCATTGACAGTGTAATAAGTGTCCAGTGATCCATTGGCAGTGTAATACGTGTCCAGTGATCCATTGACAGTGTAATACGTGTCCTGTGATCCATTGACAGTGTAATACGTGTCCAGTGATCCATTGACAGTGTAATACGTGTCCAGTGATCCATTGACAGTGTAATACGTGTCCAGTGATCCATTGACAGTGTAATAGGTGTCCAGTGATCCATTGACAGTGTAATACGTGTCCAGTGATCCATTGACAGTGTAATACGTGTCCAGTGATCCATTGACAGTGTAATACGTGTCCTGTGATCCATTGACGGTGTAATACGTGGTCAGTGATCTATTGACAGTGTAATACGTGTCCAGTGATCCATTGACAGTATAATACGTGTCCAGTGATCCATTGACAGTGTAATACGTGTCCTGTGATCCATTGACAGTGTAATACGTGTCCAGTGATCCATTGACAGTATAATACGTGTCCAGTGATCCATTGACAGTGTAATACGTGTCCAGTGATCCATTGACAGTGTAATACGTGTCCTGTGATCCATTGACGGTGTAATACGTGGTCAGTGATCCATTGACAGTGTAATACGTGTCCTGTGATCCATTGACGGTGTAATACGTGGTCAGTGATCTATTGACAGTGTAATACGTGTCCAGTGATCCATTGACAGTGTAATACGTGTCCAGTGATCCATTGACAGTGTAATACGTGTCCTGTGATCCATTGACAGTATAATACGTGTCCAGTGATCCATTGACAGTGTAATACGTGTCCTGTGATCCATTGACAGTGTAATACGTGTCCAGTGATCCATTGACAGTATAATACGTGTCCAGTGATCCATTGACAGTGTAATACGTGTCCAGTGATCCATTGACAGTGTAATACGTGTCCTGTGATCCATTGACGGTGTAATACGTGGTCAGTGATCTATTGACAGTGTAATACGTGTCCAGTGATCCATTGACAGTATAATACGTGTCCAGTGATCTATTGACAGTGTAATACTTATCAAGGGATCCATTGACATTGTAATAAGTGTCCAGTGATCCATTGACAGTGTAATACGTGTCCAGGGATCCATTGACAGTGTAATAAGTGTCTTATCATCCATTGACAGTGTAATACGTGTCCAGTGATCCATTGACTGTGTAATATGTGTCCTGTGATCCATTGACTGTGTAATACGTGTCCAGTGATCCATTGACTGTGTAATACGTGTCCAGTGAACCATTGACAGTGTAAAACGTGTCTTATCATCCATTGACAGTGTAATACGTGTCCAGGGATCCATTGACAGTGTAATAAGTGTCCAGTGATCCATTGACAGTGTAATATGTGTCCAGTGATCCATTGACAGTGTAATACGTGTCCAGGGATCCATTGACAGTGTAATAAGTGTCCAGGGATCCATTGACAGTGTAATAAGTGTCCAGTGATCCATTGGCAGTGTAATACGTGTCCAGTGATCCATTGACAGTGTAATACGTGTCCTGTGATCCATTGACAGTGTAATACGTGTCCAGTGATCCATTGACAGTGTAATACGTGTCCAGTGATCCATTGACAGTGTAATACGTGTCCAGTGATCCATTGACAGTGTAATAGGTGTCCAGTGATCCATTGACAGTGTAATACGTGTCCAGTGATCCATTGACAGTGTAATACGTGTCCAGTGATCCATTGACAGTGTAATACGTGTCCTGTGATCCATTGACGGTGTAATACGTGGTCAGTGATCTATTGACAGTGTAATACGTGTCCAGTGATCCATTGACAGTATAATACGTGTCCAGTGATCCATTGACAGTGTAATACGTGTCCTGTGATCCATTGACAGTGTAATACGTGTCCAGTGATCCATTGACAGTATAATACGTGTCCAGTGATCCATTGACAGTGTAATACGTGTCCAGTGATCCATTGACAGTGTAATACGTGTCCTGTGATCCATTGACGGTGTAATACGTGGTCAGTGATCCATTGACAGTGTAATACGTGTCCTGTGATCCATTGACGGTGTAATACGTGGTCAGTGATCTATTGACAGTGTAATACGTGTCCAGTGATCCATTGACAGTGTAATACGTGTCCAGTGATCCATTGACAGTGTAATACGTGTCCTGTGATCCATTGACAGTATAATACGTGTCCAGTGATCCATTGACAGTGTAATACGTGTCCTGTGATCCATTGACAGTGTAATACGTGTCCAGTGATCCATTGACAGTATAATACGTGTCCAGTGATCCATTGACAGTGTAATACGTGTCCAGTGATCCATTGACAGTGTAATACGTGTCCTGTGATCCATTGACGGTGTAATACGTGGTCAGTGATCTATTGACAGTGTAATACGTGTCCAGTGATCCATTGACAGTATAATACGTGTCCAGTGATCTATTGACAGTGTAATACTTATCAAGGGATCCATTGACATTGTAATAAGTGTCCAGTGATCCATTGACAGTGTAATACGTGTCCAGGGATCCATTGACAGTGTAATAAGTGTCCAGTGATCCATTGACAGTGTAATGCGTGTTCTGTGATCCATTGACTGGACATGATAAGTTAGAAATGATCACTCATTTATTTTTAATTTATTTATTAGCACGATTCCTATGTGAATGTGAACATGTGTTATCGTATTTCATACTATGTTTGTATTTTAGCGATTATGTATCCTATTTTAGGGAGGAATGAAGGCGGTTGTGTGGACAGACGTGTTTCAGTCGGCGGTGATGCTCGCTGGTGTGTTGGCCATTGTGATTAAGGTAACATGACAGAAAAAAAATCATAATTACATCAATAACAATAACCGCCAGTGAATTATTTTGTTGAAGGATATATGCATTTTTGATGTCATAGTACGATCGACCCTAGTGACATGACAGGTCATGTGGAAAAGAAAATACAGTAAACTACGTTTATAACGAACACGCTTATAACGCACTGACGGATATAACGAACATATTTTTGGTCACGGCAATTTGCTGTATATATGCTTATAACGAACTACGGTTATATCGAACTAATATCAGTGGTCCCTTTGTGCTCGTTATAACCGTAATTTACTTATAACCGAGACTGGTTAGTCTCAGGCGTTTATGGTATACATTTACTTGTTAACTCCAGTTATTGTTTGACAAACGTCGTAGTTATTCTCATACATAGGTAAGTCAACAATAATAACTTCAAAGACAGATTATATAATAATTAATACCACAATAGGACAGCGTTGAGATCGTTCAGCGCCATGATGCCACGCTGCCCACCTTAGTATCAGCCAATCAGGTAACAGTGGGAATGACGTTATTTTTGTTTGGTTTTTGGAAACACATATGCAAAGCTAATTTGCATGTATGTATTTATGATATTCATAACATACTCCGAAAAAACAGAAAAGCAAAAGTGAGTGAGTGAGTGAGTATGCTTTTACGCCACTTTTAGCAATATTCCAGCAATATCACGCCTGGGGACACCAGAAATGGGCTTCACACATTGTACCCATGTCGGGAATCGAACCCGGGTCTTCGGCGTGACGAGCGAACGCTTTAACCACTAGGCTACCTGACCGCCCCAAAAGCAAAAGTGATTTCACGTGTTTATTTTCTATATCATATAACTAATCAACGGAATGATGGTAGTGCTTGAGTCAACTGTCGGAGACACCGTGGTTGTTGCTGACGTGCTCGCAGCCGTTGATCCATTGCATCCCATAAATGTTTGATAAGGTTTCAATCTGGAGACCTGGAGGGCCATGGCAGGAACCTGGTTGTTGTGATTCCTGAAAAAGGCTGATGTCAGCTTTGCCGTATGTGGTCGGGCGTTGTCTTGTGGTCTTGTCTGGGCTGATATCATACGCAATCCTGATATTACTGTAGTTGAAGAGGTGGCAGTGGTCGTATTTTCACGTACGTGATGTACCCGTATGAAAACGTGGTCGACTGGATCTGAGAAGGTCACGTGTTGTCCCGTGTGCCTGATAACGGTACCACGCCTTGTAACGGTGCTTTGTGCTGAGCGGAAAAACCTGGCTACGACCAAAGATGATTCTCGTGTTGCAGTCCGCCGATGGCGTTGTTGCGTTGGGCTTCCGTCAGTCATCGCATGTTTTCGCTTTTCACTTGCTATAAGACTGGGATGGCATGCACATGATAACCTAACGTTTCCTAGACCAGAAAGTGATGTTGCACGTACATGTCAAGTCGGTGTGGTTCGGCGCCAGGCTCTCACGTGGTTGTGTTTTGGGATTTATTCAGCTTTTCACCATATTTCTACAGTACCTCGTTTTTCCCCTCACAAATCTGCCCCAATCAATGCAGAAATGACCAATTCACTTTTTATAATTATCTTGTTTGGGTGTCGGCAACACTGTCAAATAAATTTATTTACGATTTTACTACTTTGGCGTTTCTATTTATTACACACGCTGTCTCACACTCAAGGAATAAAGAACACCTTTAAGTTAAAATGTGATCTTATATCGCTAGGTGCACCTATATCTGAGGTAAAAGATGAGCTGTCAGCTACATGTTTTCTTCCTTCCTTCCTACAGGGGATAAGTGTTGTTGGTGGAATGGAGGAAGTGTGGAGATTGAACGACGAGTGGGGAAGAATAAAATTCTTTGAGTAGGTCCGCAGACAATCTTGAAACATGTTTCCGATTGATGCAGTGTGCATCTGTATATATCAGATAACATTACATATATTAATGCTCTACAAACAGGTTTCCCATTGATACAGTGTGCATCTGTATATATCAGACAACATTACATATACTAAGCTCTACAAACATGTTACCTTCTGATGAAGTGTCCATCTGTATATATCAGATAGCATTACATATACTAATGCTCTACAAACATGTTACCTTCTGATGAAGTGTCCATCTGTATATATCAGATAACATTACATATACTAATGCTCTACAAAAATGTTACCTACTGATGAAGTGTCCACCTGTATATATCAGATAACATTACATATACTAATGCGCTACAAACATGTTACCTACTGATGAAGTGTGCATCTATATATATCAGATAACATTACATATACTAATGCGACCCGTGAAAATTCTGGGGTAGAATAGGTCTTCAGCAACCTCAGCCTGTCGTAAAAGGCGTCTAACGGGATCGGTTGATGCATGTCATCGTATTCCAATTGCGTTGATCGATGCTTATGATGTCAATCACTGGATTGTCTCGTCCAGACTCGATTTGTTCACAGACCGCCGTCATATAGCTGGAATATTGCCGAGTGCGGCGTTAAACAACAAACCACCAACCAACCAACATATACTAATGCCCTACAAACATGTTACCTTCTGATGAAGTGGCCAGCTGTATATATCAGATAAAATTACATATACTAATGCTCTACAAACATGTTACCTACTGATGAAGTGTCCACCTGTATATATCAGATAACATTACATATATTAATGCTCTACAAACATGTTACCTTCTGATGAAGTGTCCACCTGTATATATCAGATAACATTACATATACTAATGCCCTACAAACATGTTACCTTCTGATGAAGTGTCCATCTGTATATATCAGATAACATTACATATACTAATGCTCTACAAACATGTTACCTGCTGCTCTTTGTATATGTCAGGCAAGGTTAAACATATTAATGCTCTTCAAATGCGTTACTTATTGATAAAGCTTGCATCAGTGCATATAAGTTAACATATTAATGATACCTTATGTCACCTTTTGATCCAGTGTGTATCAGTATATTACATCTAATAATACCCTGCAGCTATGTTTCCTATTGTTCCAATGTGTATCAGTATATAACATCTATTAATACCCTGCAGCTATTATACCTATTATTCCAGTGTGTATCAGTATATTACATCTATTAATACCCTGAAGCTATGTTACCTATTGTTCCAGTGTGTATCAGTATATAACATCTATTAATACATGGCAGCTATTATACCTATTATTCCAGTGTGTATCAGTATATAACATCTATTAATACCCTGCAGCTATGTTACCTATTGTTCCAGTGTGTATCAGTATATAACATCTATTAATACCTTGCAACTATGTTACGTATTGTTCCAGTGTGTATCAGTATATAACATCTATTAATACCCTGCAGCTATGTTACCTATTATTCTAGTGTGTATCAGTATATTACATCTATTAATACCCTGCAGCTATGTTACCTATTGTTCCAGTGTGTATCAGTATATAACATCTATTAATACCTTGCAACTATGTTACTATTGTTCCAGTGTGTATCAGTATATAACATCTATTAATACACTGCAGCTATTATACCTATTATTCCAGTGTGTATCAGTATATTACATCTACTAATACCCTGCAGCTATGTTAACTATTGTTCCAGTGTGTATCAGTATATTACATCTACTAATACCCTGCAGCTATTATACCTATTATTCCAGTGTGTATCAGTATATTACATCTACAATACCCTGCAGGTATGTCACCTATTGTTCCAGTGTGTATCAGTATATAACATCTATTAATACCTTGCAACTATGTTACCTATTGTTCCAGTGTATATCAGTATATAACATCTATTAATACCCTGCAGCTATGTTACCTATTGTTCCAGTGTGTATCAGTATATAACATCTATTAATACTTGGAAGCTATGTTACCTATTGTTCCAGTGTGTATCAGTATATAACATCTATTAATACATGGCAGCTATGTTACCTATTGTTCCAGTGTGTATCAGTGTATTACATCTACTAATACCCTGCAGCTATGTTTCCTATTGTTCCAGTGTGTATCAGTATATAACATCTATTAATACCTTGCAGCTATTATACCTATTATTCCAGTGTGTATCAGTATATTACATCTATTAATACCCTGCAGCTATGTTACCTATTGTTCCAGTGTGTATCAGTATATAACATCTATTAATAACGTGCAACTATGTTACTATTGTTCCAGTGTGTATCAGTATATAACATCTATTAATACCCTGCAGCTATGTTACCTATTGTTCCAGTGTGTATCAGTATATAACATCTATAAATACCCTGCAGCTATGTCACCTATTGTTCCAGTGTGTATCAGTATATAACATCTATTAATACCCTGCAGCTATGTTACCTAATGTTCCAGTGTGTATCAGTATATAACATCTATTAATACTTGGAAGCTATGTTACCTATTGTTCCAGCGTGTATCGGTATATAACATCTATTAATACCCTGCAGCTATGTTACCTATTATTCCAGTGTGTATCAGTATATAACATCTATTAATACCTGGCAGCTATGTTACCTATTGTTCCAGTGTGTATCAGTATATAACATCTATTAATACTTCGAAGCTATGCTACCTATTGTTCCAGTGTGTATCGGTATATAACATCTATTAATACCCTGCAGCTATGTTACCTATTATTCCAGTGTGTATCAGTATATAACATCTATTAATACCTGGCAGCTATGTTACCTATTGTTCCAGTGTGTATCAATATATTATATCTATTAATACCCTGCAGGTATGTCGCCTATTGTTCCAGTGTGTATCAGTATATAACATCTATTAATACCTTGCAGCTATGTTACCTATTGTTCCAGTGTGTATCAGTATATAACATCTATTAATACCCTGCAGCTATGTTACCTATTGTTCCAGTGTGTATCAGTATATAACATCTATTAATATCCTGCAGGTATGTTACCTATTGTTCCAGTGTGTATCAGTATATAACATCTATTAATACCCTGCAGCTATGTTTCCTATTGTTCCAGTGTGTATCAGTATATAACATCTATTAATACCCTGCAGCTATGTTACCTATTGTTCCAGTGTGTATCAGTATGTAACATCTATTAATACCCTGCAGCTATGTTACCTATTGTTCCAGTGTGTATCAGTATATAACATCTATTAATACATGGCAGCTATGTTACCTATTGTTCCAGTGTATATCAGTATATAACATCTATTAATACCCTGCAACTATGTTACTATTGTTCCAGTGTGTATCAGTATATAACATCTATTAATACCCTGCAGCTATGTTACCTATTGTTCCAGTGTGTATCAGTATATAACATTTATTAATACCCTGCAGCTATGTTACCTATTGTTCCAGTGTGTATCAGTATGTAACATCTATTAATACCATGCAGCTATGTTACCTATTGTTCCAGTGTGTATCAGTATATAACATCTATTAATACATGGCAGCTATGTTACCTATTGTTCCAGTGTATATCAGTATATAACATCTATTAATACCCTGCAACTATGTTACTATTGTTCGAGTGTGTATCAGTATATAACATCTATTAATACCCTGCAGCTATGTTACCTATTGTTCCAGTGTGTATCAGTATATAACATTTATTAATACCCTGCAGCTATGTTACCTATTGTTCCAGTGTGTATCAGTATATAACATCTATTAATACCCTGCAGCTATGTTACTTATTCTTCCAGTGTGTATCAGTATATAACATCTATTAATACCCTGCAGGTATGTCACCTATTGTTCCAGTGTGTATCAGTATATAACATCTATTAATATCCTGCAGGTATGTCACCTATTGTTCCAGTGTGTATCAGTATATAACATCTATTGATACCCTGCAGCTATGTTACTATTGTTCCAGTGTGTATCAGTATATAACATCTATTAATACCCTGCAGGTATGTCACCTATTGTTCCAGTGTGTATCAGTATATAACATCTATTAATACCCTGCAGGTATGTCACCTATTGTTCCAGTGTGTATCAGTATATAACATCTATTAATACCCTGCAGCTATGTCACCTATTGTTCCAGTGTGTATCAGTATATAACATCTATTAATACCCTGTAGGTATGTTACCTATTGTTCCAGTGTGTATCAGTATATAACATCTATTAATACCCTGCAGCTATGTCACCTATTGTTCCAGTGTGTATCAGTATATAACATCTATTAATACCCTGCAGGTATGTTACGTATTGTTCGAGTGTGTATCAGTATATAACATCTATTAATACCCTGCAGCTATGTTACCTATTGTTCCAGTGTGTATCAGTAAATAACATCTATTAATACCCTGCAGCTATGTTACCTATTGTTCCAGTGTGTATCAGTATATAACATCTATAAATACCCTGCAGGTATGTTACTATTGTTCCAGTGTGTATCAGTATATAACATATATTAATACCCTGCAGCTATGTCACCTATTGTTCAAGTGTGTATCAGTATATAACATCTATTAATACGCTGCAGCTATGTTACCTATTGTTCCAGTGTGTATCAGTATATAACATCTATTAATACCCTGCAGCTATGTTACCTATTGTTCCAGTGTGTATCAGTATATAACATCTATTAATACCTTGCAGCTATGTTACCTATTGTTCCAGTGTGTATCAGTATATAACATCTATTAATACCATGCAGCTATGTTACCTGTTGGTCCAGTGTGTATCAGTATATTACATCTATTAATACATGGCAGCTATGTTACCTATTGTTCCAGTGTGTATCAGTATATAACATCTATTAATACATGGCAGTTATGTTACCTGTTCTTCTAGTGTGTATCAGTATATAACATGTATTAATACCTGGGAGCTATGTTACCTATTGTTCCAGTGTGTATCAGTATATAACATCTATTAATACATGGCAGCTATGTTACCAATTGTTCCAGTGTGTATCAGTATATAACATCTATTAATACATGTCAGCTATGTTACCTGTTGTTTTAGTGTGTATCAGTATATAACATCTATTAATACCCTGCAGCTATGTTACCTATTGTTCCAGTGTGCATCGGTATATAACATCTATTAATACATGGCAGCTATGTTACCTATTGTTCCAGTGTGTATCAGTATATAACATCTATTAATACCTTGCAGCTATTATACCTATTATTCCAGTGTGTATCAGTATATAACATCTATTAATACCCTGTAGCTATGTTACCTATTGTTCAAGTGTGTATCAGTATATAAAATCTATTAATACCTTGCAACTTTGTTACTATTGTTCCAGTGTGTATCAGTATATAACATCTATTAATACCCTGCAGCTATGTTACCTATTGTTCCAGTGTGTATCAGTATATAACATCTATAAATACCCTGCAGCTATGTCACCTATTGTTCCAGTGTGTATCAGTATATAACATCTATTAATACCCTGCAGCTATGTTACCTAATGTTCCAGTGTGTATCAGTATATAACATCTATTAACACTTGGAAGCTATGTTACCTATTGTTCCAGTGTGTATCGGTATATAACATCTATTTATACCCTGAAGCTATGTTACCTATTATTCCAGTGTGTATCAGTATATAACATCTATTAATACCTGGCAGCTATGTTACTATTGTTCAAGTGTGTATCAGTATATAACATCTTTTAATACTTCGAAGCTATGCTACCTATTGTTCCAGTGTGTATCGGTATATAACATCTATTAATACCCTGCAGCTATGTTACCTATTGTTCCAGTGTGTATCAGTATATAACATCTATTAATACCTGGCAGCTATGTTACCTATTGTTCCAGTGTGTATCAATATATTATATCTATGAATACCCTGCAGGTATATCACCTATTCTTCCAGTGTGTATCAGTATATAACATCTATTAATACCTTGCAGCTATGTTACCTATTGTTCCAGTGTGTATCAGTATATAACATCTATTAATACCCTGCAGCTATGTTACCTATTGTTCCAGTGTGTATCAGTATATAACATCTATTAATACCCTGCAGCTATGTTACCTATTGTTCCAGTGTGTATCAGTATATAACATCTATTAATACCCTGCAGCTATGTTACCTATTGTTCCAGTGTGTATCAGTATATAACATCTATTAATACCCTGCAGCTATGTTATCTATTGTTCCAGTGTGTATCAGTATATAACATCTATTAATACCCTGCAGCAATGTCACCTATTGTTCCAGTGTGTATCAGTATATAAAATCTATTAATACCCTGCGGGTATCTCACCTATTGTTCCAGTGTGTATCAGTATATAACATCTATTAATACCCTGCAGCTATGTTACTATTGTTCCAGTGTGTATCAGTATATAACATCTATTAATACCCTGCAGGTATGTCACCTATTGTTCCAGTGTATATCAGTTTATAACATCTATTAATACCCTGCAGTTATGTTACCTATTGTTCCAGTGTGTATCAGTATATCACATCTATTAATACCCTGTAGCTATGTTACCTATTGTTCCAGTAAGTATCTGTATATAACATCTATTAATACCCTGCAGGTATGTTACCTATTATTCCAGTGGGTATCAGTATATAACATCTATTCATACCCTGCAGCTATGTTACCTATTGTTCCAGTGTGTATCAGTATATAACATCTATTAATACCCTGTAGCTATGTTACCTATTGTTCCAGTGTGTATCAGTATATAACATCTATTAATACCCTGCAGGTATGTCACCTATTGTTCCAGTGTGTATCAGTATATAACATCTATTAATACCCTGCAGGTATGTTACGTATTGTTCGAGTGTGTAGCAGTATATAACATCTATTAATACCCTGCATCTATGTTTCCTATTGTTCCAGTGTGTATCAGTATATAACATCTATAAATACCCTGCAGCTATGTTACTATTGTTCCAGTGTGTATCAGTATATAACATCTATTAATAACCTGCAGCTATGTCACCTATTGTTCCAGTGTGTATCAGTATATAGCATCTATTAATACGCTGCAGCTATGTTCCCTCTTGTTCCAGTGTGTATCAGTATATAACATCTATTAATACCCTGCAGCTAAGTTACCTATTATTCCAGTGTGTATCAGTATATAACATCTATTAATACCTGGCAGCTATGTTACCTATTGTTCAAGTGTGTATCAGTATATAACATCTTTTAATACTTCGAAGCTATGCTACCTATTGTTCCAGTGTGTATCAGTATATAACATCTATTAATACCCTGCAGCTATGTTACCTATTGTTCCAGTGTGTATCAGTATATAACATCTATTAATACCTGGCAGCTATGTTACCTATTGTTCCAGTGTGTATCAATATATTATATCTATGAATACCCTGCAGGTATATCACCTATTCTTCCAGTGTGTATCAGTATATAACATCTATTAATACCTTGCAGCTATGTTACCTATTGTTCCAGTGTGTATCAGTATATAACATCTATTAATACCCTGCAGCTATGTTACCTATTGTTCCAGTGTGTATCAGTATATAACATCTATTAATACCCTGCAGCTATGTTACCTATTGTTCCAGTGTGTATCAGTATATAACATCTATTAATACCCTGCAGCTATGTTACCTATTGTTCCAGTGTGTATCAGTATATAACATCTATTAATACCCTGCAGCTATGTTATCTATTGTTCCAGTGTGTATCAGTATATAACATCTATTAATACCCTGCAGCAATGTCACCTATTGTTCCAGTGTGTATCAGTATATAAAATCTATTAATACACTGCGGGTATCTCACCTATTGTTCCAGTGTGTATCAGTATATAACATCTATTAATACCCTGCAGCTATGTTACTATTGTTCCAGTGTGTATCAGTATATAACATCTATTAATACCCTGCAGGTATGTCACCTATTGTTCCAGTGTATATCAGTTTATAACATCTATTAATACCCTGCAGTTATGTCACCTATTGTTCCAGTGTGTATCAGTATATAAAATCTATTAATACCCTGCGGGTATCTCACCTATTGTTCCAGTGTGTATCAGTATATCACATCTATTAATACCCTGTAGCTATGTTACCTATTGTTCCAGTAAGTATCTGTATATAACATCTATTAATACCCTGCAGGTATGTTACCTATTATTCCAGTGGGTATCAGTATATAACATCTATTCATACCCTGCAGCTATGTTACCTATTGTTCCAGTGTGTATCAGTATATAACATCTATTAATACCCTGTAGCTATGTTACCTATTGTTCCAGTGTGTATCAGTATATAACATCTATTAATACCCTGCAGGTATGTCACCTATTGTTCCAGTGTGTATCAGTATATAACATCTATTAATACCCTGCAGGTATGTTACGTATTGTTCGAGTGTGTAGCAGTATATAACATCTATTAATACCCTGCATCTATGTTTCCTATTGTTCCAGTGTGTATCAGTATATAACATCTATAAATACCCTGCAGCTATGTTACTATTGTTCCAGTGTGTATCAGTATATAACATCTATTAATAACCTGCAGCTATGTCACCTATTGTTCCAGTGTGTATCAGTATATAGCATCTATTAATACGCTGCAGCTATGTTCCCTCTTGTTCCAGTGTGTATCAGTATATAACATCTATTAATACCCTGCAGCTATGTTACCTGTTGTTCCAGTGTGTATCAGTATATAACATCTATTAATGCCTGGCAGCTATGTTACCTATTGTTCCAGTGTGTTTCAGTATATAACATCTATTAATACCCTGCAGCTATGTTACTATTATTCCAGTGTGTATCAGTATATAACATCTATTAATACCTGCAAGCTATGTTACCTATTGTTCCAGTGTGTATCAGTATATAACATCTATTAATACCTTGTAGCTATGTTACCTATTGTTCCAGTGTGTATCAGTATATAACATCTATTAATACCTTGTAGCTATGTCTCCTTTTGATCCAGTGTGTATCAGTATATAACATCTATTAATACCTGGCAGCTATGTTACTTATTGTTCCAGTGTGTATCAGTATATAACATCTATTAATACCTGGCAGCTATGTTACTTATTGTTCCAGTGTGTATCAGTATATTACATCTATTAATGCCTTGCAACTATGTTACTATTGTTCCAGTGTGTATCAGTATATAACATCTATTAATACCGCGCAACTATGTTACCTATTGTTCCGTTGTTTATCAGTATTTAACATGTATAATTACCTTGCAACTGTGTTACCTATTGTTCCAGTGTGTATCAGTATTTTACATCTATTAATACCGTGCAACTATGTTACCTGTTGATCCAGTGTTCCCCCGATTGTTTTCGCACCGGGCTGCACGAGAGGGCTACATGGACGAGCCACATGATAAATTAATTGACAATCAGAAACTAGTATTTTAATGTAATGTGAGATAATGTATGTTGTTGTTCATCACTGAATGTTGCTTTTTAAGTTTCAACCCAGATCCTACTGCCCGTCACTCCTTCTGGTCCCTCGTTATCGGAACATTGATTGGGTGGTCATCCTTCTACGGGGTCAACCAGGCCAGTGTCCAGCGCTACTGCGCACTGCCCACGCTGCAGCAGGCTAAACTGTAAGTAATGCCGAATGGAAGGGGTACAAGGGCATCAACTCTATAACCCTTGCAGATGAAATTTATACTTTTATCGACGGGTGTTGGTCATCTTCCCGAGGCAAGTCCAGTTTCCACCCTTGCCGAACTAGGCTGGTATTATGGAGTTACATTGTGGCTGGACAAACGAGTCTATGCATAGTCCAATCCCAATCGCGCAACGAAATCGAAATCCGGTTTGTAAACTGTCGTGCAGATTTCGGTCGATTGCAGGATTTGCAAAGAATGTGCACCGCCAACTCGTAGTCAACAGATATTTTCCAAATCTTTTCATGTTTTTAATCAGGAAGCTCACTTGATTTGATGCACTTCGCGATGTAAGACCCGTTTTATCACAATATAGATCTTGATTTTCGGTCAGGGCGCCGCCATTTTGTTTCAAGCAAATGCAAGTGATACGAGAGGTGGAATTTGATTGGTCCATAGGAGAGGCATAAAAGGGACATAACTCGTAATAGCCACTGGTGGCGCTACGATTGAGCCCAGGAATTCCAGAAATGTTCGGCGAGGGTGGCAATTGGACTTTTAAAGTCAGTTAACCCCCCTTGCATCGGGAAGATGGGTGTTGATAGAATTGAGACAAGAGAGTCAGATTGTATTTTTCATCAAAATTATTGTCGATTTGTAAACAGTAATAACCAGTGTTTGGAGTGTAACATGTCCAGCTAATCAGTTTCCGTGGCAGAGAGATTAGATAATGAAAACAAATTATGTAAGTGACGTCATGTAGTCTTTATGACTTGCCCGTGAAGAGATCACTCGTTTAATAAACATACAGCTGTATTACACATTGTGTAATACCAAAACGCGTGCTTATGTACTCTCGGAACACGTTTCTAGAACAAATATTGAAAGCTCTCAACATCCCCTGGCTTATTCAACGACATTGCGTGTGGAGTTGATAGATCACTGAGAGGAGCTTATGCACACTCGATGACCCCAGCAACCTAATTGCTAGGCTGACGTCACATGGCATTGTTTCGCCGATGGATCTTGCAACAAAATCCCACAAATTACGTCATCGGGTATTGTGACGTTATCGTAAACTTTGAGGTGCGTATTGATCGTATTGTAGCGCAACGACAGTCGTTAGTCTGTTTAAGTATGTGAGTTGCGATAGTCTTAGCCCTACGATAATTTTGTGAATTCTAAAGGTGGACCGTTGTATGGTATTAAATTCATACGTTTCAACTTTTGACATGTTTGATGTATTATTCTGTTAAACTCAATTTGACTATGCCGTGGATCGTGTAGGTGTCAGCCTATTCATACTCAACAGTATAATTCAAAAAACGTTATAAATGGCAAGTAATAAATAAAATACTAAAGTCGCTCCCGTGTAAAACCAATTTTTTGAAACTCGTGAATAGTTGTGGTATCTGACGAGCGAAAGCGAGTCAGATACCACAACTATTCACTCGTTTTATAAAATTGGTATTACACGGGAGCTCGTTTAGTATTGTATATATAAACAATGGGGTGCATTTTCACTGGTGCGGCATCACCAGTGGAAGCCAGTTTGTATTATATTTTACATGTGTCCCTTTTATTTACACCCCCTGGACTCCGAGTCACGTGTATTGCCCAGAAATGACCAACGCTAAAATTAACAAAACAAAACACTACAAATGTAATACAAGAAAACCAAATAAAACCCAGCCTAATAACTCTCTGTTAACAGGGCGGTGCTGTTGAATGTTATTGGTATACTGGTTTTGTTGACGCTGGTGTGTCTGGCCGGAATAACAGTATTCGCCTATTATGCAAAGAAAGGATGTGACCCGCTGTCGGCAAAATCTATCAGCAATGCAAACCAGGTAAGATATACTTCTCAACAGCATCTCACGACTGCTGATTTCTCGTCTATTGACACTTTATTAGGTGTACCCCAGACAGTTGCCTCATATGGAGGTTATATTAATCAGAATGACGTCACGGGAACAAAACGTATCAGCTCACGCACGTCGCTGTGAAGGGTTGCCTCCCTTAGGTGTGCCAGAACCCAATTGCTGTGGGCTCGATTCTACGACTGATCCTGCATCAGTTCGGGTTTTCCCCCCTTTAAATCTCAAATTAACCCTGATTGTGTTTCCAGGTCTGTCAGCACCGCGCCGAAGTGGTAAGCGTCCTAGACCTTCACCATCTCGGGGTATTCCACCCACATCCAGCTAACACCCCGCGACATTAACACCCGGCGTCAATGTCAACACTGTCATAATGTATATCACTGTGAGGTGTCCGCTGTCTCGACCATGTAGACACAGGTGTGTAATCCGCACTCGACAACAAAAACACTGTTGAGACACAGGTGGAGATTCTGCTGGCAAGGGCACAATACAAAACAGTCACTTCATTTACATCAGACTTGCCGAGAAGTAGCTACATTGTATATTACAGCTGTACATGTGATACACCTCCACAGAAAGTATGGGATCATACAAATATACTGAACCGCAAAAGAAACGTCACCCCAAGTTACATTGTATGAAAAGTTGTTATTTCAATATGGGGGTAATTTTTGTCAAAGTTTCTAAAATTTAACATTACCTTGTCCGGAAAAATAAAATAAAAAAACAAAGCAGATGACAATAAAACCGATCGCCCAAACGCATCACGACAACGGCCGTGGTAACCCGATGCACGTGAGTTCTGTGCAAACTGAAATGCACATGCGTTCCCCCATTTCTTGCCCTCTCAAAATCCACCCAGATCGGATCATATTCATTCGTTATAGAATTGCTACCACATGCCAAGATTGACAAGAAATCAGCGACACCAAGCCCTTGGACGATTGCGAGCTGGACAAAGCGCCCGACAAGTAGCCAATGCATTTCAAGGCCACATAAGGACCATATACAGGCTCCAGCAACGGTACCAGACCACCAACACTACAGATGACCGACCACGTATTGGAAGACCAAGGGTCACCACCCGACGTCAGGATCGTCAGATTGTGCGACAGCATCTTCAAGATCGCTTTGTTACTACTGCGGAAACTTCTCGACAGACCATGGGGACACACCAGCGACACATTAGTGAGGACACCGTGCGTAGACGATTGACAAGCAGACACCTCCACTGTCACAGGCCACACCGAGGACCCATTCTGACACCACGTCATCGCCGGGACCGTCTTAAGTGGGCAACACAGCACCAGCATTGGCGCCACCGGCAGTGGAGAAGAGTCCTCTTCTCAGACTAGAGCCGATACTGTAGATGGGAGAGAGAGGGAGAGAGAGAGAGAGAGAGAGAGAGAGAGAGAGAGAGAGAGAGAGAGAGAGAGAGAGTCTTGCGACGCCGTGGGAAACGTTATACTTGTGTTGTTGAGAGAGACTTGTGGGGCGGTCCGAGCATCATGGTGTGGGGTGGAATTGATCTTGCACGGAGGGTCGGCCGTGTTGTCTTCCAGAACATCGGTCCAGGGAGAGGCAATGGTGTCACAGCAGCTCGGTACATTGATCAAGTCTTGAGACCACACGCCATACCTTATTTGGCACGTCGCCGCAAACACGAGTTTAATCATGATAACGCCCGTGTCCACACTGCGAGGGCAACAAGAGACTTCCTCCAGCAGAATGGAATCGGAACCATGCAGTGGCCTGCCCTCAGTCCCGATTTGGATCCCATTGAGCACCTGTTGGACGAGATTCAAAGACGACTGAATGACGTCCGACCAAGGCCGACAACTGCAGTTGACTGCGTCAGGCGTTCCTCAGAGTGTGGGCTCAAGTGCATATGGCCTTCATCAACCGCTTCATCCATTCCATCGACGTTGCACGGCAGTTATCAATGCACATGGCGGACACACGAGATACTGACTTGTGATGCCATTTTCTCAGAGACTAGTGTTGTGTTTCACTTGAAGAACATTTGACACTTTAATTTCAACCTTGATGATCAGTTTTGCCAAGTTTCATCTTTTTAATATGTCTCGAAGTATGTTTACAGTGTTTGGACAAATAAGGTTTCTCATATATCTGTCCATGGTTACGTTTCTTTTGCGGTTCAGTATATAAGTGTTTTGTCCGATCAGCTTAGAAACAATGTTTGCCAGAACCGAAACCAAAACCTAACACCCAAACACACCCGAAACATTTCATGCGATTCCTCCGCTCACGTTAGTAGGGGATCATCTTTGATTGTTACACTTTAGTGAACGTTCGCCCTCTTCTGGTATTTTATTGCAGTATTTGTGATCGGATTGGGAAAGCGTCGGTTTCAACGTGATGAACGATTAAAGGCTATTTGCACGCTTCAAACTGGTAGAACTCAGCGAAGGGTAGCCAATATGTTCAAAGTGTCTCAGTCTGTCATTTCATACTTTGGAAGGCGGTCGGGTAGCCTTGTGGTCAAAGCGTTCGCTCGTCACGCCGATTACACGGGTTCGATCCCGACATGGGTACAATGTGTGAAGCCCATTTCTGGTGTCCCCCGCCATGATATTGCTGGAATATATGTTCAAAGCGGCGTAATACAATACTCACTCACTCATACTTTGGAATAGGTTTTTTGCTGACATAGGATGTTAATGATGGACCCTACACAAGTCCAGGAACGATTAATGAGAACCTGGTTTTACAAAATCGAATTCCAACAGCCATAAAACAACTTTACACTTGCGCCAGGCCACCGGAGTGCGAGTAACCGACCAGGCTGCGCGGAAAGTGGGTGAATCGCCGAAAGCCACCATAATGTTTTCAGATGGGTCCAGATTCCCTCTGGACTTTCTGGAGAGGCGTGGACGTGTCTGGAGGCGTCCTTGCGGGCGTCGTACGAACGTGAACATACACGTCAGTTATTTGGTGTGGGTCTGTAATTCTAAACACATGTGGAGGGATCACGTGACTGCCAAAACGTCATGACAAAGACAAGGAACCAGCGCTGTGATAGCTGAACACAGCCATGCTTGGAGTTGAACGCCGAATACTCTTACACCATTTAAACTATTATGTTTGTTTGTCAATTTGAATTTCTGTTTCATTTCAACTACCATGTAATTGGTATAGTAAGAATGTAAAGGGGTCACGTGACTGCCAAAACGCCACGACTAACACAAGGAACCAGCGCCAATAGTTCTGGCGTTTCGTCCACATTTTGTCTTTCAAGACGATAGCCCCCTGTGCCCACTATGCACGTATCGTAAGTGACCACCTCACTCACCGGACTGCCATGACCAGTCTTAAGCCCTGACCTCTCACCCATAGACCAGACTTCCTCGAATTGTTATTTGGAGATTGATCCAGTCCAGTCCTCTTCCTTCACCTTTCATATCCTCCATTACCCCCTCTTTGTGTGTCTTAATCAAATTCTATTTTCGAATATTCCAAACTTTTTTTGGAGAGTATAACTCGGGTTGTGTTCCCCTTACAGTTGATGCATCAAGCTCCTCACAGCGATAGCCCGTTCGTGGAGCTGTCAATACTATTCCGGCATCAGTCAAAACTCCCCACTGTGATAGCTGACCACAGCCATGCTTGGAGTTGAACGCCGAATACTTTTACCCCATTTATACTACTATGTTTGTTTGTCAATTTGAACTTCTGTTTCATTTCAACTACCATGTATTTGGTATAGTAAGAATGTAAAGGGGAATTACGGTGATGTTCCGTTCGCCTGCATTCTCGAACCAATATGATCAAACAAACAAGTAAATTCATCAGGGAAATCTGGTCAGTCGTAAACCTTTTCAACATTCACTGTGATTGCATTCCCAAAGACATAAAGACAATTATAAACGTTAGTAAATTTGGGGTTAGAGGGCAAATTTCAAGATTCATGCCCACACTGGTGGCAGCGGTGTTACCAAAAGTGTAACGAAGAGGTCTAGCGCTGGGAAAGGGCTTGTTGATGCATAACAAGAGTTGTCTCCCCCTTTCAGTTGACTCCCTACTTTGTGATGGAGGTGCTGGGCTACCCGGGTCTTCCTGGCTTGTTCGTCTCCTGCCTCTTTAGTGGAGCACTCAGGTACGCATGGGGCTGGTTCATATACAGATAACAGGGGTGTTTTAGTGGAGCACACAAGTACGCATGGGGCTGTTTCATATACAGATAACAGGGGTGTTTAGTGGAGCACTCAGGTACGCATGGGGCTGTTTCAGATACAGATAGCAGATGTGTTTAGTGGAACACACAGGTACGCATGGGGCTGTTTCATATACAGATAACAGGGGTGTTTAGTGGAGCACTCAGATACGCATCGGGCTGATTCATATACAGATAACAGGGGTGTTTAGTGGAGCACACAGGTACGCATGGGGCTGTTTCATATACAGATAACAGGGGTGTTTAGTGGAGCACACAGGTACGCATCGGGCTGTTTCATATACAGATAACAGGGGTGTTTAGTGGAGCACACAGGTACGCATGGGGCTGTTTCATATACAGATAACAGGGGTGTTTAGTGGAGCACTCAGATACGCATCGGGCTGATTCATATACAGATAACAGGGGTGTTTAGTGGAGCACTCGGGTACGCGTGGGGCTGTTTCATATACAGATAACAGGGGTGTTTAGTGGAGCACTCGGGTACGCATGGGGCTGTTTCATATACAGATAACGGGGGTGTTTAGTGGAGCACACAGGTACGCATGGGGCTGTTTCATATACAGATAACAGGGGTGTTTAGTGGAGCACTCGGGTACGCATGGGGCTGTTTCATATACAGATAACGGGGGTGTTTAGTGGAGCACACAGGTACGCATGGGGCTGTTTCATATACAGATAACAGGGGTGTTTAGTGAAGCACACAGGTACGCATGGGGCTGTTTCATATACAGATAACAGGGGTGTTTAGTGGAGCACTCGGGTACGCACTGGGGCTGTTTCATATACAGATAACAGGGGTGTTTAGTGGAGCACTCAGATACGCATCGGGCTGTTTCATAAACAGATAACAGGGGTGTTTAGTGGAGCACTCAGATACGCATCGGGCTGTTTCATTAACAGATAACAGGGGTGTTTAGTGGAGCACACAGGTACGCATCGGGCTGTTTCATATACAGATAACAGGGGTGTTTAGTGGAGCACTCAGATACGCATCGGGCTGTTTCATATACAGATAACAGGGGTGTTTTAGTGGAGCACACAAGTACGCATGGGGCTGTTTCATATACAGATAACAGGGGTGTTTAGTGGAGCACTCAGGTACGCATGGGGCTGTTTCAGATACAGATAGCAGATGTGTTTAGTGGAACACACAGGTACGCATGGGGCTGTTTCATATACAGATAACAGGGGTGTTTAGTGGAGCACTCAGATACGCATCGGGCTGATTCATATACAGATAACAGGGGTGTTTAGTGGAGCACACAGGTACGCATGGGGCTGTTTCATATACAGATAACAGGGGTGTTTAGTGGAGCACACAGGTACGCATCGGGCTGTTTCATATACAGATAACAGGGGTGTTTAGTGGAGCACACAGGTACGCATGGGGCTGTTTCATATACAGATAACAGGGGTGTTTAGTGGAGCACTCAGATACGCATCGGGCTGATTCATATACAGATAACAGGGGTGTTTAGTGGAGCACTCGGGTACGCGTGGGGCTGTTTCATATACAGATAACAGGGGTGTTTAGTGGAGCACTCGGGTACGCATGGGGCTGTTTCATATACAGATAACGGGGGTGTTTAGTGGAGCACACAGGTACGCATGGGGCTGTTTCATATACAGATAACAGGGGTGTTTAGTGGAGCACTCGGGTACGCATGGGGCTGTTTCATATACAGATAACGGGGGTGTTTAGTGGAGCACACAGGTACGCATGGGGCTGTTTCATATACAGATAACAGGGGTGTTTAGTGAAGCACACAGGTACGCATGGGTCTGTTTCATATACAGATAACAGGGGTGTTTAGTGGAGCACTCGGGTACGCACTGGGGCTGTTTCATATACAGATAACAGGGGTGTTTAGTGGAGCACTCAGATACGCATCGGGCTGTTTCATAAACAGATAACAGGGGTGTTTAGTGGAGCACTCAGATACGCATCGGGCTGTTTCATTAACAGATAACAGGGGTGTTTAGTGGAGCACACAGGTACGCATCGGGCTGTTTCATATACAGATAACAGGGGTGTTTAGTGGAGCACTCAGATACGCATCGGGCTGTTTCATAAACAGATAACAGGGGTGTTTAGTGGAGCACACAGGTACGCATGGGGCTGTTTCATATACAGATAACAGGGGTGTTTAGTGGAGCACACAGGTACGCACTGGGCTGTTTCATATACAGATAACAGGGGTGTTTAGTGGAGCACTCAGATACGCATCGGGCTGTTTCATATACAGATAACAGAGGTGTTTAGTGGAGCACACTGGTACGCATGTGGCTGTTCCATATACAGATAACAGGGGTGTTTAGTGGAGCACACAGGTACGCATGGGGCTGTTTCATATACAGATAACAGGGGTGTTTAGTGGAGCACACAGGTACGCATCGGGCTGTTTCATATACAGATAACAGGGGTGTTTAGTGAAGCACACAGGTACGCATGTGGCTGTTTCATATACAGATAACAGGGGTGTTTAGTGGAGCACACAGGTACGCACTGGGCTGTTTCATATACAGATAACAGGGGTGTTTAGTGGAGCACTCAGATACGCATCGGGCTGTTTCATATACAGATAACAGGGGTGTTTAGTGGAGCGCACAGGTACGCATCGGGCTGTTTCATATACAGATAACAGGGGTGTTTAGTGGAGCACTCGGGTACGCATGGGGCTGTTTCATATACAGATAACAGGGGTGTTTAGTGGAGCACACAGGTACGCATCGGGCTGTTTCATATACAGATAACAGGGGTGTTTAGTGGAGCGCACAGGTACGCATCGGGCTGTTTCATATACAGATAACAGGGGTGTTTAGTGGAGCACTCGGGTACGCATGGGGCTGTTTCATATACAGATAACAGGGGTGTTTAGTGGAGCACTCGGGTACGCATGGGGCTGTTTCATATACAGATAACAGGGGTGTTTAGTGGAGCACACAGGTACGCATCGGGCTGTTTCATATACAGATAACAGGGGTGTTTAGTGGAGCGCACAGGTACGCATCGGGCTGTTTCATATACAGATAACAGGGGTGTTTAGTGGAGCACTCGGGTACGCACTTGGGCTGTTTCATATACAGATAAGAGGGGTGTTTAGTGGAGCACACAGGTACGCATGGGGCTGTTTCATATACAGATAACAGGGGTGTTTAGTGAAGCACACAGGTACGCATGTGGCTGTTTCATATACAGATAACAGGGGTGTTTAGTGGAGCACACAGGTACGCACTGGGCTGTTTCATATACAGATAACAGGGGTGTTTAGTGGAGCACTCAGATACGCATCGGGCTGTTTCATATACAGATAACAGGGGTGTTTAGTGGAGCGCACAGGTACGCATCGGGCTGTTTCATATACAGATAACAGGGGTGTTTAGTGGAGCACTCGGGTACGCATGGGGCTGTTTCATATACAGATAACAGGGGTGTTTAGTGGAGCACACAGGTACGCATCGGGCTGTTTCATATACAGATAACAGGGGTGTTTAGTGGAGCGCACAGGTACGCATCGGGCTGATTCATATACAGATAACAGGGGTGTTTAGTGGAGCACTCGGGTACGCATGGGGCTGTTTCATATACAGATAACAGGGGTGTTTAGTGGAGCACTCGGGTACGCATGGGGCTGTTTCATATACAGATAACAGGGGTGTTTAGTGGAGCACACAGGTACGCATCGGGCTGTTTCATATACAGATAACAGGGGTGTTTAGTGGAGCGCACAGGTACGCATCGGGCTGTTTCATATACAGATAACAGGGGTGTTTAGTGGAGCACTCGGGTACGCACTGGGGCTGTTTCATATACAGATAACAGGGGTGTTTAGTGGAGCACACAGGTACGCATCGGGCTGTTTCATATACAGATAACAGGGGTGTTTAGTGAAGCACACAGGTACGCATGTGGCTGTTTCATATACAGATAACAGGGGTGTTTAGTGGAGCACACAGGTACGCATCGGGCTGTTTCATATACAGATAACAGGGGTGTTTAGTGAAGCACACAGGTACGCATGTGGCTGTTTCATATACAGATAACAGGGGTGTTTAGTGGAGCACTCGGGTACGCATGGGGCTGTTTCATATACAGATAACAGGGGTGTTTAGTGGAGCACTCGGGTACGCATGGGGCTGTTTCATATACAGATAACAGGGGTGTTTAGTGGAGCACTCAGGTACGCATCGGGCTGTTTCATATACAGATAACAGGGGTGTTTAGTGGAGCACACAGGTACGCATCGGGCTGTTTCATATACAGATAACAGGGGTGTTTAGTGGAGCACACAGGTACGCATCGGGCTGTTTCATATACAGATAACAGGGGTGTTTAGTGGAGCACACAGGTACGCATGGGGCTGTTTCATATACAGATAACAGGGGTGTTTAGTGGAGCGCACAGGTACGCATCGGGCTGTTTCATATACAGATAACAGGGGTGTTTAGTGGAGCACACATGTACGCATGGGGCTGTTTCATATACAGATAACAGGGGTGTTTAGTGGAGCGCACAGGTACGCATCGGGCTGTTTCATATACAGATAACAGGGGTGTTTAGTGGAGCGCACAGGTACGCATGTGGCTGTTTCATATACAGATAACAGGGGTGTTTAGTGGAGCACTCAGGTACGCATGGGGCTGTTTCATATACAGATAACAGGGGTGTTTAGTGGAGCACACAGGTACGCATCGGGCTGTTTCATATACAGATAACAGGGGTGTTTAGTGGAGAACTCGGGTACGCATGGGGCTGTTTCATATACAGATAACAGGGGTGTTTAGTGGAGCACTCAGGTACGCACGGGGCTGTTTCATATACAGATAACAGGGGTGTTTAGTGGAGCACACAGGTACGCAGGGTTGTTTCAGTGAAGCACTCAGATACGCATCGGGCTGGTTCATATACAGATAACAGGGGTGTTTAGTGGAGCACTCAGGTACGCATCGGGCTGTTTCATATACAGATAACAGGGGTGTTTAGTGGAGCACACAGGTACGCATCGGGCTGTTTCATATACAGATAACAGGGGTGTTTAGTGGAGCACACAGGTACGCATGGGGCTGTTTCATATACAGATAACAGGGGTGTTTAGTGGAGAACTCGGGTACGCATGGGGCTGTTTCATATACAGATAACAGGGGTGTTTAGTGGAGCACTCAGGTACGCACGGGGCTGTTTCATATACAGATAACAGGGGTGTTTAGTGAAGCACACAGGTACGCAGGGGTGTTTCAGTGAAGCACTCAGATACGCATCGGGCTGGTTCATATACCGATAACAGGGGTGTTTAGTGGAGCACTCGGGTACGCATGGGGCTGTTTCATATACAGATAACAGGGTTGTTTAGTGGAGCACACAGGTACGCATGGGGCTGGTTCATATACAGATAACAGGGGTGTTTAGTGGAGCACTCGGGTACAAATGGGTCTGTTTCACATACAGATAACAGGGATGTTTAGGGGATGTACTGCTCACGCTACTCCTTGGCCCTGTTACAGCACGATGTCCTCCTGTCTGAACGCCCTGGCTGCTGTGTGCTGGGAGGACTTCCTGAAGCCAGTCCTCGGGGAAAGACTGAACGAAGGACAGAAAACACTCGTCACTAAACTGTTGGGTAGGACTTCAGTATTACTCATGGGAAGTAAGGTGGATGTCAGTTAAATGGTTTTTAAAGAAAGAAAAAAACAGAAACAACTGTGAAAAGAATTATTTTGTTGTTTGCCGAAGCTTCAATCTTTATCACAACGATTTCGTATATCAATAATAGTTGCATAGAAGGATGGTTACTCCTGTTCAGTCGTCACTATAGGGCTGAGATACTGCGGATGTGACGTAACATTGTAACTAACTCAATCTTTTAACAATCACAGCACAGTGACATGAATTATTAATCGTGCATTTTCAGTCATCTCACTGTAAGTCCAAATGTTTTCAATCCTGTATTTCTCCTAGTGTTGGTTTTCGGTGGAGCTGGAATCGGAACGGCCTTTATGGCAAAGAACCTTGGGGGAACGGTGCTACAGGTAAGGTTCATGGCTCTATAACATGGCAGAGTTTAATACTTTCCAAAATATTACAGCAGCAATGTTGATGTGAATCAGTGCCGCTGTTGAGACGTCTTGTGACGCCGCCACTGCACAACCTTTGCGCTACAATGAAACACGCCAGAAAGGTAGGCTGTTTCACTCAAGTACGTGACACATCCCAGGTCGGACATGAAGGTCATAGGTCATTGGTCATAGGTCACACTGTATTACTTTAGGGCAAGAGATGTGACTCCGACATGGGGAGAGATATTTAAGATAGGCTCTGCCTGTTTATCAGTCCCCTTTCACTGTACCAAGTGGGAATAAATATTATTTAAAAACAAAACTTTCGCTTATGGCGTGCAATGTGTCAGCAGCTGCAGCCGGTGGTGTGTATGTTTGAGTACAATCGAGCATGCTCTTTCCCCAAAGATTTCAAAGAGGAAAGAGGGCTCTTGCTCAGAAGTTGTTTGATCAAGGTCACAAGATTCAATGTCTCAGTAAAACCTTCAAATCATTAATGGTCGACATTTCCAATTTGACGCATCAGTGACCAAAATGATGTCCGATGCAATTCCCTATTGTGACTTGTACCACATGTCTCTGCGTTTTGTCAAGTGAACAGTTGATTTGCCTTTGCACGTGTGTACGGATGGAGCAGTATAAAAGTTAAGCACACCCCTATTTCTGAACCATGACAAATGGCACAAATCATGGCATGGGATGACTGACCACAGGAGCTGGGCGATAACAATGTCGCCGGATAGAACAAACATTTGACAACAAATAAAGAAGATATTGCAATTGGTGAGATGTGATTGAAATTTAAAGACAAAAGCATCATGGTAACACATGTACCGTTTTTGACCTCAGACAATACCTAAAAACAAGTATGGAGATTAAGTGAACGAGTTTACGTTTACGAGTGAACGTTTACGACTATACATTGTACAGTCGGAGGTGTCGTTCAGTAGAAATTGATTATGATGAAGTAAAGGGTTTTGTCACTTTAATCATTTTGGTGTATAGGATGACCTGAAGTATCATTGCAAAGTCTTGATCACCGAGAAGCACAGAGACAAAGGTTGATCGATTAACATGTTCATCTTTACATCTGACTCAACTTTTAGCAGGTGTTTTAACTTTCAGGCATCGTTGAGCTTCACTGGGGCTGCCTCGGGGCCTCTGCTGGGGTTGTTTGCTCTCGGCGCGTTCTTCCCGTGGGCCAACTGGATTGTAAGTTGACAAACAGATATAGCGGACACCTTTAGCTTCGCTATTTATCGATAATATATGTGTATTTGACACACAGAGCTAAAATGGTAATATATAATATGAAGGAGACGAGATAAAGTTATGAAACCCGGACTCACAATAATGTTTGTCTCGTGGTCGGCATGAGAGGCTAATTAATAAACTAGACATAAAAGCCGCAAAATCATTTCCCTAGTTGTAGGGAACTCACGTGCACACTGCGTCATGAAAGTTTTGTGCTGAGTTTATGACCTCAGGACTACGTACAAAGCACATTGTCCTTTCCCCACTGTACCGTTACATGGAACAGTGGTCGGCGGTGTTCTTGTTCAGATTAGATTATCTTCTACAGGGAGCTGTGGTCGGCGGTGTTCTTGTGAAGGTTATATTATCGTCTACAGGGAGCTGTGGTCGGCGGTGTTCTTGTTTAGATTAGATTATCTTCCACAGGGAACAGTGGTCGGAGGTGTTCTTGTTTAGGTTCTATTATCTTCTACAGGGAGCAATGGTCGGCGGTGTTCTTGTGTAGGTTCTATTATCTTCTACAGGGAGCAGTGGTCGGCGGTGTTCTTGTGTAGGTTCTATTATCTTCTACAGGAAGCAGTGGTCGGCGGTGTTCTTGTGTAGGTTCTATTTTCTTCTACAGGGAGCTGTGGTCGGCGGTATTCTTCTGTGGGTTATATTATCGTCTACAGGGAGCAGTGGTCGGCGGTGTTCTTGTGTGGGTTCTATTATCTTCTACAGGGAGCTGTGGTCGGAGGTATTTATGTGAAGGTTCTATTATCTTCTACAGGGAGCTGTGGTCGGTGGTGTTCTTGTGTAGGTTCTATTATCTTCTACAAGGATCAGTGGTCGGAGGTATTTATGTGAAGGTTCTATTATCTTCTACAGGGAGCTGTGGTCGGTGGTGTTCTTGTTTAGGTTCTATTATCTTCTACAGGGATCAGTGGTCGGAGGTATTTATGTGAAGGTTCTATTATCTTCTACAGGGAGCTGTGGTCGGTGGTGTTCTTGTTTAGGTTCTATTATCTTCTACAGGGAGCAGTGGTCGGCGGTGTTCTTGTGTAGGTTCTATTATCTTCTACAGGGAGCTGTGGTCGGTTGTGTTCTTGTGTAGGTTCTAGTATCTTCTACAGGGAGCAGTGGTCGGCGGTGTTCTTGTGTGGGTTATACTATCTTCTACAGGGATCAGTGGTCGGCGGTGTTCATGTTTAGGTTCTGTTATCTTCTACAAGGAGCTGTGGTCGGTGGTGTTCCTTTTAGGTTCTATTATCTTCTACAGGGAGCTGTGGTCGGCGGTGTTCTTGTGTAGGTTCTATTATCTTCTACAGGGAGCTGTGGTCGGTGGTGTTCTTGTTTAGGTTCTATTATCTTCTACAGGGAGCTGTGGTCGGCGGTGTTCTTGTTTAGGTTCTATTATCTTCTACAGGGAGCAGTGGTCGGTGGTGTTCTTGTTTAGGTTCTATTATCTTCTACAGGGAGCTGTGGTCGGTGGTGTTCTTGTGTAGGTTCTATTATCTTCTACAGGGAGCTGTGGTCGGCGGTGTTCTTGTTTAGGTTCTATTATCTTCTACAAGGAGCAGTGGTCGGTGGTGTTCTTGTTTAGGTTCTATTATCTTCTACAGGGAGCTGTGGTCGGTGGTGTTCTTGTTTAGGTTTTATTATCTTCTACAGGGAGCAGTGGTCGGCGGTGTTCTTGTTTAGGTTCTATTATCTTCTACAGGGAGCAGTGGTCGGCGGTGTTGTTGTGTGGGTTGTTTTATCTTCTACAGGGAGCTGTGGTCGGCGGTGTTCTTGTTTAGGTTCTCTTATCTTCTACAAGGAGCTGTGGTCGGTGGTGTTCTTGTTTAGGTTCTATTATCTTCTACAGGGAGCTGTGGTCGGTGGTGTTCTTGTTTAGGTTCTATTATCTTCTACAGGGAGCTGTGGTCGGTGGTGTTCTTGTTTAGGTTCTATTGTCTTCTACAGGGAGCTGTGGTCGGTGGTGTTCTTGTTTAGGTTCTATTATCTTCTACAGGGATCAGTGGTCGGAGGTATTTATGTGAAGGTTCTATTATCTTCTACAGGGAGCAGTGGTCGGAGGTGTTAATGTGAAGGTTCTATTATCTTCTACAGGGAGCTGTGGTCGGTGGTGTTCTTGTTTAGGTTCTATTATCTTCTACAGGGAGCAGTGGTCGGCCGTGTTCTTGTTTAGGTTATATTATCTTCTACAGGGAGCTGTGGTCGGCGGTGTTCTTGTGTAGGTTCTATTATCGTCTACAGGGAGCTGTGGTCGGAGGTGTTCTTGTTTAGGTTCTATTATCTTCTACAGGGAGCAGTGGTCGGCGGTGTTTATGTGAAAGTTCTATTATCTTCTACAGGGAGCAGTGGTCGGAGGTGTTCTTGTTTAGGTTCTCTTATCTTCTACAGGGAGCTGTGGTCGGCGGTGTTCTTGTTTAGGTTCTCTTATCTTCTACAGGGAGCTGTGGTCGGAGGTGTTAATGTGAAGGTTCTATTATCTTCTACAGGGAGCAGTGGTCGGAGGTGTTAATGTGAAGGTTCTATTATCTTCTACAGGGAGCTGTGGTCGGTGGTGTTCTTGTTTAGGTTCTATTATCTTCTACAGGGAGCTGTGGTCGGTGGTGTTCTTGTTTAGGTTCTATTATCTTCTACAGGGAGCAGTGGTCGGCCGTGTTCTTGTTTAGGTTATATTATCTTCTACAGGGAGCAGTGGTCGGCGGTGTTCTTGTGTAGGTTCTATTATCGTCTACAGGGAGCTGTGGTCAGAGGTGTTCTTGTTTAGGTTCTATTATCTTCTACAGGGAGCAGTGGTCGGCGGTGTTTATGTGAAAGTTCTATTATCTTCTACAGGGAGCAGTGGTCGGAGGTGTTCTTGTTTAGGTTCTCTTATCTTCTACAGGGAGCTGCTGTCGGTGGTGTTTATGTGAAGGTTATATTATCTTCTACAGGGAGCTGTGGTCGGCGGTGTTCTTGTGTAGGTTCTATTATCTTCTACAGGGATCAGTGGTCGGAGGTATTTATGTGAAGGTTCTATTATCTTCTACAGGGAGCTGTGGTCGGCGGTGTTCTTGTTTAGGTTCTCTTATCTTCTACAAGGAGCTGTGGTCGGTGGTGTTCTTGTTTAGGTTCTATTATCTTCTACAGGGAGCTGTGGTCGGTGGTGTTCTTGTTTAGGTTCTATTATCTTCTACAGGGAGCTGTGGTCGGTGGTGTTCTTGTTTAGGTTCTATTATCTTCTACAGGGATCTGTGGTCGGTGGTGTTCTTGTTTAGGTTCTATTATCTTCTACAGGGAGGAGTGGTCGGCGGTGTTCTTGTTTAGATTATATTATCTTCCACAGGGAGCTGTGGTCGGCGGTGTTCTTGTTTAGGTTATATTATCTTCTACAGGGAGCTGTGGTCGGAGGTGTTAATGTGAAGGTTGTATTATCTTCTACAGGGAGCTGTGGTCGGCGGTGTTCTTGTTTAGGTTCTATTATCTTCTACAGGGAGCAGTGGTCGGCGGTGTTCTTGTTTAGGTTATATTATCTTCTACAGGGAGCTGTGGTCGGCGGTGTTCTTGTTTAGGTTATATTATCTTCTACAGGGATCAGTGGTCGGCGGTGTTTATGTGAAAGTTCTATTATCTTCTACAGGGAGCTGTGGTCGGAGGTGTTCTTGTTTAGGTTCTCTTATCTTCTACAGGGAGCTGTGGTCGGTGGTGTTTATGTGAAGGTTATATTATCTTCTACAGGGAGCTGTGGTCGGCGGTGTTCTTGTGTAGGTTCTATTATCTTCTACAGGGATCAGTGGTCGGAGGTATTTATGTGAAGGTTCTATTATCTTCTACAGGGAGCTGTGGTCGGTGGTGTTCTTGTTTAGGTTCTAGTATCTTCTACAGGGAGCAGTGGTCGGCGGTGTTCTTGTGTGGGTTATACTATCTTCTACAGGGATCAGTGGTCGGCGGTGTTCTTGTTTAGGTTCTGTTATCTTCTACAGGGAGCTGTGGTCGGTGGTGTTCTTGTTTAGGTTCTATTATCTTCTACAGGGAGCAGTGGTCGGCGGTGTTCTTGTGTAGGTTCTATTATCGTTTACAGGGAGCTGTGGTCGGCGGTGTTCTTGTTTAGGTTATATTATCTTCTACAGGGAGCTGTGGTCGGTGGTGTTCTTGTTTAGGTTCTATTATCTTCTACAGGGAGCTGTGGTCGGTGGTGTTCTTGTTTAGGTTCTATTATCTTCTACAGGGAGCTGTGGTCGGCGGTGTTCTTGTTTAGGTTCTATTATCTTCTACAAGGAGCAGTGGTCGGTGGTGTTCTTGTTTAGGTTCTATTATCTTCTACAGGGAGCTGTGGTCGGTGGTGTTCTTGTTTAGGTTCTATTATCTTCTACAGGGAGCAGTGGTCGGCGGTGTTCTTGTTTAGGTTCTATTATCTTCTACAGGGAGCTGTGGTCGGCGGTGTTGTTGTGTGGGTTGTTTTATCTTCTACAGGGAGCTGTGGTCGGCGGTGTTCTTGTTTAGGTTCTCTTATCTTCTACAAGGAGCTGTGGTCGGTGGTGTTCTTGTTTAGGTTCTATTATCTTCTACAGGGAGCTGTGGTCGGTGGTGTTCTTGTTTAGGTTCTATTATCTTCTACGGGGAGCTGTGGTCGGCGGTGTTCTTGTTTAGGTTCTATTATCTTCTACTAGGAGCTGTGGTCGATGGTGTTCTTGTTTAGGTTATATTATCTTCTACAGGGAGCTGTGGTCGGTGGTGTTCTTGTTTAGGTTCTATTATCTTCTACAGGGAGCTGTGGTCGGTGGTGTTCTTGTTTAGGTTCTATTATCTTCTACAGGGAGCTGTGGTCGGTGGCGTTCTTGTTTAGGTTCTATTATCTTCTACAGGGAGCTGTGGTCGGCGGTGTTCTTGTTTAGGTTATATTATCTTCTACAGGGAGCTGTGGTCGGCGGTGTTCTTGTTTAGGTTATATTATCTTCTACAGGGAGCTGTGGTCGGAGGTGTTAATGTGAAGGTTCTATTATCTTCTACAGGGAGCTGTGGTCGGAGGTGTTAATGTGAAGGTTGTATTATCTTCTACAGGGAGCTGTGGTCGGTGGTGTTCTTGTTTAGGTTCTATTATCTTCTACAGGGAGCTGTGGTCGGTGGTGTTCTTGTTTAGGTTCTATTATCTTCTACAGGGAGCTGTGGTCGGTGGTGTTCTTGTTTAGGTTCTATTATCTTCTACAGGGAGCTGTGGTCGGCGGTGTTCTTGTTTAGGTTATATTATCTTCTACAGGGAGCTGTGGTCGGCGGTGTTCTTGTTTAGGTTATATTATCTTCTACAGGGAGCTGTGGTCGGAGGTGTTAATGTGAAGGTTCTATTATCTTCTACAGGGAGCTGTGGTCGGAGGTGTTAATGTGAAGGTTGTATTATCTTCTACAGGGAGCTGTGGTCGGCGGTGTTCTTGTTTAGGTTCTATTATCTTCTACAGGGAGCAGTGGTCGGCCGTGTTCTTGTTTAGGTTATATTATCTTCTACAGGGAGCTGTGGTCGGCGGTGTTCTTGTGTAGGTTCTATTATCGTCTACAGGGAGCTGTGGTCGGAGGTGTTCTTGTTTAGGTTCTATTATCTTCTACAGGGAGCAGTGGTCGGCGGTGTTTATGTGAAAGTTCTATTATCTTCTACAGGGAGCTGTGGTCGGAGGTGTTCTTGTTTAGGTTCTCTTATCTTCTACAGGGAGCTGTGGTCGGTGGTGTTTATGTGAAGGTTATATTATCTTCTACAGGGAGCTGTGGTCGGCGGTGTTCTTGTGTAGGTTCTATTATCTTCTACAGGGATCAGTGGTCGGAGGTATTTATGTGAAGGTTCTATTATCTTCTACAGGGAGCTGTGGTCGGTGGTGTTCTTGTTTAGGTTCTATTATCTTCTACAGGGATCAGTGGTCGGAGGTATTTATGTGAAGGTTCTATTATCTTCTACAGGGAGCTGTGGTCGGTGGTGTTCTTGTTTAGGTTCTATTATCTTCTACAGGGAGCTGTGGTCGGCGGTGTTCTGGGGCTTGTGTTTCCTCTGTGGATCTCTATAGGAGCCTACACAGTTGTAGGAACACCGTCTGGCCTTGAGTACCCCACCCACAACTGCAGCATCCCTAACATCACCATGACGAGCACAATGTCCACCGTCATGCCAACAGATGAAGCCCCTCTGCAACAGTGAGTGACTATAGCATGTTTTTCAAGCAAGCCCTGATCCATAGTTGCATCGTGGAGGTGGGAGGGGATGGGAGGGGAGAGGAGGGTGGGGTGGGTGGTGTTGGTGTGGTGGGTGTAGTTAGTACTTTGTACATAGTACTATGATAGTTACGTGTCGATTCCCAAATTGTAACAATATGTTAATCTAGAAATCTGTACACAGAATTTAGTGTGAAACCAACAAACAAACAGCAAGTCGTTAACAATCCACAAATGTATAATACAATTAACTAAGTTTACAAATCAGTACAATTTACTGGACAGCAATTACAATGACAGTAGATTGGTAGTACACTATTCAATGGCAATAAATAATGATGGCAGTGGTTAGCACCAAAAAAAGTCAGTGAAGAACTTCCGAGATTGGCGAGGCAGGGAATCAGGGATGGTGAGCGATCCTCACATGAACACTGGTCTTGACATGGAGGAAAATGCGTGAGAGTCCCGCAAACACGCCATTGGCCCCTCATATAGTCTAACCAGATACTGGAATGTTCCATGTAGTGCCCTCTCCAGTCCATTGGCACGAGATGTTTCCAAAACATTATTTCGGCGTCTGCGGTAACCGGAAGTTTACACACCACGCTAGCATCTCAAAATAATAACTTCCTGACGACTGCTCAGATTAAATGAAACTACATTCCTGACGACCAATCACTGCCCAAACACAACGCAACGAGCTTCTACGGAATATTTACAAAAACAATGCGACACAGTTACAATCATGTCTAAACAATAAAAAAAACAATATCAAATTGAAGACAGAGTCTCCGCCCTGTACACAGTCTCCTCTCTATCATGTTTCAGTGCTGGTATCTCCGCCCTGTACACAGTGTCCTCTCTATTATGTTTCAGTGCTGGTATCTCCGCCCTGTACACGGTGTCCTCTCTATCATGTTTCAGTGCTGGTGTATCCGCCCTGAACACAGTGTCCTCTCTATTATGTTTCAGTGCTGGTATCTCCGCCCTGTACACAGTGTCCTCTCTACCATGTTTCAGTGCTGGTGTATCCGCCCTGTACACTGTGTCCTCTCTACCATGTTTCAGTGCTGGAATCTCCGCCCTGTACACAGTGTTCTCTCTACCATGTTTCAGTGCTGGTATCTCCGCCCTGTACACAGTGTCCTACCTGTGGTACCCTGCGATTGGTGGAGGGACGGTCATCGTTGTTGGTCTTATTGTCAGCGCCGTCACAGGTCAGTTGATGAAGTCCGGGCACCGCTTCTACAAAGCGATCTTAGCGCTACGGATATTTTAATGTATGGGAGCTACGATCGTCGTGGAGCTAAAATCACTTTGTGCCAGGGGACCCTGGTTGTCTGCAGTTGGTTGTTCTGATTACTAGTACATAAAAGCCTGGCAACCAACGCAACAAATATCCACAACTAACTAGTTCCTCTTTGGAATCTCCTCCTACTTGGTTTCTGGTAAAATACGTGTAGAAGGCTGGCCCAGGTGTAGGGCCTCAACAGACTGCAGACTCGTGAAGATCCCTATATAGACAGTGTGTGTATCGCTTACTTATAGCAGGACTGATAAAGTCTATACCAATGTTTGACAGGTTACATATGAATTGGGCCCGTGAACATCCCGGGTGGAAGAGGTCTTCAGCAACCTATACTTGTCGTAAGAGGCGACTAATGGGATCGGGTGGTCAGGCTCGCTGACTTAGTTGATGCATGTCATCGACCCCAATTGCGTTGATCGATGCTGTTGATATCAATCACTGGCTTGTCTGGTCCAGACTCGATTACAGACCGCAGAAGCTGGAATATTGCTGAGTGAGGAGTTAAACAAAAAAATCCATAAGTCCATAAAAAAGGAACATTTTTCTTTTAGAGGATAACTACTGTTTGGGACTTTATCTAGCGTAGACTTAACTGGCAAATATGCTTCTTGCACTATTTCAACAAACCGCGTCTAAACTGAAAGTGCAATAACATTCTTTTTGTGACTCAGTCCTTGAACTTGCAGGTATGAATCGGCTGGGTGATGTAGACACGAGGTATCTTGTACCTTTCTTCGATCGCCTCATCTGCTGCCTCCCCTCCCCCATCAGCAGATTTCTCCGCTGTAACCAGGAGTTCAGAGACCCAGAGGTAGGTGTCTCCGCTGTAACCAGGAGTTCAGAGACCCAGAGGTAGGTGTCTCCGCTGTAACCAGGAGTTCAGAGACCCAGAGGTAGGTGTCTCCGCTGTAACCAGGAGTAAAGGGACCCGTAGGTAGGTGTCTCCGCTGTATCCAGGAGTTCAGAGACCCGGAGGTAGGTGTCTCCGCTGTAACCAGGAGTATAGAGACCCAGAGGTAGGTGTCTCCGCTGTGTCCAGGAGTTCAGAGACCCAGAGGTAGGTGTCTCCGCTTTAACCAGGAGTTCAGAGACCCAGAGGTAGGTGTCTCCGCTGTGTCCAGGAGTTCAGAGACCCGGAGGTAGGTGTCTCCGCTGTAACCAGGAGTTCAGAGACCCAGAGGTAGGTGTCTCCGCTTTAACCAGGAGTTCAGAGACCCGGAGGTAGGTGTCTCCGCTGTAACCAGGAGTTCAGAGACCCGTAGGTAGGTGTCTCCGCTGTAACCAGGAGTTCAGAGACCCGGAGGTAGGTGTCTCCGCTGTAAAGATTGAAAGGATATTTCAAGAGTGGACTACTGGTTGTCGATAGGGAACGTATGAACCAAGCTGATCTCCCCGTCGATGGTATGTTCTCGAGCAGGGCCACCAGGTCCCAGATGTCAGTGCGTGGCCGTGTTGGTACTAATGGCCTTACGGTACACACAACTGTACTGCTTTCACGTGTCTCTAAACTGGATCACAAAGACATGTCTTTACTCTGCTGTCACCCTTGTCCCAGTGTGATCGGAGGTGATACTGGCTTTATTATTTAGGCATAGAAGAGTCCTGTGTTATGTTTAAAACGAAAGTTGAACCTCAAATTGATGAAGTATTTGCAAAATTCTGTGTTGTAGGTTAAGGGTTAATGGGTGGACGTGGGACGCATGAAGGAGCGTAAAAACTGAAACTTTTAACGACACTAACTATGTGCTTCCCCATGCCAGGAAATAGGTTCACGGGAGGAGGTCATCGAGGTAGCAGCAGCTTGTGACGTCAGCAGTGATCGATCCATGAAAGACGTAAGCACCAGCCCGGTCCAAGGGATGTCATACAGACACTACGATGACAAGAAGATAGCATATCTCAATCCTGCGCTGCCGGTTGTTTATGAAGAGAAACAGGAAAAAGAAACAAATTTCTGAATCAAAGACAGAGAACAACAGCTACGCAATTGACCAATGTATGCCAAACTGTTTGCTGGCTCTTAGAAGATATTAATATTTATATATGGTTAATAAATGAATAAACAAGTTAACTTGTATATAATCATTAAACTGTTTTGGACAGAAAAACAGTAAAATGTCACATGTGCAAAATGAAAATATGGTATGAAATATTGAGTCAAATCGGAATACTCCAGAATAATAGTTCCACTTCAGTATGTTTACAGTGTATTTATAATGCAAAATCAATGTTATTATCTAGGAATACAATGTCAGTTAAAAGTTTGAGATTCGAACCCACGATCATACGTTTTTGATGGTGTCTTTGATGACTGGGCAATTTATTCCCTTCCTCCACAGTTGTAGCACCAGTGAGGCCGAACTATTTATTTTTATTACAGACGCAGCATGCAAAATAATTCGAAATTGGAACGATCATACGTTTTGGGCATTCCTAAGGGACGCAACTCTACACAGCGAATGGTGCATGCAATGTATGTATGTATGTATGTATGTATGTATGTATGTATGTATGTATGTATGTATGTATGTATGTATGTATGTATGTATGTATGTAAACAAAAGGAACAAACCCTTTTCATACTCTGCTAAAAGCAGAATTGACTGTACATAGAATAGTTGACAGCGATAATGTATCACAGTTTATTATAATACTCAAGTACCATATTCATCATCGGTAAATGTGAGCAGATTTTCTACTGGTTAATAACTCACCATCATAATAATGTAATTGGAGTTATATAATGAGGTTATGTAATACACAATGAGATATGAGTGGTACATAAAGAGTATGTGTGATATATAACGGGGTGAATGTGATATATAGTCAGGAATATGTGACATAGAATGAGGTGCATGTGATATATAATTATAAGGGTTATGTGATACATAATGAGGTGAATGTGATACATAGTGAGGAGTATGAGATATATAAGGAGAGGTATGTGATATATAGACAATACTACCCTCATTCTCGTTAGATGCCATTTTTTACGAAACGAGTGGACTTTCTGTGGTATCTGATACCATAGAAAGTTCACGTGTGATAACATAGAAAGTTCACGAGTTTCGTAAAAATGGTATCGAACGACAATGAGTGTGGTATTTTATTTTTTACCCACGTTAAATATATATTTAAGTGTAAATACATAACAACTTTCGTCCGTTGACAGACCAAACTGAAACCGGTTGCAAAATCTGGCTGCGCTTGAATATTGATATATGCCCAAATATGGGCATTGTTGACATTTCTATGCAGTTGTGTTTGCAAACATAACAGCACTGACGCTCAATTTTTGTCAACATATGATAATTCAAGCGCCATGTTGTTGGTACGCATGACACCTATAAGAAAATTTGAAAAGTCACATTAGCGCCGCGCTTTGAATATCGGATCAACAGTCGGTCACTCGCTCTGCCGGTGTTCCGGCTTTGCAATCAAAAGGATTCGGTTTCCTTGATCTATCAGCTGACTTTATATCCTGTCCGTACCATTTTGGAAGAGGGGAATCAGAGTGTTCGACAAAGACATTCATGTTAACTGTACCACCCTATACTGAAGACGTGAAAATCAACAAACTCAAGTCTGCTTGCCTGTCAGTGACAGCTTAGATCGAAGGGCAAGGTCACCACCGGAATAAGAAAAGACAACCGTGATCTACTCACAGCGTTTTACGACTAGAGATAGGGAATGTTATTGTTCACCTTTGGGATATTTTGGGCCACATAATCAGAAGACAGATACGCTTCTACGGAGATTTCGAATGATTTGTATATGAAATGTTCATATAGAATGATCTGGTAGTGCAATCGTGAACAAACAACTCACGAAACGGTGCAACAAAATACGCTTCGAAGGGGACACTGATGGCACAACCGGATCATCCCAAGTAAGTCTAGATATCTGTCAGATAGTTTAAACTGACTTCATTTCACCAAGCTTATCCATTTACGTGAAATCAAATTGAAAGATGCGAAAGTGGTCGGGTGCGTCACGCTCATAGGGCCCCTCGATCTATTGATCGGTAGTCGTACATTGTAAATGGATATAGCTCGATTATATAATGTCTGTAGAAGCTCTATACATAACCTATATAGTGTGCACACCGCATTTGATGCGTGTGTCTATCTTGTTTTGTTTTATAAAGTGTTTGTAAATATCTCTCGCTATCATGAGATTGCTTCAGATTCCTTTAGTTCTGCTTTGTAGTTGCAAAATGAATGACGTCTTATTTATGAATGAAAAAAGTAGTCCCGTTGTCACAGAGGTCACGGTCATCCAATCAAAACGAATAAAACAAGGTCAAACTTGTACGACACACGTGTGACGTACGGACTTAGTATCTTACCACCTGTATCGCTACCACGTGGGTAATACATAATGAGGAGTATGTGATATATAATGATGTGTATATGATGTGTAATAACGTGTGTGGGATATATGGTGAGGATTATATGATATATAATGAGGTGTATGTGATATACAATGACTTGTATTTGATATATAAGGAGGTGTATGTGATATACAATGACTTGTATTTGATATATAAGGAGGTGTATGTGATATACAATGACTTGTGTTTGATATATAATGAGGTGTACGTGATATACAATGACTTGTGTTTGATATATAAGGAGGTGTATGTGATATACAATGACTTGTGTTTGATATATAAGGAGGTGTTTGTGATATACAATGACTTGTATTTGATATATAATGAGGTGTATGTGATATACAATGACTTGTATTTGATATATAAGGAGGTGTATGTGATATACATGTACAATGACTTGTATTTGATATATAAGGAGGTGTATGTGATATACAATGACTTGTATTTGATATATAAGGAGGTGTATGTGATATACAATGACTTGTATTTGATATATAAGGAGGTGTATGGGATATAACCATAACACGAACTTAATGTTGATACTGCGCGGTACGTCACTTGACGTAATCTCAATGTTTGTTCACACATGTGAATTTCTCAAAGGGCTCACTTGATTCTCTATACTGTTGATGCTGTGTTCAGATATAGCAGCAGATGTCTCACGCAATATACGGTCAACTCCCAAAAACATCTTTTCATATTTTCATCATTCAAAAAACATATACACAAAGAAAAACATTAAGCACACCCCTGTTTCTGAACCATGAGAAATGACAAAACTCATGGCATGGGATGACTGACCACAGGAGTTCGAGACACCAATGTCATCGCATAGAACAAACATTTGACAACAAATAACGAAGATATTGGTTGAAATTTACTGACAAAAACATCATGGTAACACAGGTACTGTTTTTGACCTTAGACAATAACTAAAAAATATGGAGCTGCAGCATTAAGTAAACGAGTTTCGTTTGATGTTTCATGTGAAAATGTTCCTTAAAATCTCGACTTGACATGACACGTGAAACAGATCAGTAGCAGGTATAACCGCCACGTGTCCACCCTGCGTCTCATGCCTCCAGTCAGACTTTGGATCTGTTGATGGGTCAACAACAACCATTCCGGATGCAATGCTGCTTCCAATTGGCGTAAATCGTGTACAGGAGGATCTCGTGCCTGTATGCGCCGCCCAAGAATATCCAAAACATGTTCAAGGGGTTTCAAATCTGGGCTCATTGCTGGACAGGGTCGTTATTGCATTGGCCCGCGTGTAATCCACGACTGCATGCGAACGATGAGGCTTGGCATTGTCATCCATGTGCTGAGGTCGAGTAGCAGGAAGGTGGTTGTCAAAATGAGGAACAGCGACTGGCCTCAGAACGACCCGGATGTACTGAGCCCCAGTTAAGTTGCCCCTTAGGCTGACCAAATCCAACCTGCAATCATGAGAGATACACCCCAAACCATTACCGAGCCCCCGCCGCATGCAACAGTTGGTTTAATGTTGCTGGGGACGTAGGCCGCGTTCCGGTGCCTCCAAACCCTCGTTCTTCCATCAGTGACCTTCGTCTGACCAATGGATCCTTCTCCAAGTTCTCAGATTCCAGTTCTGTCGCGCAATACACCATGCTAAACGAGCAGCTTCGTGTTGATCTCTCAACAAGGGGCGCTTTATGACTCGTCTAGCCCTCAGTTCTCCTGCTTTTAGCCGGTTCCTGACGAATCTGGTGCTGAAACGACGAATGGGCAACCACAGCTGTTTCATACGAGTACTTGTTAAAAAGGGTTCTCGGCGCATGAGACGAAGAAGGTCCCTGTCTTCGCGATGTGTCGTCACAGGAGGTCTTCTGGATCTGGGACGGTCCTGTACATTACCGGTCGGAAGTTTCTCGACTAAATGGCTTACGACAGTGTGATGATACCCCAAATTCCGACCAATGGCATTACAAGACATTCCAGCGTTATGCATATCGATTATTTGCCATCTTGTGGCGTTTGATAATCGCCTTCGTGCCATGGTCACACAGTGCAATATAATAACTGTTTAAAACCGAGCTTAAGAAAGCAATTTTAACGTTTGGATATACTGCTTTGAGAGATAATCGAGGGTAGCATGCTGCAAGAGCACACCATGCATGGCACGCATGACTGATTACATCATTTCGAGAAAACATCACTCTCACGTAATTATATCTTTCATGACTGTTACAAACATTGTGACCAAACAATAATGAAATATATTTGGGTGTGCTTAACTTTTTTCTTTGTGTATATATTACAAAACGGACCTTTGTTTTACACTGCTTCCCCGAACAGAGTTTCAGTTATATCACAGCAAGTCAGCCTAATAGGACAGTGTTTCTGTTAAATCACACGTCAGGTTGGTAGAACAGTGTTTTAGTTATATCACGGCACGTCAGCTTGTTGGAACAGTGTTTCAGTTATATCATGGCATTTCAGCTTGATAGAACAATGTTTCAGTTATATCACGGCACGTCAGGTTGATAGAACAGTGTTTCAGTTATATCAGTTGTCAGCTTAGTATGACAGTGGTTCAGTTACGGAACGGCAGCTTAATTAGGATGTATATGTACTTCCTTTAGTAGACGTGTATCACGTAAGTGGTGCCTCTCAGATACGTCACTACTTCCGTGTGCACACGTTAACATAATGATCATGTCCTCATTGGTCATCTAGTTATAAACAGCGAATTCCCGGCTCCATCAAATAAACAAAAGCGACAAAACCCTTTCCATATTCATAAGAAATCTCTGTCAAAGTGTACGATTCGTACTGCATCATGAGCATGTGTTTATGAACCACTACCAGGCGTTTGCGAAAGGGTGAGCGTACCCGTACCCACAGGTGGCATCCAGCACAAACACATGCAAAGGCAAGTCCGTTGTGCACCGAAAGAAACACTGTGCCATATGGTACAAGTCAAAATAGGGAATTGCATTGGACAACATTCTTGTCACGGATGCATCAAATTTGGAAATGTCCTCCACATGTCTACCGTAAAACTTTTCGAAAGCTCTACTGAAGCCTTTAAAATTTAACCCTGATCAAACTTCTGAGTTGTATTACGCTCTTTGAAATCTTGGTTGACAGTGCATGATCGATTGCATCTCAAAAGTGGTGAAATGTAGACACCAAGGGCTGGAGCTGCAGAAATAAATGGAAAGTTGACTATTGCAAGTAAAGGTCATACCTCTTGTAATACAGTCTTGAGGAGAGATATTTGTCCCTGTAAATCTTTATAATTTGTGTTTCGAAACAGCCTTGGGTGTACCTGCTGTTTAATATAACCAACCCAACCACATGTGTGTCCCTTGGCCTAGGAGTGAGTTAACGCCCAACCCGACCACATGTGTGTCCCTTGACCTTGGAGTGAGTTTACGTCCAAACCCCCAACATGTGTATCCCTTCACATTGGAGTGAGTTTACGTCCAACCTCACAGCATGTGAGTCCCTTGACCTTGGAGTAAGTTTACGTCAAACCCAACCACACGTGTGTCCCTTGACCTTGGAGTGAGTTTACGTCCAACCCAACCACACGTGTGTCCCTTGACCTTGGAGTGAGTGTACGTCCAAACCCCCAACATGTGTATCCCTTCACATTGGAGTGAGTTTACGTCCAACCTCACAGCATATGTTTCCCTTGACCTTGGAGTGAGTTTACGTCCAACCCAACCACACGTGTGTCCCTTGACCTTGGAGTGAGTTTACGTCCAACCCAACCACATGTGTGTCCCTTGACCTTGGAGTGAGTTTACGTCCAACCCAACCACATGTGTGTCCTTTGACCTTGGAGTGAGTTTACGTCCAACCTCACAGCATATGTGTCCCTTGACCTTGGAGTGAGTTTACGTCCAACCCAACCACACGTGTGTCCCTTGATCTTGGAGTGAGTTTACGTCCAACCCAACCACATGTGTGTCCTTTGACCTTGGAGTGAGTTTACGTCCATCCCAACCACATGTGTGTCCTTTGACCTTGGAGTGAGTTTACGTCCAACCCAACCACATGTGTGTCCCTTGGCCTAGGAGTAAGTTTACGTCCGGTCAACCACATGTGTGTCCCTTGACCTTGGAGTGAGTTTACGTCCAACCCAACCACATGTGTGTCCCTTGACCTTGGAGTGAGTTTACGTCCAACCCAACCACATGTGTGTCCCTTGACCTTGGAGTGAGTTTACGTCCAACCCTTCCACATGTGTGTCCCTTGACCTTGGAGTGAGTTGACGTCCAACCCAACCACATGTGTGTCCCTTGACCTTGGAGTGAGTCTACGTCCAACCCAACCACATGTGTGCCCCTTGACCTTGGAGTGAGTTTACGTCCAACCCAACCACATGTGTGTCCCTTGACCTTGGAGTGAGTTTACGTCCAACCCAACCACATGTGTGTCCCTTGACCTTGGAGTGAGTTGACGTCCAACCCAACCACATGTGTGTCCCTTGACCTTGGAGTGAGTTTACGTCCAACCCAACCACATGTGTGTCCCTTGACCTTGAAGTGAGTTGACGTCCAACCCAACCACATGTGTGTCCCTTGACCTTGGAGTGAGTCTACGTCCAACCCAACCACATGTGTGTCCCTTGACCTTGGGGTGAGTTTACGTCCAACCCAACCACATGTGTGTCCCTTGACCTTGGAGTGAGTTTACGTCCAACCCAACCACATGTGTGTCCCTTGACCTTGGGGTGAGTTGACGTCCAACCCAACCACATGTTTGTCCATTGACCTTGGAGAGAGTTTACGTGCAACCCAACCACATGTGTGTCCCTTGACCTTGGAGTGAGTTTACGTCCAACCCAACCACATGTGTGTCCCTTGACCTTGGAGTGAGTTTACGTCCAACCCAACCACATGTGTGTCCCTTGACCTTGGAGTGAGTTTACGTCCAACCCAACCACATGGGTGTCCCTTGACCTTGGAGTGAGTTTACGTCCAACCCAACCACATGTGTGTCCCTTGACCTTGGAGTGAGTTTACGTGTCAACCCGACCACATGTGTGTCCCTTGACCTTGGAGTGAGTTTACGTCCAACCCAACCACATGTGTGTCCATGTTTGCATAGAAGCTCGAATATATATTTCTAAGACATCAATGCCTCAGGGCACTGAGGTATCACTTGATAGAAATTTACAATGAGTGTCCTTGGCAAACGACATTTATTTGCTAATTTAATATGGGATACAGAGGTTCTCGGGAGCCCTAGACACAGACACCCGGTGGTTCTCTATTGGGGAGGTGTCTCACTCCTTTTGCATGGTTTCAACGTTGTAACGAGATAATATCCTTCACAAAAACTATAGGTTACACTACCTGGACCAGCCTTGACATATTTAGCCATCGCAGTTTATCAGTCGTTGAATCCGTATCGCGGATTAGACAATATCACAATGCGCTATTCGCATATGGAAGTATATCTATATTGTTTCTCTGCATTTGTTCAACATGTTATAATGGATCACATGGGTGTTTTCTCTCTATTGTCGAATGTCTGACCCAGGCAATGAACACAACGCACCAACCAGGTTTTAACATAAACAATAACAGCAGAAGAATGGACATATATCTTATCACAGACAGTTCTTATCACTATGTTTACAGACAAAAAGTTAAACTTGAAGTTGCGCCTTCACCTGATTATATACACAGCATCAATGGAGTTAAGGGAAAGCAATGGATATCCCCCGCACTTAGGACGCCACGCCCATTAAGGACAGTGGGGAACCTACGTGAGTGGGTGAGCGTTGTCACGTCACTCATGTTCGAGTCGATTCCCCGGGGTACAACATGTCACGTTTACATTCGGATTCCCCTGTCATGAACTGGCTGACGCATTGCGGGCGTTACCAGACGCTTACGCCATTGATAAATAGAAATAGATAGTTCGTACGTTCAAGTGTTGAGTGCAAATAACAATAACAAGCATATTTAAAAGACCACATAGCCATCGTGTTTCGTTGATATTTGGGACACTGTCATCGATGGCACTTCATCGAGTCCACACGTAATAAACCATTTGCGTTAAAATCAAAATCTAAATTTTGTCAAAGTATCAGTTTACAAATGTGGACAGTATCATCATGCAGCGGTCCGCAGCGTCTACGTCCAATCCTTACTGACGCGCCGACTGTAGTCTTCGAAGCCCTTCACCAGCTGTTTCACGGAGTCGCCGGGTATTATCTCCAGCTCTCGTGTGTACAGACGCCTGGCTTCGATTGAATTCAGGTCTATGCTTTGATCTGTAAAAAATGCAAAGGATCAAAGCAATAATATCAAACTATACATAATATATATGATCTGTATCTCAGAATTTTGAGCATTTGAGGTTCATTAGTATGTCGTTGTCATAATGTCAACAAAACTCAACATCAGGAGACGGTTAAAACAGCGCAATCATTAATGACATCAGTAGACTTTGATTTTATGGTTGATTAGCATTAAATCATTTAAACATTAAAACATTAAAAGCTGAGTAAAAACATAAACACAACTTCTGTCCACGCTGAGAGTACAAGGCTACGGTGAAATACAAGACCAAGAGCTATCCAAGACGAAAGTTGTAAAAGTTGGTATTTGTCAGTGGCAGAGAGATACATACGGCGGTCAAACCAGAACGGTTGGTCGTCGTCAAGATTATCTAAGCTTCGTGTCTTTTTCATCATTGTGTTCCGTTTGTCTGCGGGTCCAACGGGAGCTGGAACCGGAAGTGCTGATGTAACCACGTTTTCATAAACTACAGCTAATCAACGTACGACACACGCGGGACAAACAGACATAAATATTGTCTACAATTACATGAACGGTCACGTGATTGCACAAAGCTCGGGAAAAACTACAGAAGGTAAAATACTGCTATTTCCTATGAAGTGAAAACTTAAAATTACGAAATACCAATGCATTACACCAGCAGCAAAAAGAAAAAGAAAACATTTTTTAAACAAAGCTTTGTTTGCGCCGCCGAAAATATAATCGGCTTCTAATTTCCCATTTATATAATTATATATCAAATACCAACAGTATCATGAAGTCAGGCCTCTTCGCCACTGATTATACCTAGACCCTGCTACTGCCCTGAGTATACCTAGACCCTGCTACTGCCCTGAGTATACCTAGACCCTGATACTGCCCTGAGTATACCTAGACCCTGCTACTGCCCTAAGTATACCAAGACCCTGCTACTGCCCTGAGTATACCTAGACCCTGATACTGCCCTGAGTATACCTAGACCCTGCTACTGCCCTGAGTATACCTAGACCTGCTACTGCCCTGTGTATACCTAGACCATGCTACTGCCCTGAGTATACATATACCCTTCTACTTCCCTGTGTATACCTAGACCCTGCAGTTGACATGAGTATACCTAGACGCAGCTACTACCCCGCGTATACCTAGACCCTACTACTGCACTGATTATACCTAGACCCTGCTACTGCCCTGAGTATACCTAGATCCTGCTACTGCCCTGAGTAGATATAGATCCTGCTACTGCCCTTAGTATACCTAGACCCTGCTACTGCCCTAAGTATACCTAGACCATGCTACTGCCCTGATATACCTAGACCATGCTACTGCCCTGAGTATACCTAGACCCTGCTACTGCCCTGATTATACCTAGACCCTGCTACTGCCCTGAGCATACCTAGACCCTGCTACTGCCCCGAGTAGACATAGACCCTGCTACTTCCCCGAGTAGACATAGACCCTGCTACTGCCCTGGGTAGACATAGACCATGCTACTGCCCTGAGTATACCTAGACCCTGATACTGCCCTGAGTATACCTAGACCCTGATACTACCCTGAGTATACCTAGACCCTGATACTGCCCTGAGTAGACATAGACCCTGATTCTGCCCTGAGTAGACATAGATCCTGCTACTGCCCTGAGTATACCTAGACCCTGATACTGCCCTGAGTAGACATAGACCCTGCTACTGCCCTGAATATACCTAGACCCTGATACTGCCCTGAGTAGACCTAGACCCTGTTACTGCCCTGAGTAGACCTAGACCCTGATACTGCCCTGAGTAGACATAGACCCTGCTACTGCCCTGAGTATACCTAGACCCTGATACTGCCCTGAGTATACCTAGACCCTGCTGTTGCCCTGAGTATACCTAGACGCAACTACTGCCCTGCGTATACCTAGATCCTGCTACTACCCTGCGTATACCTAGATCCTGCTGTTGCCCTGAGTATACCTAGACCCTGCTACTGCCCTGAGTATACCTAGATCCTGCTACTGCCCTGAGTAGACATAGACCATGCTACTGCCCTGAGTAGACATAGACCCTTCTACTTCCCTGAGTATACCTAGAACCTGCTTTGTCCCTGAGTAAATCTAGACCCTGCTACTGCCCTGAGTATACCTAGACCCTGCTGTTGCCCTGAGTATACCTAGACGAAACTACTGCCCTGCGTATACCTAGATCCTGCTACTACCCTGCGTATACCTAGATCCTGCTGTTGCCCTGAGTATACCTAGACCCTGCTACTGCCCTGAGTATACCTAGATCCTGCTACTGCCCTGAGTAGACATAGACCCTGCTACTGCCCTGAGTAGACATAGACCCTTCTACTTCCCTGAGTATACCTAAAATCTGCTATGTCCCTGAGTAAATCTAGACCCTGCTACTGCCCTGAGTATACCTAGACCCTGCTGTTTCCCTGAGTATACCTAGACGCAACTACTGCCCTGCGTATACCTAGATCCTGCTACTACCCTGAGTATACCTAGATCCTGCTACTGCCCTGAGTATACCTAGACCCTGCTACTACCCTGAGTATACCTAGACCCTGCTGTTGCCCTGAGTATTCCTAAATGATGCTACTGCCTTGAGTATACCTAGATCACGCTACTCAAGTATGACCTAAGTATACCCAGACTCTACTACTGCCCTGAGTATACCTAGGTCATGCTACTCAGTTATGACATGAGTGTACACAGTCCCTTCTAATTCCCTGAGTATACCTAGACGCAGCTACTGCCCAGCGTATGCCTAGACCCTGCTACTGCCCTGAGTATATCTAGACTCTGCTACTGCCCTGAGTGTACCTAGATCATGATACTCAGTTATAACCTGAGTATACCCAGATTCTGCCCATAGTATACCTAGGTCCGGCATGACGGGCTCCAAGCACTCCACGTCCTCTAAGGACGACGACCTCTTGAACGAACGAAGTCGACTGAGACGCCTGGACCCCTTCCTCGAGACACGTGCAAACGTCTTCCTCTTTCTCGCCGTCTCTCCTGAAAATAGATATGTACACATTGACCAAGTCGCTATAACATGTGCCATCGGTGGGGCAAGAAACGTTGACCTGAGTGATTCATAAACACATGTTCTGCTTTTCGCCGATATTTCTCATGAATATGTAAAGGGTTTTGTAACCTTCAATTAATGTATATCCCAATTACCCATGGCCTGGCAGCCTGGCGTGGGAAGCATGTCTCATACTTGTATAGGGCATAACACAGACCACCATGTACCTCAGGCATCAACTTCACCTGTCTCACTTACCCATGGCGTGGCAGCCTGGCGTGGGAAGCATGTCTCATATTTGTATAGGGCATAACACAGACCACCATGTACCTCAGGCATCAACTTCACCTGTCTCACTTACCCATGGCGTGGCAGCCTGGGGTGGGAAGCATGTCTCATATTTGTATAGGGCATAACACAGACCAACATGTACCTCAGGCATCAACTTCACCTGTCTCACTTACCCATGGCGTGGCAGCCTGGGGTGGGAAGCATATCTCATATTTGTATAGGGCATAACACAGACCACCATGTACCTCAGGCATCAACTTCACCTGTCTGTGTCTACCATAGCATGACTTACCTTCATCAAAACTCGTGGACTTTTCTCCAAGCTGTGTGGTGGAATGTGCGGGCGTGTCTCCGAATGTCACACTCTGCTTCTTCTGTTGTGTCTCTGCAGGTGTCTGTGCAGGTGTCTGTGCAGGTGTCCGCCCATGTGTCTGTTCAGGTGTCTGCCCAGGTTCCGCAGCTGCGTTGTATGGTATGCTCAGGCACCCGGGCCGAACATATATGATGATCCCTAGAATACCAAAACGTGGAGGTTTAGGAAAATATGTAAAGGACAATATACTTCACTACTTCACGACCTTTGTGGGTCCAAGTGTTTATTTCCAAGAGGATATGGACATTTTGTGATGACAGAGTCATGGCAGAACGGGAATTAGTGCTTTAACATTGAACATCATGTCGGCGACGTTTCCTCAATTAGGGTCAGGTTCCGGCATCCTGGGGTTGAGACAAGCATCTGGTTCGACAAGCTCCACATTCCAACATCACGTCACCTCGTCATGCTTGTCGTAAAAGGAGACTATGCTTGTCGTAAAAGGAGACTATGCTTGTCGTAAAAGGAGACTATGCTTGTCGTAAAAAAGGCCACTATGCTTGTCGTAAAAGGCCACTATGCTTGTCGTAAGAGGCCACTATGCTTATCGAAAGAGGCGACTATGCTTGTCGTAAAAGGCCACTATGTTTGTCGTAAAAGGCCACTATGTTTGTCGTAAAAGGCCACTATGCTTGTCGTAAAAGGCCACTATGCTTGTCGTAAGAGGCCACTTTGCTTATCGAAAGAGGCGACTATGCTTGTCATAAAAGGCCACTATGTTTGTCGTAAAAGGCCACTATGTTTGTCGTAAAAGGCGACTATGCTTATCGTAAGAGGCGACTAATGGGATGGGTTGGTTACGTTTGCTGACTTGGTTGATGCATGTCATCAATCCCAAATGTGTGGATCCATGCTCATGATATGAATCACTGGATTGTCTGGTCCAGACTCGATTATTTACATACCGACGTGATAAAGCTGGAATATCGCTGAGTGCGGCGTTAAGCATCAAATCAACCAACCAATTCTATGTTTAATTAGCACGGGGTAATTGTGTTGAAGTATCCTTAATGAAATGAAATAGTTCCCAGTGTCACATTAGGCCCAGAGGTTGCAACAGGTGTACAGAGTAGCGTCCCTTGGACGTTCAAGGATGGTATCTCATAGTTTTTATAATCTTTCATCTGTCAACCCCATCCCCAACATCTTCAAGCGGATACGCCATGATATGACTGGAATATGGTTGATAGCGGCGTTAAAACAAACTCTGAGGCACACACAAGGAAGGGCAGTGTACATACGCAGTCTGACAGGAGGAAGTTCAATGTGTACTCGGTCTATGAAGGCATTGCTCTTCAGCGCTTCTGCATGTCTCCGTTCCCCGGCAGTCAGTGGACCTGAATGAACACAGAAGAAGAACGTGCATGTCAGATAAGTCTGTAGCATCTACCGCACTAAATCAGAACCAGTTCAGACTCTTTCGGTGCATCCAAACTACGTATTCAGGTGCCATATAGACATGCTGGATAGGAACAAGTAGTCAAGTTTAATCCAATTTCGATGTTTTTATCCCGAGAAGCTACACATATATATACAATACATAAATCACAGTGCCTAGAACAGATGTTTTCTGATTTGTCTACAGGTTCTCCTACACTCAATCAGAACCAGCCTTCAGTGCAGATCGAGAGATTTCTGCACGCTGTTATTGGATGATATTGTGTAAGATTTTTATGTCTTTTAAATGTACATCCATCCAGTAATTATAACTGACCATATTTTCCTATATTTAGTAATGTCTTTTGCAACATTATGCTGAATATTACCACAGATATTTTCAAGGTGAAATTTGGTGCGGAACTTGGGGTGGTGCGCAAACAACCCGCATCAGGGCTATTCAGGACTCCAAGACAAAACGTGTTGAACCAGCCTTAACTATTCCAGAAACAAACCCAATTTACCCAATTTGTTGTCACGGAAAACGGAATAAATCGAAATTTCTCAAACAATATAAAAATCGCAAAGGCATTAGTTCATGGCTAGACTGATGTATGTGCACACTTTGGTCTAGAAATAGTTAACGATCTTTGGGTTATGCTCTGGAAAGAATGGTATTTAAGAACTTTTAAAACATGTATATTTCCAGTGCTGGTTAGGAACTTTAAAAAAAATCCGCTTGTAAGAAAAATAAACTTTGTTCGCAATTAAGTTACAGTAATAAGCACTTTTAGATATGATTTAGTTTTAATGCAGGAAGGCATATGTATCAGGTCCAAACCGAAGGACCAATTTTTTTGCTTCAATGAGCTAGATTCATGCGCCTTTCTGGTTTAATTCCGCAAGAATGTATTACTGTCGTATTTACAGCGTTGCTAGACTCGGTACCGTATTATTTACAGTGTTGCTAGACTCGTTAACGTCATAATTACAGTTTTGCTAGACTCTTTGCTGGTTTATTCACAATGTTGCTTGACTCGTTAACGTCATAATAACAGTGTTGCTGGACTCGCTGACATCATACTTACAATGTTGCTAAACTTGTTACTGTCTTGTTTACAGCGTTGCTAGGCTCGTAATCGTCTTAGTTACAGCGTTGCTAGACTCGTTAACGTCATATTTACAATGTTGCTAAACTCGTAACTGTCGTATTTACAGGGTTTCTAGACTCGTTAACGTCATATTTACAGTGTTGCCAGACTCGTTAACGTCATGTTTACAATGTTGCTGGACTCGATCACGTCATATTTTCGGTATTGCTAGACTCGTTAACGTCTTATTGACTCCAATTGTTTACGTGTGCAATAGACACCAACTAGTCACCACGTGGCTTCCAGCGATAGAAGACATACCTTTCTCTATGAGTCCGACACCCGGGCCTTGATTCTGGGACTTCACAGTCTGTTGCTTGTCAGCTATGATCTGCTCCCTGTCTGGTGTGTCACGGATTCCTGCAAAGATCATCAGAGAATCGGTTGATATATTCTTAATTGAGATAGGTATATATTTATGGCGCTTTAGCAACATTACAGCAACATTCCACGTCGGGAGACACCATAGTTTACCCTCGTGGCGAATCACACCTGGGTTTTCGTAAGTAGAAACGTTCAGCGGCATCGATTCTATTGCCGAGTCCAGACACATCTGCTTCTGTTTCATGTTCTGACTGACAAACAGGTCATGGCTCAGAAAGTTCATGATACTACGATTGTTTACTGTTACCAATATTCACACTAAATCTTATTTTGTTGACAGTACTAAGCGTGTCGTCAAGAGTGTGCGTGCACATCTAGTTCCTGAGTATGCGTAACGGGACCCGTCAAAACCCTTCTAATTAAGACTAGTCGTGTATTTATTAGCATGGCGTCACATTTAACTCAATGTCAAGTAACACGCATTTTTTTACACAGGAACGATAATAATAATACTAGATATGTGTCTCAAATGAATTTGTATTTTGATTAACTTTCATTACATTCTACATGAGGGACATCAGGGTAGCCTCCTGGTTAAAGCACTTGCTCGTCACATCAAGATTCGATTTAACCTATGTATACAGTATGAGAACCCCATTTCAGGTATTCCCCGCCGTGATATTGCTGGCATATTGTTAAAAAGGCAGCCCCAAATCCATAATCACTATTTATACCTTACATAGAGATATGAAATGTCCTGCCAGATAATAATCTCGAGTATCTACCGATACAAACTAGAAATACAGTGATGACCCCAGGTGGTAGCGAACCGTGGACGCATGCACTGCCCTACATGAAGCACCAGCCTCCTGCATAACGCCATGACAGAACATATGCCAAAGAATATGTACCGACACAAAATATATTGGACGTGAAAGGCAAACTTGTGATGTTCGAAAAATGACTGGATTTACTGATAATCCAACAGGTAGCATCAACCACCTGCATAACGCCTTGACAGAACACACATGAACCCTCCTGGGCCTACCTTTACCAGATGGGTCTGTGTCCTGTGGTGGAGACCCCCCGTCTCCTGGTCTCCGGACTGCAGCTCCACGTTGTCCATCTGTCATCCCATCTCTGTCAGAAGGTCGTGCAGTGGACATGATGCGTGTGCTGAATCCAGGATCCTCCATCTCACGTTGGGAAGACGGTGTGTCTCTACCGTCAGGCTGGTTGCCTTGGCCTGCAATATATTCCCACATACTTCATGCTGTCTTGAATAGTGTACCATGTTTTCCCAAGACCCGCTGCGACCAGGAACTTGAGATGCACAGGCACAGTAACATCAAAGTGGGAAGCAAACTGTTCTCCCAAAATCATCGAAACACGCTTTAAGTTCTGTCGAACCGTACACACACTAAAATCACATATTCACCCTTAATATGGGATCAGGAGTTTCATGATCATCTGCGGGGAACAAATATTATGACGTAGAGGCACTCTTAATACATTGTGCTCAAATATACAATGATATGCAAAATCACGTCAAAGTTGGGCAACATTATTCTCTTCTGTATTAAGAATGAAATAGAAGCTAACCAAAGGCAGTTATTTTTAGAGGTGGTTGTATTTTGTCCGAGCAAGGACTCCTGCCTGAGAGTACTTCAAAATGTCATCCCCCGCCATTGTTTCTGACACGCGATGATTTAACTGAAAACCCACGACCTTCATAACTTTCAAGCTTCCTCTCACGTGAAGCAGACACGCATTGATATGACTGAAACACCTTACTATGTGACCTTAAACACACAGTCTCAAAACTGCATATTTGCTGTATGAAGACACATTGGCGTTATTAACAATTTACCCATGTTAGCGTAATGGCATAAATCCATCCTTCCAATCACTACTCATATTTCCTGACTACACACCTGAGAGTACGTCAATCTGCCGACCCCTGCCATTGTCTTCGATACCCCCGGAAGGCCTGAGCTGGGCGTGAGAAACACTGGCACCTTCAGGAACTATCGCATCTTCATCTCCCGCGGCTCTCCTCACATCGAGAGATGTTGGTGAATCCCCTGTAGTAAGATTAACCAAAGCCGAATAAATAAACGTACTGTCAGCCAATGACTGGAATTATTCGTGGTTCCATGGACACGTAAGGTATTGCATGAAGTAGACGCTTAGGTGATACATCAAATGTCAAAACACTGTAGGTGTATCTACATTCAACTATATATGACGGAAAGAGGGCTTTGAAAATGGTGCTGTCTTGCAAGGCATAATGAAAAGGGTACAAAGGTCTGTTATCTAGGAACATTCTGAAAAGGGGTCACAGGTAGTTGTATATGTAACAAATATCACTAAAGTTCAACATAAAAATACCCATAGTCTTGAATAGTGCAGAATGAGGGCTAAAACGCAGTTTTTCAAAACGAAGTTGACAAATTACCCCGCAAAGATATGTTTTCATTTAATCACAACCTGTTGTGTACTGTTTGGACTCATCAAATGATTTCTTGGTAATCAGCGCGACAAATCCTGATTTGGAAATCGAATACTACCATGTCATCTCTCATTGTAATGGTGGCAGGTTGTAAAAATAGTGAAAAAAAATACTGAACAAATTTATTTCTCCAACAAGGTTCATTGAAAAACTTTTTACTATTTCTTTCAATGTGTAAATATTATTGGTTAGTTAGCAATAACCGGTAGTAAACATAACAAATTCAATATAAACTTGAGGTACATCTCGGTTATTCGTCAATTTGTTATTCGTCAGTGGCTGCCAATGTTGTTGACAGTCTCCGTACCTCTGACAAGTTACAAGAAGCCAGATGACATCCCCGATCTATGATGTGGTTCAGCATTAAAGTGTAGATTTACTGGGAATTATCCTGATGGTGTAAAGTGATTGCCAATGGAATTGGAACAAGACTGAACAGCTGTTTTAGGTGGCAGACGAGCCGGTGTGACAGGATTAAATCACTCGCCTTAAATTTCACTCTAGAGTGACCTGATCCAAGGACTGACACACTCAAGAGTGACCTGATCCTAGGACTGACACACTCCAGAGTGACCTGATCCAAAGACTGACACACTCCAGAGTGACCTGATCCAAGGACTGACACACTCTAGAGTGACCTGATCCTAGGACTGACACACTCTAGAGTGACTTGATCCTAGGACTGACACACTCTAGAGTGACCTGATCCTAGGACAGACACACTCCAGAGTGCCCTGATCCTAGGACTGACACACTCCAGATTGCCCTGATCCTAGGACTGACACACTCCAGAGTGACCTGATCATAGGACTGACACACTCCAGAGTGACCTGATCCTAGGACTGACACAGTCCAGAGTGACCTGATCCTAGGACTGACACACTCTAGAGTGACCTGATCCTAGGACTCACACAGTCCAGAGTGACCTGATCCTAGGACTGATACACTACAGAGTGACCTGATCCTAGGACTCACACAGTCCAGAGTGACCTGATCCTAGGACTGACACACTCCAGAAGGACCTGATCCTAGGACTGACACACTCCAGAGTGACCTGATCCTAGGACTGACACACTCTAGAGTGCCCTGATCCAAGGACTGACACACTCCAGAGTGACCTGATCCTAGGACTGACACACTCTAGAGTGCCCTGATCCTAGGACTGACACACTCTAGAGTGCCCTGATCCTAGGACAAATCCTAACGTTGGTGGTTGACGGAGGTGGCAAAGGATATCGACCAGACAAAGGTTTGTAAACAACATGGTGTAATGAATAAAGTTATTTAAAACACTATCTTTTAATGTTATATATTGATTTCAGTATCGTCCGTTTCAGTAAGAAAATTATCTGTTCGCCACCGAATATGTCCCTAAGTTTTTTTACACGTTATCATTTGAAAGCCAAACGTATGGAATCTCATCATCGCAGCAGTCGGGGTTGCCGCCGAGGCCCTCAGAATCATTGTCAAAAACATCCGATATCAAATTACCGTATTTCCTCTATGAGACACTCGGGCGTCTATTAATTTCGCGAGAACCGTTGACCGGGCATGTATTAGAGACCACGCGACTAATAGAAGAAATATCGATAAGGTATACAGTTATTATGGGTGATCGATCGGCAGCCATTTTTTATAGATCTATATGGAGACTATTGATGTATTCGTACGCACAGATTTGGGTATGAACAGGCTTTACATATTAAAAGAGGTTTCTGTGGCAAAACGTAAAACTCTTTTCAACAAATCAAAATCAGGCTTTCTTCAATGTCATGGAAGACTTAAAATTAGTTGTCGTTATTGTGTTGGAATATTGATGTTACCATCACCGTCAGGTCTACCAGCGCCTGTTGTCTTCAGCTGTGCGTGGGACACATGGGCGTCTTCAGGAACAATCACATCCTCATCCCCAGCAGCTCTCCGAACATTCAGAGATCCTGGTGACCCTTCTGAAGTAGTGAGTGAGTGAGTGAGGTAAAATGTTTGATATGAAACGTAACCCTGCCTCGTTCATTCGCCGAAACGCAACGTCGGCAATATTCAGCCATGTTGTGACCAGAGAATGTAAATACATAACATCTGAAATTAGAATTCAGTTTCACAAATCCCTTTTAGTTGAACCCACTGATATGGGTATTGTGCTGACAAGGATCACAATCGGGGCCTACCATCAGGCCCTTGTAAAGCTCTGCGTCGTCGCGCACCATGGATCATCCGTTTGGTTAGGTAACGTGGGGGCACGGGTGGCCCATTTAATTAAGGCGCCGCAATTCGCCATGCATAGTTGCGTACCTTGAAACAGAAATCTATGACCTTAGGTTCGAATCCCGGTCCGCCCCGATTATGTTTCTAGTTCGTCAGCACCATACCCATGCTCCTGGGTTTCACCAAAGTGGTTATCTTTTAAGATATTTATCACGGGCTTTCCTCCCACATCAAGCTGACAGGCCATGATATAACTGGAAAACTCCCACATCAAGCTGACAGGCCGTGATATAACTGGAAAACTCCCACATTAAGCTGACAGGCCATGATATAACGGGAAAACTCCCACATCAAGCTGACAGGCCGTGATATAAATGGAAAACTCCCACATTAAGCTGACAGGCCGTGATATAACGGGAAAACTCCCACATTAAGCTGACAGGCCATGATATAACTGGAAAACTCCCACATCAAGCTGACAGGCCATGATATAACTGGAAAACTCCCACATCAAGCTGACAGGCCCTGATATAACTGGACAACTCCCACATCAAGCTGACAGGCCATGATATAACTCGAAAACTCCCACATCAAGCTGACAGGCCATGATATAACTGGAAAACTCCTACATCAAGCTGACAGGCCATGATATAACTGGAAAACTCCCACATCAAGCTGACAGGCCCTGATATAACTGGAAAACTCCCACATCAAGCTGACACGCCGTGATATAACTAGGAATACTGTTCAAAGCGAAGTTATACTCAAGACACGAATATTATCAATTAGTAAGTAATATGTACCATAATTTGTCAGCGCCTATTGTTCGGCTACAGATGTGAATTTGGCCATGTGTACACCCATAAACTAATGATGCAAATATGAAACACTGTCACGGACAACCAATCTGGCATGTAGTAAGGTTCTTTGTTTTGCGACCATTAGATGTGATATACTAAGTTTTCATGAACATGTGACTCAAATAAAAATATTGACGTCTTCTTACTTGTTCGCCTCCCTCCTTCTTCTGCCAGCGAGTCCTCGTCAACGGCAGGGCGACGTAGTGGTCGTCCGTGTGGGTCATTCATTCCAATGCTGTCTGCATCACCACCGGCCGCCGTGAGCGTTGCTGGCCTTGACCCCTGCAATTCCCTCTGTGATCTGGCAGCATCCTTCCCTGCTAGAGCCCCGCCCACTCCGCCACGTGGTGCTGCTGAGAACAGACGAACAGTATACTTTTCCTCCATATTCATGATAATGAGAAATATTTTGAGGCATGCGTCAGTGACGTGGCGCCAAACTCTATAACATGTTAACTTTGTTGTGAACAGAAGCAGAATTTAAAACTTTAAACATTGCCGATTACAATGCATATCTGTATGTCACCAGCGTCCTCCATTCCCTTCACCGTAACTTGGGTTTTAGCAGAGATATCTCATGAACATGAAAAGTGTTTTTTTCTCTTTTAGTCAACAATAGCCAGTTTCATTCTTCACTGACTTTTTGTTCATTCTGTGCAACAATTTGTAAATGATTTGTAGATTTTCAGTACGACGTTTATGATACACAGTCTCCGTACCAGGGATTCATTCATATTCTCGACCCGTGAAGATCCGGGGTAGAATAGGTCTTCAGCAACCCATGCCTGCCGTAAATGGCGAATATGCTTATCGTCAGAGGCGATTAATGGGATTGGGCGGTCAGGCTCGCTGACTTGGTTGATGCATGTCATCGATCCCAATTGTGTGGATCAATGCTCATGATATGAATCACTAGATTGTCTAGTCCAGACTCGATTATTTACAGACCGCCGTCATATAGCTGGAATATTGCTGAGTGCGGCGTTAAACATCAACAGACAAAACAAACTTCATATACTCTTGATGGTGTATGTTTCATGTAGTCAGTACAAACCTCGGTATATTTAAACTAAACTGAGGGGTAACAGAAAGTAATTGTTTGTTTTTATGTAATTGAAAAAAGTAAACGAACTATCTATGTGGCCATAATTCATTCCTGCAATAGTTTTGTAAAACGTAATCTGTGTCTTGGTAACATATATAGTTGTCTGTGCTTGTATACACTTAATTCACGACCTCCGTCACCGATCATGTAGTATGTAACACTTACGATAAAGTCACGCCTCTACTCTCCAAGTGTTGGTAGTACTGAGAAACATAAAAACCCTCCTGGGCCTACCTTTACCAGATGGGTCTGTGTCCTGTGGTGGAGAACCCCTGTCTCCTGGTCTCCGGACTGCAGCTCCACGTTGTCCATCTGTCATCCCGTCTCTGTCAGAAGGTCGTGCAGTGGACATGATGCGTGTGCTGAATCCAGGATCCTCCATCTCACGTTGGGAGGACGGTGTGTCTCTACCGTCAGGCTGATTGCCTTGGCCTGAAACATTTACACATGACACTACTTACGTAAAAAGGAGTCACCATTTGCCCAGTAGGTTAGAGTAAGGGCTAGGGTTAGGGTTAGGGTTAGGGTTAGGGTTAGGTCTAGGGTTAGGGTTAGGGTTAGGGTCTCCACTATAATTCGCTGCCCATCTCCACACATTTGATATCACATCTACAGTAAACTACGTTTATAACGAACACGCTATACCGAACTGACGCATATAACTTAACTCTTTGGGTTCCGTCGATTTGCTGTTTATAGGGTGCATATGTGCCTAAAGTACTCATGGAAATGAAAAAAAACTGTTTTGCTGGATTTAATAATCGACACAAAGCATTACGTAGAAGTTAATACGAATTAACAAAACAACTGGGAAAGTACTAGTCTGGATTTGCTAGTTTTATCTCAGTGCTCAATACAAAATGTACTTTACAGGAGGTAATTTGTAGGCTCTTTCAACATTCAAAAATTAAACTAGGTCCAAATTGACATGGCAGAAACAGGCTATAGGCATTAAGCAAATTAGCCTGGAAAAAAGTTATCAAAACAACAATAAAAATACAGCTATGTTTATGTACATAATAATAATGACATGTAAGTTGTTGTTTGTGAAGGGAATATGTTACTTTTACGTTCTGATATTTTGACGATGATTTACTATCCCACAAAGCCACTCACAAATCACTAACCACTGACAAATCACATGCACGTGGGTTTCAAGCACCTGTTTTCACCTGTCGTCAAGGTGTCATAGGTCATAAAAAAAACCTTGATCTGCTAACACCTGGTTATGCTCAGTTTCACAATAGTCTGTTTTGTTCATATTTTCACACACTTTTACGTGTAAAAAGACATAAAAACCTACCTTTGATATGCTGTATTTGTGCCAAGGCCAAATTAGTACTAATTGAGTTGTTTGAATATTTATATATTTTGTATATTAAATGCATTTATTTAAAACCTGAGATCAGGATCTGAGATACAGGTTTTTTTTCATTTCCGTGAGTACTTTATGACGAACTACGGTTATAACAAACTAAAATTAGTGGTCGCTTTTAGTTTGTTACAACCGTAGTTTACTGTTTATTGACCCAGAATCAACTGTCTTATGTCCATGATGACAATGGCACAAGCTGATAATTTAAATGTCCTTGATTCATACCTGAGAGTACGTCAATCTGCCGACCCCTGCCATTGTCTTCGATCCCCCCGGAAGGCCTGAGCTGGGCGTGGGAAATACTTGCACCTTCAGGAACTATCACATCTTCATCTCCCGCGGCTCTCCTCACATCGAGAGATGTGGGTGAATCCCCTGTACGAAGATTAACCCAAGCCGAATAAATAAACGTACAGTTAGCCAATGACTGGAATTCTTCGTGGTTCAATGGACACGTAAGGTATTGCATGAGGTGGACGCTTAGGTGATCAGCCACTAACGGAACAAATACTAGCATATAACTTATGACCTTCTTGAATTATCTTTGCACAGCCCTGGTTTCGTTTTCGGTTAAGGTTTCACTGTAATTCGGGGTGGTTTGGTAGCCTAGTGGTTCAGGCGTTCATTCATCACGCCGAAGACCCGGGTTTGATTCCCGACATGGGTACAACGTGTGAAGCCCATTTCTGGTTTACTCCACCGTGATATTGCTGGAATATTGCTAAAAGCGGGGTAAAACAATTACATAACCTATCTATTGCCTTTAATGATTTTATTATGAACTATTTTTTTGGAAAATTGATGTTACCATCAACGTCAGGTCTACCAGCGCCTGTTGTCTTCAGCTGTGCGTGGGACACATTGGCGTCTTCAGGAACAATCACATCCTCATCCCCAGCGGCTCTCCGTACATTCAGAGATCCTGGTGACCCTTCTAAAAACAATCAGAACAGGATTTAAACACTATCTGAGATGCAATATCAAACTGATCTGGGTGCCGTTGTACAAAGCGATCTCCGCGCTAAGGTGACCGTAACTCCCATACCTTAACATAGACTTACGACCCCGTTGTCAGTTGCTTGTCATTACAACGTATAGTGTACGTACGTTGTGGTGTGCAGTATGATGATAGCGTATACAATCTCAACTGGACGTACGTAGTACAATGTGTATGGTGAGGTATAAGGGGCAGTCTGGGGTATGAATCCAGCTGTTTCAAGGGTAAGGAACTCTGAAATGTGTCAGCACCACACAAGCCCTCGCTATAACATGATATTAATCGGCATGTAGATAAGACACAGTGTCCGATGAAGACCGGGACCTGACGAGGCATTTATAGCAGGCGAATAAAGCCTAATGGACATGAATTTACCAGTATTTGAGACAGTGAAATCTTGGTATAAACGAAGCCGACATTTAAGAAAATAGAGTCATAGCAGTAATAAATTCAGTGAAATAGAGTAATGTTTTCTTACTTGTTCGCCCTCCACCTTCCTCTGCAAGCGAGTCCTCGTCAACGGCAGGGCGATGTAGTGGTTGTCCGTGTGGGTCATTCATTCCGATGCTGTCTGCATCTCCACCCGCTGTCGTGAGCGTTGCTGGCCTTGACCCTTGCAGTTCCCTCTGTGATCTGGCAGCATCATTCCCTGCTGGAGCCCCGCCCACTCCGCCACGTGGTGCTGCCATGAATATGTACAAAGTTTTCTTTGCCTGTACACTAGTATTCATGATGGTATTCACGATGTATTCATGATGGTATTAATGATGGTATTCTTTTTAGCTCCAGGAACATGTTGGCGACAAGGGCAAAAACATCTAAGTCTGATATTTCAGTGGAGATTCTGACAACTTTTTGAATGGAACAAAATGTAGAACGTCATAAATTACAATGGAGATACAAACACCTTTATTGAATAAGTGGGTTCAGTTTTGAAGCCAGTTACCTCAGTTATACAGCAGTGTTGCAGGTTAATGTGGCAGTAAATTGTGTCCATCTATTTGAGGAACCAGTCATCTTCTTAAGGACAACTTAGATAATAATATCAGGCTCTATTTCCGTTGAAATTATTTCCAAGACTGACACACACCCTTAACTATGAAATGTCCAAAAAACGAAAAGGTAAAATTATTACCTGCTCGTTTTGTTACATTTTGTACTTTGGGAGTCGTTTCAGAAGTGAGTATAAGATAAGGTATAGTCTTAAAATTTGCCTAAAACCATATTCACTATTTATACATTACAGGTGGATATAGAAAATCAATGCAAAAGAACATGTACCGACACAAAATATATTGGACGTAAAAGGCAAACTTTCGATGTTCGAAAAATGACTGGATTACTGATAACCCAACAGGTAGCACCAACCACCTGCATAACGCCTTGACAGAACACACATGAACCCTCCTGGGCCTACCTTTACCAGATGGGTCTGTGTCCTGTGGTGGAGACCCCCTGTCTCCTGGTCTCCGGACTGCAGCTCCACGTTGTCCATCTGTCATCCCGTCTCTGTCAGAAGGTCGTGCAGTGGACATGACGCGTGTGCTGAATCCAGGATCCTCCATCTCACGTTGGGAAGACGGTGTGTCTCTACCGTCAGGCTGGTTGCCTTGGCCTGAAAGATTTACACATGACACTACTTACGTAACTAGGAGGAACCATTTGCCCAGTAGGTTAGGTCTAGGGTAAGGGTAAGGGTAAGAGTAAGGGTAAGAGTAAGGGTTAAGGTTAGTTCAGGGTAAGGGTAAGGGTAAGAGTAAGGGTAAGGGTAGGGGTAGGGGTAAGAGTAAGGGTTAAGGTTAGTTCAGGGCAAGGGTAAGGGTAAGGGTAAGGGTAAGGGTATGGGTATGGGTATGGGTAAGGGTAGGGGTAGGGGTAAGGGTAAGAGTAAGGGTTAAGGTTAGTTCAGGTCAGGGTAAGGGTAAGGGTAAGGGTATGGATATGGGTAAGGGTAAGGGTAAGAGTAAGGGTTAAGGTTAGTTCAGGGTAAGGGTAAGGGTAAGGGTAGGGGTAGGGGTAAGGGTAAGAGTAAGGGTTAAGGTTAGTTCAGGTCAGGGTAAGGGTAAGGGTATGGGTATGGGTAAGGGTAAGGGTAAGAGTAAGGGTTAAGGTTAGTTCAGGGTCAGGGTAAGGGTAAGGGTAAGGGTAGGGGTAGGGGTAGGGGTAAGGGTAAGAGTGAGGGTTAAGGTTAGTTCAGATCAGGGTAAGGGTAAGGGTAAGGGTAGGGGTAGGGGTAGGGTTAAGGGTAAGAGTAAGAGTAAGAGAGTAAGAGTCAGGGTTAAGGTTAGGTCAGGGTAAGGGTAAGGGTAGGGGTAGGGGTAGGGGTAGGGGTATGAGTAAGGGTAAAGGTTAGGTCACGGTAAGGGTAAGGGTCAGGGTAAGGTTAAGGGTAAGAGTAAGGGTAAGAGTAAGGGTTAAGGTTAGGTCAGGGTAAGGGTAGGGGTCAGGGTAAGGGTAAGGGTAGGGGTAGGGGTAGGGGTAGGGGTAGGGGTAGGGGTAAAGGTTAGGTTAGGTTAGGTTAGGTTAGGTTAGGTTAGGTTAGGTTAGGTTAGGTTAGGTTAAGGGTTAAGGTTACGGTTAGGGTTAGGGATAGGGTCTCCATTAAAATTCGCTGCCCATCATTCAGTCTCTTATGTGTGCCAGGATGCGAATCCCAGTTTTGTTCTCATTTTGATCTTTAATTTGACAGCACTGTGTGTCTCTACCAACAAACTGGTTGCCACCTGCAGTTACAACCAATAACAAACCATTTTTCTGTTAACTTATCTAATACATGGATTTCTTTCACACTCCCCATGACCATCTCCACACATCAGATATCACATCTTCAGTAAACTACGTTTATAACGAACACGCTTATACCGAGCTGAGAGAAATAACTAAATCTTTTTGGGTTCCGTCGATTTGCTGTATATAGGGTGTATATCTGCCTAGGACGAACTACGGTTATAACAAACTAAAATTAGTGGTCCCTTTTGGTTCGTTACAACCGTGGTGTGCTGTAGTTGACCCAGCATCAACTGTCTTATCTCCATGATGACAATGGCACAAGCTGATAATTTAAATGTCCTTGATTCATACCTGAGAGTACGTCAATCTGCCGACCCCTGCCATTGTCACTGATCCCCCCGGAAGGCCTGAGCTGGGCGTGGGAAACACTGGCACCTTCAGGGACTATCACATCTTCATCTCCCGCGGCTCTCCTCACATCGAGAGATGTGGGTGAATCCCCTGTACGAAGATAAACCAAAGCCGAATAAATAAACGTATAATCAGCCACTGACTGAACAAATACTAGTATATAACGTTTCACCATCATGAAATATCTTTGCACAGGCCCTGGTTTCGGTAGAGGTTACAGTTTCTCCGTATTTCCGGGCGGTCGGGTAGCCTGGTGGTTAAAGCGTTCACTCATCACGCCAAAGACCCTGGTTCGATTCACCAACATGGGTACAATGTGTGAAGCCCATTTCTGGTTTACACCGATCTGATATTGCTGGAATATTGTTAAAAGCGGAGTAAAACCACACTCCCTCACTCACTCACTCAGTATATTTCCAAATGTGTTGTTTTCAGTAAACAATTACATAACCTAGCTCTCGTTTTTTATGCTTTTATTAGGAAATATGTTTTTTGAAAATTTGATGTTATCATCACCGTCAGGTCTACCAGAGCCTGTTGTCTTCAGCTGTGCGTGGGACACATTGGCGTCTTCAGGAACAATCACATCCTCATCCCCAGCGGCTCTCCGTACATTCAGAGATCCTGGTGACCCTTCTAAAATGCAACCAGATCAGGATTTAAACACTATCTGAGATGCAATATCAAACTGATCTGGGTGCCGTTGTACAAAGCGATATCCGCGCTAAGGTGATCGTAACTCCCATACCTTAACATAAACTTACGACCCCATTCTCAGTTGCTTGTCATCACAACGTGTAGTGTACGTACGCTGTGGTGTGCAGTATGTTGATAGCGTATACAATCTCAACTGGACGTACGTAGTACAATGTGTATGGTGAGGTATAAGGGGCAGTCTGGGGTTCGAATCCAGCTGTTTCAAGGGTAAGGAACTCTGAAATGTGTCAGCACCACACATGCCCTCGCTATAACATGATATTTATCGACATGTAGATATGACACAGTGTCTGATCATGGAGACTGACCGGGACGTGATGAGGCATTTGTTGCAGGCGAATAAAGCCTAATCTACATGAATGTACCAGAAACTGAGACAGTGACATCTTGGTATAAACAAAGCCTTCTAAGAAAATAGAGTCATAGCAGTAATAAATTCAGTGAAATAGAGTAATGTTTTCCTACTTGTTCGCCTCCCTCCTTCCTCTGCCAGCGAGTCCTCGTCAACGGCAGGGCGACGTAGTGGTTGTCCGTGTGGGTCATTCATTCCGATGCTGTCTGCATCACCACCGGCCGCCGTGAGCGTTGCTGGCCTTGACCCTTGCAGTTCCCTCTGTGATCTGGCAGCATCATTACCTGCTGGAGCCCCGCCCACTCCGCCACGTGGTGCTGCCATGAATATGTACAACGTTTTCTTTGCCTGTTAACTAGTATTCATGTAAGCTCCAGGAACATATTGGAGACAAGGGAAACACATCTCAGTCTGATATTTCAGTGGAGATTCTGACAACTTTTTGAATGGAACAAAATGTAGAACGTCATAAACTACAATGGAGATACAAACACCTTTTTTGAATAAGTGGGTTCAGTTTTAAAGCCAGTTACTCCAGTTATACAGCAGTGTTGCAGGTTAATGTGGCAGTAAATTGTGTCCATCTATTTGAGGAACCAGTCATTTGTCACGTTCTTAAGGACAACTTAGGTCATAATATCAGGTTCTATTTCCGTTGAAATTATTTCCAAGACTTACACACACCCTAAAATATTAAATGTCCGAAAACGAAAAGGTAAAATTATTAAGGACAACTTAGGTCATAATATCAGGTTCTATTTCCGTTGAAATTATTTCCAAGACTTACACACACCCTAAAATATTAAATGTCCGAAAACGAAAAGGTAAAATTATTACCTGCTCGTTTTGTTACATTTTGTACTTTGGGAGTCATTTCAGAAGTGAGTATAAGATAAGGTATATTCTTAAAAGTTGCCTAAAACCATATTCACTATTTATAAATTACGTGTGAATATAGAACATCAATGCCAAAGAAAATATGTACCGACACAATGTATTGGACGTGAAAGGCAAACTTGTGATGTTCGAAAAATGACCACTGACTGAACAAATAGTATATAACTTTTGACCTTCTTGAAATATCTTTGCACAGGCCCTGGTTTCGGTAGAGGTTTCACTGTCATTTGGGGCGGTCTGGTAGCTTGGTGGTTAAATAATTCACTCATCACGCTGAAGACCCGGGTTTGATACCCGACATGAGTACAATGTGTAAATCCCATTTCTGTGTCCCCAGCCTTGATATTGCGGGAATATTGTTAAAAGCTGAGTAAAACCATACTCCCTCCCTCACTCACTCACTATAATTCGAAATGTGTTGTTTTAAGTAAACAATTACATAACCTAGCTCTCGTTTTTTATGCTATTATGATGAAATATGTTTTTGAAAATTTCATGTTACCATCCTCGTCAGGTCTACCAGCGCCTGTTGTCTTCAGCTGTGCGTGGGACACATTGGCGTCTTCAGGAACAATCACATCCTCATCCCCAGCGGCTCTCCGTACATTCAGAGATCCTGGTGACCCTTCTAAAAAGCAACCAGATCAGGATTTAAACACTATCTGAGATGCAATATCAAACTGATCTGGGTGCCGTTGTACAAAGCGATATCCGCGCTAAGGTGATCGTAACTCCCATACCTTAACATAAACTTACGACCCCGTTCTCAGTTGCTTGTCATAACAACGTATAGTGTACGTACGCTGTGGTGTGCAGTATGTTGATAGCGTATACAGTCTCAACTGGACGAACGTAGTACAATGTGTATGGTGAGGTATAAGGGGCAGTCTGGGGTTAGAATCCAGCTGTTTCAAGGGTAAGGAACTCTGAAATGTGTCAGCACCACACATGCCCTCTCTGTATAACATGATATACTACTCAAAAGAAGTTAAGGATCACCCGATTCTTTCATATTGGTTATGTTAATCTGTCATGGCATGAGAGATTAACTATTGTAATATGGAAGAATCAGGTGATCCTTATCTTCTTTTGAGTAGTATATTATCGACATGGAGATATGACACAGTGTCTGATGATGGAGACTGACCGGGACGCGATGAGGCATTTGTTGCAGGCGAATAAAGCCTAATCTATATGAATGTACCAGAAACTGAGACAGTGACATCTTGGTATAAACTAAGCCGACATGTAAGAAAATAGAGTCATAGCAGTAATAATTTCAGTGAAAAAGAGTAATGTTTTCCTACTTGTCCGCCTCCCTCCTTCCTCTGCCAGCGAGTCCTCGTCAACGGCAGGGCGACGTAGTGGTTGTCCGTGTGGGTCATTCATTCCGATGCTGTCTGCATCACCACCGGCCGCCGTGAGCGTTGCTGGCCTTGACCCTTGCAGTTCCCTCTGTGATCTGGCAGCATCATTCCCTGCTGGAGCCCCGCCCACTCCGCCACGTGGTGCTGCCATGAATACGTACAAAGTTTCCTTTACCTGTTAACTAGTATTTATGTAAGCTCCAGGAACATATTGGAGACAAGGGAAACACATCTCAGTCTGATATTTCAGTGGAGATTCTGACAACTTTTTGAATGGAACAAAATGTAGAACGTCATAAACTACAATGGAGATACAAACGCCTTATTTGAATAAGTGGGTTCAGTTTTAAAGCCAGTTACTCCAGTTATACAGCAGTGTTGCAGGTTAATGTGGCAGTAAATTGTGTCCATCTATTTGAGGAACCAGTCATTTGTCACGTTCTTAAGGACAACTTAGATCATAATATCAGGTTCTATTTCCGTTGAAATTATTTCCAAGACTTACACACACCCTAAAATATTAAATGTCCGAAATTGAAAAGGTAAAATATTACCTGCTCGTTTTGTTACATTTTAGACTTTGGGAGTCGTTTCAGAAGTGAGTATAAGATAAGGTATATTCTTAAAAGTTGCCTAAAACCATATTCACTATTTATACATGACAATTGGATATAGAAAATCAATGCCAAAGAACATGTACCGACACAATGTATTGGACGTGAAAGGCAAACTTGTAATGTTCAAAAAATGACTGGATTACTGATAACCCAACAGGTAGCATCAACCACCTGCATAACGCCTTGACAGAACACACATGTAAAAACCCTCCTGGGCCTACCTTTACCAGATGGGTCTGTGTCCTGTGGTCTCCGGACTGCAGCTCCACGTTGTCCATCTGTCATCCCGTCTCTGTCAGAAGGTCGTGCAGTGGACATGATGCGTGTGCTGAATCCAGGATCCTCCATCTCACGTTGGGAGGACGGTGTGTCTCTACCGTCAGGCTGGTTGCCTTGGCCTGTAACATTTACACATGTGTAGGGTACAAACCCGGCTTCAGGGCAAGAATCTGCATGACTGGCCCATTCGTACCTAATAAGACTAAGAGTTACGTCCCTTTGATCGGGGTTCGAATCCCTGATTGACCCATTTGTACGATTTCTTCTTTAAAATACCAACCGAGATCGACACTCCCCAAGACCATCTCCTCACCATGACTACGCCTCCGATATCACATCTACAGTAATCTACGTTTATAACGAACACACTTATACCGAACTAACGCATATACGAACTGTTTTTGGGTCCCGCTGGTTTGTTGTATATAGGGTGTATATGTGCCTATGACGAACTAGGGCTATAACTATAAATTAGTGGTCCCTTTTGGTTCGTTACAACCGTGGTGTGCTGTAGTTGACCCAGAATCAACTGTCTTATCTCTATGATGACAATGGCACAAGCTGATAATTTAAATGTCCTTGATTCATACCTGAGAGTACGTCAATCTGCCGACCCCTGCCATTGTCTTCGATCCCCCCGGAAGGTCTGAGCTGGGCGTGGGAAATACTTGCACCTTCAGGAACTATCACATCTTCATCTCCCGCGGCTCTCCTCACATCGAGAGATGTGGGTGAATCCCCTGTACGAAGATAAACCAAAGCCGAATAAATAAACGTATAGTCAGCCAATGACTGAAAAAATATATAACTTTTGACGTTCTTGAAATATCTTTGCAGAGGCCCTGGTTTGGGTAGATGTTTAAATATAATTTGGGGTGGTCGGTTAGCCTTGTGGTTAATTATATAAAGCCTTAGCTCCTTACGCCGAAGACCTGGGTTCGATTCCCGACATGAGTACAATGTGTGAAGCCCAATTTGGGTATCCCTTGCCACGATATTGCTAAAAGCGGCGTAAACCCATACTAACACACTCAATATAATTCCTAATGTGTTGTTTTCAGTAAACAATGACATAACCTAGCTATCGCTTTTTATGCCTTTATTAGGAAATATGTTTTTGGAAATTTGATGTTACAATCACCGTCAGGTCTACCAGCGCCTGTTGTCTTCAGCTGTGCGTGGGACACATGGGCGTCTTCAGGAACAATCACATCCTCATCCCCAGTGGCTCTCCGTACATTCAGAGATCCTGGTGACCCTTCTGAAACAATCAGATTTCTTAAGAGACTCCTGGAGAATATCCGCCAAGATGCCGCATCATGCATTAATTGATTGCAATGATTTTTTGTAGTTAAACAACATTTCTGTGAAACCCCAGCCTGTTAGTATAATCAGAGGAAAGTCAAAGTGATATTTGGTGGAGACCTTCACTACACTACCAGCAAGTGTCGGGGCCTAAGACCTCTTTGTCATACCTACCATCTACTAATAACGTAAATATCATGGAAAAGACACACTGCGATATGAAACTTAGCAGATGCAGGGAAGGTTGTTTGATTGAACAGAGCGAACTAAATCTTGGGTATTGAAGCACATCCATCAGCTCAATCCTGCTTTATCCACATTCCTCTGTCAAGTGTCAATACAACGAAGGGGCACAGGTGGCCACATCGTCTCAGTTGCAGTAATTCGTTGTGCAAAATTGCGTCCCTTGGGCACGCCAGAAACCTATGATTGTGGGTTCGAACCCCGGCTCATCGCCAATTTTGTTTCTTGGGTGGTGAGCACCCTGCCCGTGCTGGTGGGTTTCCTAAAAAGGGCTAACGTCCGAGACTAGCATCATTTTAGATTGTTAAAATGACATGTTTGGTTATTTGAATAATAAATGTTTTCTTACTTGTTCGCCTCCCTCCTTCTTCTGCCAGTGAGTCCTCGTCAACGGCAGGGCGACGTAGTGGCTGTCCGTGTGGGTCATTCATCCCGATGCTGTCTGCATCTCCACCGGCCGTCGTGAGCGTTGCTGGCCTTGACCCTTGAAGTTCCCTCTGTGATCTGTCAGCATCCTTACCTGATGGGGCCCCGCCCACTCCGCCACGTGGTGCTGCAAAGATTATTTTGTCCGTTTATTAACAACAAACTTGAAGTAGACGTAAGGATAGGCGGCTTTTCATTCACACCTTGGTTACATATCAGTTTCTGAATTAAGTGCCTGGCAGTCATACAGCAATGTAACGGCAAAAGGGCTTCACACAATTTACCCATGTGGAGAAAACTGTGTCTTCGGTGACGAGGGAGCGCTTTGGCTACTAAGCTACCCCACATATGTTTTTTTACGTCCATAACACAGAGGAAATGATTATTAATAAATAAGGGTTACAGGCACACTGTCTCTCATGGTTAAGTCTCTCATGGTCATGTCTCTCATGGTTAAGTCTCTCATGGTCAAGTCTCATGGTCAAGTCTCTCATGGTCAAGTCTCTCATGGTCAAGTCTCTCATGGTCAAGTCTCATGGTCAAGTATCATGGTCAAGTCTCTCATGGTCAAGTCTAATGGTTAAGTCTCTCATGGTCAAGTCTCTCAAGGTCATGTCTCTCAAGGTCATGTCTCTCAAGGTCATGTTTCTCAAGTTCATGTCTCTCAAGGTCATGTCTCTCAAGGTCAAGTCTCTCAAGGTCATGTCTCTCAAGGTCATGTCTCTCATGGTCATGACTCATGGTTAAGTCTCTCATGGTCAAGTCTCTCAGGGTCATGACTCTCATTGTCAAGTCTCTCATGGTCAAGTCTCTCATAGTCATGTCTCTCATGGTTAAGTCTCTCATGGTCAAGTCTCTCATGGTCAAGTCTCTCATGGTCAAGTCTCTCAGGGTCATGACTCTCATTGTCAAGTCTCTCATGGTCAAGTCTCTCATGGTCATGTCTCTGATGGTTAAGTCTCTCATGGTCAAGTCTCTCTCATGGTCAAGTCTCTCATGGTCAAATCTCTGATGGTCAAGTATCTCTCATGGTCAAGTCTCTCATGGTCATGTCTCTGATGGTCAAGTCTCTCATGGTCAAGTCTCTCTCATGGTTAAGTCTCTCATGGTCATGTCTCTGATGGTCAAGTCTCATGGTCATGTCTCTCATGGTCAAGTCTCTCATGGTCAAGTCTCTCTCATGGTCAAGTCTCTCATGGTCAAGTCTCTCATGGTCAAGTCTCTCTCATGGTTAAGTCTCTCATGGTCATGTCTCTGATGGTCAAGTCTCATGGTCATGTCTCTCATGGTCAAGTCTCTCATGGTCAAGTCTCTCTCATGGTCAAGTCTCTCATGGTCAAGTCTCTCATGGTCAAGTCTCTCAGGGTCATGACTCTCATGGTCAAGTCTCTCATGGTCAAGTCTCTCAAGGTCATGACTCTCATTGTCAAGTCTCTCATGGTCAAGTCTCATGGTCAAGTCTCTCATGGTCAAGTCTCTCATGGTCAAGTCTCTCATGGTCAAGTCTCAAGGTCATGTCTCTCATGGTCAAGTCTCTCATTGTCAAGTCTCATGGTCAAGTCTCTCATGGTCAAGTCTCTCATGGTCAAGTATCATGGTCATGTCTCTCATGGTCAAGTCTCTCATGGTCAAGTCTCTCTCATGGTCAAGTCTCTCATGGTCAAGTCTCTCATGGTCAAGTCTCTCAGGGTCATGACTCTCATGGTCAAGTCTCTCATGGTCAAGTCTCTCAAGGTCATGACTCTCATTGTCAAGTCTCTCATGGTCAAGTCTCATGGTCAAGTCTCTCATGGTCAAGTCTCTCATGGTCAAGTCTCAAGGTCATGTCTCTCATGGTCAAGTCTCTCATGGTCAAGTCTCATGGTCAAGTCTCTCATGGTCAAGTCTCTCATGGTCAAGTCTCATGGTCATGTCTCTCATGGTCAAGTCTCTCTCATGGTCAAGTCTCTCTCATGGTCAAGTCTCTCATGGTCAAGTCTCTCAGGGTCATGACTCTCATGGTCAAGTCTCTCATGGTCAAGTCTCTCAAGGTCATGACTCTCATTGTCAAGTCTCTCATGGTCAAGTCTCATGGTCAAGTCTCTCATGGTCAAGTCTCTCATGGTCAAGTCTCTCATGGTCAAGTCTCAAGGTCATGTCTCTCATGGTCAAGTCTCTCATGGTCAAGTCTCATGGTCAAGTCTCTCATGGTCAAGTCTCTCATGGTCAAGTCTCATGGTCATGTCTCTCATGGTCAAGTCTCTCATGGTCATGTCTCTCATGGTCAAGTCTCTCATGGTCAAGTCTCTCATGGTCAAGTCTCTCATGGTCAAGTCTCAAGGTCATGTCTCTCATGGTCAAGTCTCTCATGGTCAAGTCTCTCATGGTCAAGTCTCTTATGGTCATGTCTCTCATGGTCAAGTCTCTCATGGTCAAGTCTCTCTGGGTCAAGTCTCTCAGGCTTATGACTCTTAAAGTGATCTGTCAAGATTATGGCTTTACTCACAAAATACTTTGTATTGATGTGGATGGCCAAATTGCGGTCGAGACTTTTAATTGAGCTGAATTATTTTTTCCCCAGCAGATGGCGCTGTTTACCCCTAACAAAAAAAAGAACACAACAACAACAAGCCAGAAACACAACCCCCCCCCCCCCCCCCCCCCTGCCCCCGCCCCACTAGAAGTCACGTGGTCCGCGCCTTACGACCATATGTCAATGATATGTATCGTTTTTCTGCTGAAATCTCAAACTTCCGCCTCCATGGGTATTTTCAGGTTAGTCAGAACACTCGCACAGTTACAAGCGCAATTGTATCACACCGTCTGGCATTGCCAAATCTACCAGCTGTTGCATACCTTGTTCTCCGGGGTCGTCCATTCTCGCAGTGCCCGCCGCACCCCTCGGAGCCGCCATCTTGGCAGCCACAGGTGTAGACTCGTTGACCTCAGTGTGGGCGGAGTCTGTGCCCTCCCGTCGTGGTAATCTTCCAAGTTTGCCTTTTCTGTTTGGAGCTGTGATTTGCAATAATAATGGGTCAGTGTGTTGGTGCTCACACAGTTTTTTTGTTACACTACAATAGTTGACTGACATGCCTAAGGAGGTAAATCTGCAGAGCTTAAGATAGATGTATGCATTAATGCAAATATTAGACTCAATAAATTTATGAATTTGTTTGGACACTGTCAAGAACAGTATTTTAGTTACATGGTCAACGGTGTCCTGATTGTTATGGTCAACGGTGTCCTGATTGTTATGGTCAATGTTCTCCAGATTGTTATGGTCAATGGTGTCCTGATTGTTATGGTCAATGGTGTCCTGATTGTTATGGTCAATGTTCTCCAGATTGTTATGGTCAACGGTGTCCTGATTGTTATGGTCAATGTTCTCCAGATTGTTATGGTCAACGGTGTCCTGATTGTTATTGTCAATGTTCTCCTGATTGTTTTGGTCAACGGTGTCCTGATTGTTATGGTCAATGGTGTTCTGATTGTTATGGTCAATGGTGTCCTGATTGTTATGGTCAATGGTGTCCTGATTGTTATTGTCAATGATGTTCTGATTGTTATTGTCAATGGTGTTCTGATTGTTATGGTCAATGGTCTCCTGATTGTTATGGTCAATGGTGTCCTGATTGTTATGGTCAATGGTGTCCTGATTATTATGGTCAAAGGTGTTCTGATTGTTATGGTCAATGGTGTCCTGATTGTTATGGTCAATGATGTACTGATTGTTATGGTCAATGGTGTTGTGATTGTTATGGTCAATGGTGTTGTGATTGTTATGGTCAATGGTGTCCTGATTGTTATGGTCAATGGTGTCCTGATTGTTATTGTCAATGGTGTCCTGATTGTTATTGTCAATGGTGTCCTGATTGTTATTGTCAATGGTGTCCTGATTGTTATGGTCAATGGTGTCCTGATTGTTATGGTCAATGGTGTCCTGATTGTTATGGTCAATGATGTCCTGATTGTTATGGTCAATGATGTCCTGATTGTTATGGTCAATGATGTCCTGATTGTTATGGTCAATGATGTCCTGATTGTTATGGTCAATGATGTCCTGATTGTTATTGTCAATGGTGTCCTGATTGTTATGGTCAATGGTGTCCTGATAGTTATGGTCAATGATGTCCTGATTGTTATGGTCAATGATGTCCTGATTGTTGTGGTCAATGATGTTCTGATTGTTATGGTCAATGATGTCCTGATTGTTATGGTCAATGGTGTCCTGATTGTTGTGGTCAATGATGTTCTGATTGTTATGGTCAATGATGTCCTGATTGTTATTGTCAATGATGTTCTGATTGTTATGGTCAATGGTGTTCTGATTGTTATGGTCAAGGGTGTTCTGATTTTATGGTCAATGGTGTCCTGACTGTTATTGTCAATGGTGTCCTGATTGTTATTGTCAATGGTGTCCTGATTGTTATGGTCAATGGTGTTGTGATTGTTATGGTCAACGTTGTCCTGATTGTTATGGCCAATGGTGTTGTGATTGTTATGGTCAATGGTGTCCTGATTGTTATGGTCAATGGTGTTCTGATTGTTATGGTCAATGGTGTTCTGATTGTTATGGTCAATGGTGTTCTGATTGTTATGGTCAATGGGGTTCTGATTGTTATGGTCAATGATGTCCTGATTGTTGTGGTCAATGATGTTCTGATTGTTATGGTCAATGATGTCCTGATTGTTATGGTCAATGGTGTCCTGATTGTTGTGGTCAATGATGTTCTGATTGTTATGGTCAATGATGTCCTGATTGTTATTGTCAATGATGTTCTGATTGTTATGGTCAATGGTGTTCTGATTGTTATGGTCAATGGTGTTCTGATTTTATGGTCAATGGTGTCCTGATTGTTATTGTCAATGGTGTCTTGATTGTTATTGTCAATGGTGTCCTGATTGTTATGGTCAATGGTGTCCTGATTGTTATGGTCAACGTTGTCCTGATTGTTATGGCCAATGTTGTTGTGATTGTTATGGTCAATTGTGTCCTGATTGTTATGGTCAATGGTGTTCTGATTGTTATGGTCAATGGTGTTCTGATTGTTATGGTCAATGGTGTTCTGATTGTTATGGTCAATGGTGTTCTGATTGTTGTGGTCAATGATGTTCTGATTGTTATGGTCAATGGTGTTCTGATTGTTATGGTCAATGGTGTTCTGATTGTTATGGTCAACGGTGTCCTGATTGTTATTGTCAATGATGTTCTGTTTGTTATGGTCAATGGTGTCCTGATTGTTGTGGTCAATGGTGTCCTGATTGTTATGGTCAACGATGTCCTGATTGTTATTGTCAATGATGTTCTGATTGTTATGGTCAATGGTGTTCTGATTGTTATGGTCAATGGTGTTCTGATTGTTATGGTCAACGGTGTCCTGATTGTTATTGTCAATGATGTTCTGATTGTTATTGTCAATGGTGTTCTGATTCTTATGGTCAATGGTGTTCTGATTGTTATGGTCAATGGTGTCCTGATTGTTATGGTCAATGTTCTCCTGATTGTTATGGTCAATGGTGTCCTGATTGTTATGGTCAATGTTCTCCTGATTGTTATGGTCAATGGTGTTCTGATTGTTATGGTCAATGTTCTCCTGATTGTTATGGTCAATGGTGTCCTGATTGTTATGGTCAATGGTGTCCTGATTGTTATGGTCAATGGTGTCCTGATTGTTATGGTCAATGGTGTCCTGATTGTTATGGTCAATGGTCTCCTGATTGTTATGGTCAATGGTGTCCTGATTGTTATGGTCAATGGTGTCCTGATTGTTATGGTCAATGGTCTCCTGATAGTTATGGTCAACGGTGTCCAGATTGTTATGGTCAATGGTGTCCTGATTGTTATGGTCAATGTTCTCCTGATTGTTATGGTCAATGGTGTCCTGATTGTTGTGGTCAATGGTGTCCTGATTGTTATTGTCAATGTTCTCCTGATAGTTATGGTCAACGGTGTCCAGATTGTTATGGTCAATGGTGTCCTGATTGTTATGGTCAATGTTCTCCTGATTGTTATGGTCAATGGTGTTCTGATTGTTATTGTCAATGGTGTCCTGATTGTTATTGTCAATGTTCTCCTGATTGTTATGGTCAATGGTGTCCTGATTGTTGTGGTCAATGGTGTCCTGATTGTTATGGTCAATGGTGTCCTGATTGTTATGGTGTCCTGATTGTTATGGTCAAAGAAGTTCTGATTGTTATGGTCAATGGTCTCCTGATTGTTATGGTGTCCTGATTGTTGTGGTCAATGATGTTCTGATTGTTATGGTCAATGGTGTTCTGATTGTTGTGGTCAATGATGTTCTGATTGTTGTGGTCAATGATGTTCTGATTGTTATGGTCAATGGTGTTCTGATTGTTATGGTGTCCTGATTGCTATTGTAAATGCTTTCCTGATTGTTGTGGTCAATGGTGTCCTGATTGTAATTGTCAAAGATGTTGTGATTGTTGTGGTCAATGACATTCTGATTGTTATGGTCAATATTGTCCTGAAATGTTATGGTCAGACATAATCCAGACAGAGTTTCATATGTGTGGTTTAATTTAGAGTTCAATGCCATGAAATTTCACTTTCACTTTTCAGATGTTATAATGTCACCCTTTTTAATGACAATATCCAGCGGGATACACCTTTGTACTCCACAAGCTGTCAAGTATAGCATAAACACGCAGTCAATCCCAGTTAAGAAAGCTTAAAAGTTTTCTTAACCAATCATAATCGCTGCACATTACCTCGTACCCACTCACTCACTCACTCACTCACTCACTCACTCGTCAAATCTTACCATCTCCTACATCTGCTGTTTCTGAAACTTCGTCGACTGCAGGACGTCTGAGTCCTTGTCTTGGGTCGTCCACGTTCATGTTGTCATACCCTCTATCCCTATCCCCTGGCAGGGTGTGGTATGCGGGGGAGGAACCCTGGAGCACTCTCTGGGAACTCTCAACACCAGGTCCTCCTGGACGCTCATCTCTCCCAGCATCAGCATCTGGACAAGTTTACTCATTATCAGTACCGGCGAAGATCATGCTTCAGTCACGTGTGTCAAGTACAGCCCACTCTTTAAGTCAGAGTGAGTCCGAGGCATGTAATTGGATAATAAAACTTTAGTGGCATTTAAACCGAAATAATAGGCCACGCCCACTAACGGACTAGTGTTTCCCGATAAGATGATAATATAAAGCAAAAAAAAACATATTTTGAAACCTAATAAACACACATTGTATGTTCCTGGAACTGCCTCTACTCTTTCACGTACCTCGTCTCTGATCGGGGTGTCTTTGGTCATCGTAGGGATCATCGGAGGCCTCACCAGCATCGAACTGGAGGTCCAGGTGCCCTGGTCTACCTGCACATACAATGTTCAACCATTGGCCTACCTATCATTAAAAGGTTCAAGTAATTAAAGTTTCAAATAAAATTTAATACACTTTCTATTATTGCCTACAGGGCGGGGCTATGCATTGAGTGACAGACAAGTGAATTACTCTTCATCCTATATGTGGTAGTAACTCAGGACAATTTGCCTACTTCTTTGCAGTGCTCTAGTGTCCCTGGCGACGCTTTCAGCTTGGTGGTCAGTTCCTGATGTCGGCTTTGGACGCCGGGGCAAGGTGTGGAGGTCCGTGCTGCTTTCTCCCTCTACGGTTAACAGAGGATAGACGTTACACGACACACCAACATAACGTCAACAGATGACAGACGTTACACGACACACCAACATGACGTCAACAGAGGGCAGACGTTACACGACACACCAACATAACGTCAACAGAGTACAGACGTTACACGACACACCAACATAATGTCAACAGAGGACAAACGTTACACCAACATAACGTTACATGACACACCAACATAACATTACATGACACACCAAGATTACGTTGACGCACCAACATAACGTTACATGACACACCAACATAACGATATATGACGCACCAACATAACGATATATGACACACAAACATAACGTTACATGACGCACCAACATAACGATATATGACGCACCAACATAACGTCACTTGACACACCAACATAACGTTACATGACGCACCAACATAACGATATATGACGCACCAACATAACGATATATGACGCACCAACATAACGTTACTTGACACACCAACATAACGTTACATGACACACCAACATAACTATATATGACGCACCAACATAACGATATATGACACACCAACATAAAGTTGCATGACACACCAACATAACGATATATGACGCACCAACATAACGTTACATGACACACCAACATAACGATATATGACGCACCAACATAACGTTACATGACACACCAACATAACGATATATGACGCACCAACATAACGATATATGACGCACCAACATAACGTCACTTGACACACCAACATAACGTTTCATGACGCACCAACATAACGTCACTTGACACACCAACATAACGTTACTTGACACACCAACATAACAATATATGACGCACCAACATAACGATATATGACACACCAACATAACGTTACATGACACAACAACATAACGTTACATGACGCACCAACATAACGATATATGACGCACCAACATAACGTTACATGACGCACCAACATAACGATATATGACGCACCAACATAACGTTACATGACGCACAAACATAACGATATATGACGCACCAACATAACGTTACATGACACACCAACATAACGTTACATGACGCACCAACATAACGTTACATGACGCACCAACATAACGATATATGACACACCAACATAACGTTACATGACACACCAACATAACGTTACATGACGCACCAACATAACGATATATGACGCACCAACATAACGATATATGACGCACCAACATAACGTTACATGACGCACAAACAAAACGTTACATGACACACCAACATAACGATATATGACACACCAACATAACGTCACTTGACACACCAAGATTACGTTGACGTATCATAACGTCACACCACACACCAACATAACGTTACATGACACACCAACATAACGGTATATGACACACCAACATAACGTTACATGACGCACAAACATAACGATATATGACGCACCAACATAACGTTACATGACGCACCAACATAACGTTACATGACGCACCAACATAACGATATATGACGCACCAACATAACGTTAAATGACGCACAAAGATAACGGTATATGACGCACCAACATAACGTTACATGACGCACAAACATAACGATATATGACGCACCAACATAACGTTACATGACGCACCAACATAACGTTACATGACGCACCAACATAACGTTACATGACGCACCAACATAACGATATATGACGCACCAACATTACGTTACATGACGCACCAACATAACGATATATGACACACCAACATAACGTTACATGACACACCAACATAACGATATATGACGCACCAACATAACGTTACATGACACACCAACATAACGTTACATGACACACCAACATAACGATATATGACGCACCAACATAACGATATATGACGCACCCACATAACGTTACATGACGCACCAGCATAACGTTACATGACGCACCAACATAACGTCACTTGACACACCAAGATTACGCTGACGTATCATAACGTCACACCACACACCAACAAAACGTTACATGACGTACCAAAATTACGTTGACCTATCATAACGTTACACGACACACCAACATTACGTCGACGTATCATAACGTCACTTGACATACCATCATTTATGTTGACGTATCATAACGTTACACGACACACCAACATGACGGCGACGTATCATCTAGAAGTAGAGTAACTACAGAACATGGTCTCCATTTGCAGTTGTTGACAAATACCACAAACGTGAAGGTGAAGGTCAACGTGCATCACGTAGATGAACCAGATTTTCAAACATGAAATACGTCCATATATTTCAAACCACCGCTGATTGAAACAACTGATATGACATGACTTCTCTCTCAATTTTTGACCATAGACACAAGTAATACAAACGAGTATGTGTTATTAGTAACAAAGTGCAGAATGTAATATGACTGCAATATTTAAAGTCTGTGTGGTAGTATGCACACTTTGGGTGGGAAACAAGAGAGAAATCACTGAAAAGTACATAATAAAAGTACTGTTATCGGTGTTTACTTAATTCAGGGGACGGTCGGGTAGCCAAGTGGTTGAGGCCTTCGCTCGTTACGCCGAGGACCCGGGTTCGATTTCCGACATGGGTACAATGTGTGAAGCCCATCTCTGGTGTCCCCCGCCGTAATGTTTGTGAAATATTGCTAAAAGCGGCGTAAAACCAAAATCACTCTCTCACTCATCCACTTAATTTTGATAACCAACCCAATATAACCTTCCAATATTGGACTCGACTCATGTCGCCTCAGTCAGTATCATAGCTGACACCAAGGAGTTACCGTTTAGTTTAGCCATGGTAGATGGACATTGAAACTATCCCCGTTCAATAGACGATCAGATGGCACGGCCCTGTTATCCAAGATACGACAATCAGTTGTGCAGAGTTGCCTCCCTTAGTCCCACTAAAGTCAGGAATGCATTTCCCCAGTGTCACTTTGCGTTCTTCACATATAATCTTCACATTCCATCATGTAAGAGAAATACTTGTGTTCAAAGCGGCGTCCGACCCATAACGCACAATATGTTCATTGTGTTTACAATCATGCACACACTTTCTGCAAGTGTTAAGATGCTGGAATTGATCTGAACAAGGAGACATGAGACGATAGGTTAGGGTTAGGGTTAGAGTTAGGTAGGGTTAGGGTTAGGGTTAGGGTTAGGGTTAGGATCTCAACAAGGAGACATGAGACGACAGGTTAGGGTTAGGGTTAGAGTTAGGGTTAGGGTTAGGGTAAGGGTTTGGATCTCAACAAGGAGACATGAGACGACAGGTTAGGGTTAGGGTTAGGGTTAGGGTTAGGATTTCAACAAGGAGACATGAGACGACAGGTTAGGGTTAGGGTTAGGGTTAGGATTTCAACAAGGAGACATGAGACGACAGGTTAGGGTAAGGGTTAGGGTTAGGGTTAGGATCTCAACAAGGAGACATGAGACGACAGGTTAGGGTTAGGGTTAGGATCTCAACGAGGAGACATGAGGCGGCAGATGCGGGTCTACACCTTTGTCCCTTAACTTTCCTAGAGCTCGGCGTTAGGAGGATTCCACAAGGACTGGTCAAACCTTGAAGAAAGGTAACGACCGGTCCCGACTATCATGGAGACACGCACACGCACACGCACACGCACGCGCACACGCACATCACACATACACACACAAACGCACGCACGCACGCACGCACACACACGTGCATGCACGCTATACTGTCAGTAAAAAAACACAAGTAGCTATTACACAATAATGTAACTCTTTGTCTCGTGTGAAAGTCGCTAGAGTGGCAAGAAATATGTAGCATATAGCATATAGCACATACAATATAGTGTATATCACATAGTATATGGTATATAGTATATAGCATAAAGCATATAGACTATAGCATATACAATGTAGCACATAAAATATAGTATATTTCATGTAGTATATAACATATAGCATATACCACACAGAATATATCATATAGTATATATCATGTAGCATATACCAAAGCATATAGAATACAGTATATAGTATATACCAGTTGGTATATTGCATATAGCATAAAACACATAGCATGTAGTACATAGTATATAACATATAACATATAGAATATAGTATTGAGCATAGAAAATAGCATACACAGTATAGTATACAGCATATAGATGCAGCATATAGCATATAACACTGTGACTAGAGCAGGGAGAGAAAACTGTGCCACACACACACGTGCATGCACGTCGCTATATATGAGGGCAATAACGTTGACCGCGAAATTAAACCCCATTTCACCTCACCTCGATTAAACCTTCACCTACCAATACAGTCTCTGTCACCTCCATCACTGTCCTCAATGTCATTATACAGAACTATATACTCCTCCTGGGGGGCGGGATCGTTTGTCTGCGAGCTCTGCTCGGGCACGACAAATGTTAGGGGCGTTTCGGCGTCAAAACCTACAGCATGAATAGAAACACGTTCCATGTGTTTAGACATCCGAACACGTGAGCGAAGTGGATCAAAGATGCCTCTGCTTATTTAACAAAGGTCTTCAACGCAGCTACATCTAGCAAAGTGCAAAGCGACATAAAGATGAGAGAGTCGACAGAAAATGTGATCGAAATGTGTGTTTAATTTCCCAGGTAGGAATTCTCTAATGCTTCAAGAGTAAACACGCTGTTGGTATTGATTCTTACACACTTTCTGAAAAGTGAACTAAACTACAAGGGTACATGAAGACTACATCTAAAAGTTGAATTTCACCAAAATATCAAAAAAATATTAAAACGTCACAAGGCTTAAACAGTCGCCGAAACACTGCAAACTTAGGTCCAAAACACAACTATGATCAATTAAACCACCTTGGAATAACCGCATCATGTTTGTTTCATTATTAGCCAACACCAACCATGCTGTAGATTTTCTTTTGTCAGGCAGTTTCTCCGCTTCTCGCTCGCAACTTTTGCAGGGGCTACTGGTGCATGTTTACATTTGGTGTCTATGTGTGTTGTTTTGTTGCCATTCTGGTGGGTTTTTGTGTGTTCTACCGACGTCCGGCTAGAGGATATCTAATAATGGAGTGATATTTACCCAAAACAGGTGCTTGCACTACGTTGCTTTATATTTCACCGACATAATGTCTTTGGTCAACAGTATATACATTGACACCATGACACGTGATTCCGACTGTACTTACACGCCCTGGGTATTATTAGCTTCTGTATTCTATCCCTACATGTATATAACCCGTAAAGACAAAAGACGCGTACCTCCATTCTCTGGGGTTGCAGCAGCTGTGGAGCCTGGTGTAGTGTCCTGTCCTGGTTTAGTTCTATCCGAGTTTGCTGTCTCTCCTGGAAGGGTTAGGGTTGGAAGTCAGAACATGTGGGTGGAGCATAGGGTCTGGCACCGTTGGTTGAAATAGTCCGGTAATATCACAGGAGACATACAATATATTATACAATATTTCCAAACTGGGAAACAAACTCGGGTCTTATGGCGTTATAATGAACATGCTTAACTTCTTGACGAACCTACCTAACAATAGACAGCAAATCAAATTAAGACATACTATATGTGTTTGGTGCATTCGTGCTGGTACACTGTTTGAAATATCAAATATATGTACACAGCTAGTTTGACATGTTTTGTTGTAAAGTTCCAGGAGACTAGTTCTCCAATATCCATGAGAAGCAACTAAATCTGTTTGTGTGTCACCAGTGGTGTATAGGGCCGAATGAGTGAGTGATTGTGGATTTATGCCGCTTTTATCAATAATCCACCAATATCACAGGGAGGACACCAGATATGGGCTTCACACACTGTACCCATATGGGAATCGAACCCAGGTCTTCGGCGTGGCGTGCCCTTTATCTGGCTGAGACTAAAATTTATTAGGACCGCTCTGCCACGTTACGCCTGGACTATGGCTGACGGCGGCACGACAGGGCACTTACCCCCGATGTTTGTTTCCAAGGCAATGTTTATCGATCGTAAGAATACAAACCTTGACGTTGACCTTGACCTTGACCTGGTTTCCTGCTCTTCTCTGATCCAGCTGGCGCCTTTGAGAGAGGCTTTTGCGTCTTGGTGTTCCGAACCATCTCTGGCTCAATAACTTCGGATGCTCCTTTGGGCTTGGACGAGGCAGTACCTTTCCGTTTCTTGGAATCCTTTGACGGATCGTTTGGGACAGGTTTAGGTTGCTTATAAGTGCTTCCGAATCCCATTTTTCTAACAGTTGGTTTCGCTGGCTTTTCCTCTCTCAGTACAGGTTCTCTCCAACTTTCGTCATCCTTGTCACTAGGACGTTTAGCAGTGGACTTGAGTGAGGGCGATCTGGACTTGGAGTTCCGTCCTGGACTTTCCTCGAGTCGTCTGCCCCTGGTTTGGCCTGAGGGTAGTTCCTTGCCGTGTCTTTCTGAGCGTTTCAAATTTGGATTTCTTTCATTTTCACCATTGGAACCTTTTCGCGATCGTCCGGAAGGGGGAATCAGAAGGTTAGCTTTACCTTCAGAACCATAACCATTCGTGTCATCCCCGTGACCATTGGACATACTGCCATCAGAATTCGGATACCTGGCGGAAGATACTCCGTTATCTGAGTCAGAGGGAGAATTGCCATTTGTTTCCCCGGGGATAGCGCCATATCTATTGTGTCCATCAGCTCCCGCGTTATGTCCGCTGCCATCTATTCCCCCCGGAGCCCGCGATCTACCCGGAGCCATCAAAAGGCTTGTTTCGTCTCCACCTGGGTATTCGTTGGCATGGTTTCCGTGTTGACTGTCAGGTGATGAAGAGAGGGTACGTTGTCTGTCATCTGTGCCGCTATTTTGTCCTGGATTATTTCGATCGTTTGCCATCTGAAACAAAGTTTGTTTTGGCGACGGTGTAAGCCCATCGTACCGAGAGTCAGTTCCAGCCGGCTGTTTGATCCCCTTATCTTGTGATGGATGTAACTGGCGGTGACGGTCCTCCTCGTTATCTAAACCATCACCACCAGGTGTATAGCGTGGGTTTGCTTTCAGCGTTGACCCCGTATCGGGAACAATGTCATCTTCCCGTGGGTCATTTGCCTTCAAGGGAAGCGCGCTCTCGCGTCCGTCTGCAACAACATATCCGTTCTCTTTGTACGTCTTAGGCGCGTCGGTGCTCTTACCGAGCGGTTTCAGCGAAGATGTTTGATCTTCGGATCCCCTGCCTGACACTATTGGGTGTATCCGGTCCTTGGTGGTGACTGGTACTTCCGTGCTCTCATAACTCTCGACGCTCTCGGCCTTAACTAAGGGCGTTTTCTCGACAGATTTCGTCTTCTTCGGGTCCTGTGGCGTCAGGGGCCAGGTCAGCATCCATATTCGGATCATGATGGTGGGTACTGAAACGAATAAATGTTGAACTGACGTAACTCACGAGCGACCTCGGTGGTTATATGGATACAGTGAGTGAGTATGGTTTTACGCCGCTTTTAGCAATATTCCAGCAATATTACGACGGGGGACACACATTGTACCCATGGCGGGAATCGAAACCGAGTCTTCGGCGTGATGAGCGAACGCTTCAACAACTAGGCTACCCGACCGCCCCTATGGATACAGAGTAAACAGAGCATAGAGTGTGAGGTCGGCGGCTTGATCCCCAGATGCGTCATACCAGACGACGTAAAAACATTACTTGTTGTTACCCTGCCTGAGGAGGAAGGGGCATATACCACAAGGAATAATCGAGGATGTTTGCGTCTTACCGTTCATAGTTTGCCTTCAATTACAGGACATTACCCATTTTTGGATAAAACATTTGTGATGTCATTTGTTTGTGACGAAATGGTCACCAGTGACGTCACAATGGTCTGCAAAGCATTGTGATGCAATTTCATTGCAGCGATATCTACAATGTACAATGTAGATATCGCTTGATCTCACCCAAGCGATATCTCCAGTTTTGGATGATATATAGAATACTAAACGAGCTCCCGTGTAATACCAATTTTATGAAACGAGTGAATAGTTGTGGTATCTGACGAGCGAAAGCGAGTCAGATACCACAACTATTCACGAGTTTCATAAAATTGATTTTACACGGGAGCGAGTTTAGTATTTTATTTATTACTTGCCATTTATAACGTTTTTTAGAATTATACTGTTGAGTATGAATAGGCTGACACCTACACGATCCACGGCATAGTCCAATTGATTTTAATAGAATAATACTTCAAACATGTCAAAAGTTGAAACGTATGAATTTGATATCATACAACGGTCCACCTTTAGAATTCACAAAATTATCGCAGGGCTAAGACTATCGCAACTCACATACTTTAACAGACTAACGACTGTCGTTGCGCTACAATACTATCGCCTTGTGGAACGGGCCTTGCACCTCAAACTTTACAATAACGTCACAATACCCGATGACGTAATTTGTGGAATTTTGTTGCAAGATCCATCGGCGAAACAATGCCATGTGACGTCAGCCTAGCAACAAGGTTGCTGGGGTCATCGAGTTTGCATAAGCTTCTCTCACACTCTCCTACCCAGAGGTCCTTGCGGCCGGCAGCCAGCCAGCATAGTACCTCTGCCAAAGGCCAGCGCCATGTGACGATTCGTCACATCTTTCACAGTCCATTCAAGATATTGAATATGCTTTTCATCCGTTTCATGTATGACAAGTCAACACATTTTCATAAACAAACGTCAAAGTATGGTTACGGTTCATTAAGAAAGTATCCTAATACGTGAAAATCTATTTGTTTTTGCGTAGTTATCCTTTGTTTACATTGGTTGTACGGCTCCACTTGCTGTCATCGAAGCCTAACGGAGAGCTGGCGATACGGTTTTTTTTATGCATAAATATATATTGTCATGCAACTCACTGTCGCAGTTGTAGTAGCATATCTATATAATTATGCAAAACAATATATTAAGAGACCCCAAATACTTGCATTAGTCCGTTCTACATTGATTTCTGAAAAAGCGTGTTTGTTTACAAACAAGAGAAAAGTCCGGTCACGTGATATGCAAATTAGCCTGTGGCAGTGGTGTTATGCTGAGTCACTACTGCGCCGGAGTGTGCTTCTCTCAGTGATCTATCAACTCCATACGCAATGTCGCTGAATAAGCCAAGGGATGTTGAGAGCTTTCAATATTTGTTCTAGAAACGTGTTCCGAGAGTACATAAGCACGCGTTTTGGTATTTCACAATGTGTAATACAGCTGTATGTTTATTAAACGGGTGATCTCTTCACGGGCAAGTAATAAAAATTAATTCATTAACACATATGAAAACCTTTGCAAACTCGCAGGCAAATCCTGTCAGTATACGAAACACTACACCCTCCTGCAAACTGCCAGGCATACTTTTGTTTAATGTACATTGCAAACGGTAGCCCAAGAACTGTACTTTAAACGATGACACTGCACAGTAATACGCTTGCTGTACATGAATAGCATTGACAAATACTAATAAATAATCCACAGTATTTACAGTGCCTGAAATATCATCTGATGCTTCAGTTTTCAAATTCTTTTAAAAAAGATTGATTTGTTTAACTGTAAGGGTGATGTGCTTACCTGTTACGACCAACCACACAGACACAAAGACTCACATTGCTGAACTAACACAGAAAATATTCATCATTATAAACTGCCAGTTGGTATGATATAAAATCCATATATCGTATACATGGCCGATCAATGCAACATGTATTGTTATTACAATAATGTACGATGTCCATATAATGTTAAACTTCTATTGGTTTGGGCAATAAACCGGCAACAATTGGTGATTATCATGTGACATTTCCTCCACGGGCTGGCCGGGGTAGGCCGACACAAGCACCACTAGGAACACATGATAGGCGGTAACAATGCTTAAAAGGCATTAATTGATTTATCGAACATGTGCGGCAGGTGTGAGACAAGCCCCTATTATTGAGCGTGCGTGTTTTAAATGTGCCGGTCTGATTAATATGAGCTCACGTGTTTAGCTCGAGTTGTATTTATGGTAATGTTTGAAAGTTGACAGTTATTGCGATAGTCAAAACGGACATTTATGGGTTACCTTCAAGAGACTGTGTGAGTGAGGGAACAGTACTTTAGTCATTTGACTACATTTCAGCTTGATGTGGTAGAACGTCCGAAGTGAAGGAGGTGTCAGACAGGCAGGTGTATGGTGCCGACAGTTATAGGAACAAGCAGGGATTAAAAAAAAAACGTGTGTTGTGTGTGTTTGTTGTTTAACGCCGCACTCAGCAATATTCCAGCTTTATGACGGCGGTCTGTAGATAATCCAGTGATTGATATCATGAGCATCGATCCACGCAATTGGGATTGATGACATGCATCAACCAAGTCAGCGAGCCTGACCACCCGATCCCGTTAGTGTCCTCTTAAAAAATGCGTAGTCGCCTTTTACGGCAAGCATGGTTTGCTGAAGACCTATTCTACCCCGGATTATCGCGGGTGTTAAAACCCTGTGATCGGAGGTTTCTGATGGAATGTATTTTAATGTATGGTTAAGGTTATGTTGATCATGTGATAAAACTGGAGCCTTTGATATACCGCCTCCGAAGTTTAGTGGCTCGGCCCGGAGTCAGTATAGTGTTTCTGAGTGGCGCTCGGCATTAAGGGGGTAAAACAAGGCGTGGTCGGCCCGGAGTCAGTATACGGTGTCTGAGTGGCGCTCGGCATTAAGGGGCTAAAACAAGGACTGGTCGGCCCGGAGTCAGTGTACTGTGTTTGAGTGGCGCTCGGCATTAAGGGGCTAAAACAAGGACTGGTCGGCCCGGAGTCAGTATACTGTGTTTGAGTGGCGCTCGGCATTAAGGGGCTAAAACAAGGACTGGTCGGCCCGGAGTCAGTATACTGTGTTTGAGTGGCGCTCGGCATTAAGGGGCTAAAACAAGGACTGGTCGGCCCGGAGTCAGTATACTGTGTTTGAGTGGCGCTCGGCATTAAGGGGCTAAAACAAGGACTGGTCGGCCCGGAGTCAGTATACTGTGTTTGAGTGGCGCTCGGCATTAAGGGGCTAAAACAAGGACTGGTCGGCTCAGAGTCAGTATACTGTCTCTGAGTGGGGTATTCCTGTTAAACTGCGACATCGTATTACAGTGGGCAAACACTATAAAATCGACATTAGTTCAGACGAGTACAAACACACCCCTACCTACCTACCTACCCCCCCCCCCCCCCCCTCCCAACACACACACACATACACACACACACACACACACACACACACACACACACACACACACACACACACACACACACACACACACACACACACACACACACACACGTGCATGCACGTCGCTTTGGCAGGTGCAATAGCAGTAATCTTGAACGCGACGTGAAGCCCCATAACACCTCTCTTCACCTCACCTCAGCTCTTAATATCATATGATGCTCGAATACATTGTATATAACCTATTTTTTTGTATGATCAGTAAAACTATGGCAACGTTATATTATTAATATTGCGCACATTTTCACAGCACACACCAGATTATATAATCCAGTAAATTAACATATATTAACAGTGTTTTAAACCTAAAATGATTTTTATTTCGCTTTGATTACATCCAGAGTGCTATGACAATGAAACATGATCTAAATAGGAAAAGCTTTTATTTCTTATTGTAACATTTTTCAATATTCTAAATCTAGGCTCGTATTGCTCCATGCTCGTATTTCACACACAATCAATCGGGTTTTCTGTGTAAATCAGTGGAAATCTGCAGTGCAAAATGTGCAACCAATTTATTGATAGCCTTGTACAGGTGTTGTATCATGAGTCATAGGTAGCATGAACACAGTTATACATAAACGTTGCAGCGTTCTGCACAACTTAGGGGCGGTCGGGTAGCCTAGTGGTTAAAGCGTTGGCTCGTCACGCCGAAGACCCGGTTCGATTCCCGACATGGGTACAATGTGTGAAGCCCATTTCTTGTGTTCCCCGCCGTGATATTGCTGGAATATTGCTAAAAGCGGCGTAAAACCAAACTCACTCACTCACTCACAATGTTCACATTTCTTTCATGACGAATGCATTATAAATGCATCTTAATTAACTGACATATTAATGATATGAAAGCGGCGTGAAACTCCTGTCACTCACCCAGCTGGTGATCTACCTGACGGTGTAACACGGACGGGTGCGGTGGTGGAGTTTATTCACACCCTTTTCCAGTGATCTTGTTAATCTTCTGAACATTGCAGTAGAATATATTGAAAACATGTTTCGATCTTTTTCATGTTTAGATTGTATCCACAGAGTGGAATTGCAGTCTTCTCTTGCTCGCCACTTCAACGTCCACCACAGCACCATTTGCCGCCTTTGGGCACGAAACACACAGTTCAATTCCACCGCAGACCGTCCGAGAACCGGCCGACCAAGAGTTACCACCCCTGCACAGGATAGCTACATTCGACTGTTCCACCTACGTCATAGCAATGCCATGTGCAGCTACGGAGACTGCAGGACGCATCCCTGGTTTGAGGAGGATATCGGACCAGACTGTCAGGAACCATCTTCGCGAGTCTGGAATCCGACCCAGAAGACCAGTTATCGTCCCTGTTTTGCATCAGATCAATCGACAGTGACGCTTGCGTTGGTGCCATACCCTACACCCTTGGAATTTGAGAAACTGGAGACGAGTGTGGTTTAGCGATGGATCACGATTTCTTCTTCACCGGCGAGATGGAAGACAACGTGTTTATCGTTTTCGAAATGAGCGTTTTGCCCCACATTGTGTTCGTTAATTCGACCAATTCGGTGGCGGTAGTGTCAACCTACCTACATAATGCCAACATCAACGCCTTGTCCTGGCCGTCGAGATCTCCAGATCTCAACCCAATCGAACACATCTGGGATGAACTCGACCGACGTGTACCACAACGTGAGAACACGTTTTTTGTCGCTCTGGATATGGAAAGGGTTTTGTCGCTCTGGATATGGAAAAGGTTTTGTCGCTCTGGATATGGAAAGGGTTTTGTCGCTCTGGATATGGAATGGGTTCTGTCGCTATTTTTGTAATACAAAGTATGGCTATGGGTGGTGGACGACTCGCACAGACACAGACACAGACAGGCATCTATCATGGGAGAGTTGAATTCGTTTTCGGGATTGAATTGGACATGACAGCGCACTGGGCTCAACGTCTGATCAGATACACTCCAGTCTCATCACCTCTCGCGAGAATGTGCGTGGTTTTGATGCAGACCCAGCTGACTGTGTTGAGAGAGGTTAACCATCGATGAGTTGGGTTCAATCAGAGACTAAATATTACCGCTTTCCATGACAACAAGAAATTCTGCAGAAATGTCAACAGAAATTCTAAAGAATTCTACTGGTAGACCGCTTAAGAAGGTCAGATATTATTGTCAATGACCAATGTCATATTAGTCTGCTCAGGACGCCAAATCGAACATGTCTGCTGTCTCCGTGCATGACTGTGGCTTTGAACTCATGGTCCATCCTCTGTGTTCACCAGACTTGCCACCGTCAGATTTCAACCACTTCCCCAACTTGCGCGATGCTTGCCAGACAGTTCTTTCTTCAAGTAATGATGACGTCACTTCTGCCGTGGAGGACCAGCTGCACGAGTCGAAGCTGAGCAGTCCTGCGTCATGGCACATGTGTGTGGATCTCGGAGAGGACTGTGTGTAAAACTAATTATCAGCTCCGTCAGACTACCATCTTCAGGACCTGATCAATTCATTCAATCTTCCTGTAACGTTGACGCTGCTGCGTCTCTTCCATGAGAAGCACACACTACCACGCAAACGTTTTTCTGCAGAATAAATGCGAACATTCTGCGGATAAGTCGCAAATAATTCGGGAATAATTTGCGAATAATTTGCGAATAAATATTTATGCAGGTGTTGCTATCGGCAAATACTTGGCATATATATATATATTTGTGGATACATGCATTACCCTTTGTCGTTATTTGTGGATATATTAGGCACAAAGACACTACGTGCTTATGAAAGATGAATTTGTGGCTTGATACACAACAAGAACGAATCTTCTTTTTTCTGCGCAATCCCGATTTGCATATTCATAAATGGTTCATTCTATTACATGTCTGTTTGGAGGTGATATCAAAGGCGCCGCCCAGCAGATGCAGACAGTGTCATCCGTTTCGCGTTAACTTCCACCCACCTTCCCCACCCTGTACTGTTATGTAATCGGCACACAGATAACTTTCATACGGCGTCAGTGTGGAAGGAGTTTGAATTACGTCCGTCACTGGCCACAGTATTCCTCAAAGCATGGTAACAATCTGCAAGGCCAATGCCGTACTTATAATCTAGTGATGCACGCAACTCGGCTGTCAATCTGTCTGCTACAACTACCATATAATCCTCCATGTCACAACAGCCGTTCAACTGTCTGTTTCAAAATATTAATTGTAACAACTTCGTTAACAGACTGACGAATGTCGTACACAGTCCTCCTATTTGAGTAAAAGTAAAGATAACTAGAAGATCAACTGGATGTTACATTCCTGATATCAGCTGACGGTCCTTTCGTGAAAATATACACGAGCCACAGACAATAAAACCAAATAAATATGTCTTGGTTGGTTGGTTGGTTGGTTGGTTGGTTTGTTGTTTAACGCCGCACTCAGCGATATTACAGCTGTATGACGGCGATCTGTAAATAATCG